ATCATATTTGTATTGGTATTGACATTCGATCGCATTTGCAGCAGAAAAGTCGTCTTTCTTTGCTAGAATGATGGAAACAACCATATTTGCATTCATATAAGTATTCGTATTAGGATTCAAACATATTTGTTGAATCCTTATATGAGATAATATTTGTATTGGTTTTGACATTCGTCCACATTTGCTGCAGAAAAATCATCCTTCTTCGCTAGAATTATATAAACAACCATATTAGGATTCATATTAATATTCGTATTAGGATTCAAACAGAGAAAGCAAATCCTAATATGGTTGTTTATATAATTCTAGCGAAGAAGGATGATTTTTTATGAGTATTTGTATTGGTTTTGACATTCGACCACATTTTCTGCAGAAATGTCATCCTTTTTCGCTAGAATGATATAAACAACCATATTAGAATTCATATTAGTATTCGTATTAGGATTCAAACAGAGAAAGCGAATCCTATTATGAGCTCATATTTGTATTGGTATTGACATTCGACCGCATCTGCAGCAGAAAAGTCGTCTTTCTTTGCTAAAATGATGTAAACAACCATATTAGCATTCATATTAGTATTCGTATTAGGATTCAAACATATTTGTTGAATCCTAATATGAGATCATATTTGTATTGGTATTGACATTCGACCACATTTGCTGCGGAAAAGTCGTCTTTCTTAGCTAGAATGATGTAAACAACCATATTAGTATTCGTATTAGGATTCAAACGTATTTGTTGAATCCTAATATGAGATCTTATTCCATGATGGTGAAATTCCCTGCAATCTGATTGGTCCACGTGACTTAAATATATTCTGTATTTACACGCACTTTCCTGTGTCAATGACGTCAGCGTTGGGATACGGTCCAGTATCCCAACGCCCTAGATTTCCATCCAGGATATTACTGTTACTGAAAAAAATCAATGGCGATTTCTTTACACCAACGCATGCTTATCTTTGAATTTTGCTATAAATATCTGATTCAAATATCAGAAACGTATACTGTGATCACCACAATCAATAATTTTAAGAGGAAAAAACGCAAACAAAAAGCAAACAACAAGGACATAAAGATTTTGAAGGAATATCGATGTAAAATATCTCTGAAGTGAGAAGGTTGATCTGTTTCTCCGGCCCCAAGCCAACGGACTTGATTTAGGCGAGTTTTATATGGGTAATCATGGAATAAAAACGTTATTCAATGATTTCTTGTGAAATACAGAGAATATTCTTCCCTTGAACGTCTGTATTTCACTCTGCTAGCGCATCGTGAAATACGACCTTCTCGGGAAGAATATTTTCTGTATTTCACTCGAATCATTGAATAACTTATAATATTTGTATTGGTATTGACATTCGACCACATTTGCTGCAGAAAAATCATCCTTCTTCGCTAGAATTATATAAACAACCGTATTAGGATTCAGATTAGTATTCGTATTAGGATTCAAACATAGTTGGTGAATGTTAATATGAGCTCATATTTGTATTGGTATTGACATTCGACCACATTTGCTGTAGAATAATCGTGTTCCTTCGCTATTGTGATATAGATAACCATATTAGTATTCATATTAGGATTTGTATTAGGATTCAAACATAGTATGCAAATTCTAATATGAGCTCATATTTGTATTGGTTTTGACATTCGACCACATTTCCTGCAGAAATGTCTTCCTTCATTGCTAGAATGATATAAACAACCATATTAGGATTCATATTAGTATTTGTATTTGGATTCAAACAGAGAAAACGAATCCTATTATGAGCTCATATTTGTATTGGTATTGACATTCGACCGCATTTGCAGCGGAAAAGTCGTCTTTCTTAGCTAGAATGATGTAAACAACCATATTAGTATTCGTATTAGGATTCAAACGTATTTGTTGAATCCTAATACTGTATAAGTGGTATTTAATCCGAGTGGTTAATTTTCCGAATGGTCAAATTTCATCATTTTCCTAATTTTAATTTTCTAATGACAAGAAACCTCCCATTGGATAACATTATAAAGACAATATTTCCGACATTTAATTTTCCGAACCTGGCAAAAATGAGGAAATAGGCAAATTAAATGATTAGGCAAAATTACCACTTATACAGTATGAGATCATATTTGTATTGGTATTGACATTCGACCACATTTGCTATAGACAAGTCGTCTTTTTACGCTATTGTGATATAGATAACCATATTAGTATTCATATTAGGATTCGTATTAGGATTTGAACACAGTTGGCGAATCCCAATATGAACACATAGTTGTATTGGTATTGACATTCGACCACATTTGCTGTAGAAAATTTGTGTTTCTTTGCTAGAATGATATAAACAACCGTATTAGGATTCATATTAGTATTCGTATTAGGATTCAAACATAGTTGGTGAATGCTAATATGAGCTCATATTTGTATTGGTATTGACATTCGACCGCATTTGCAGCAGAAAAGTCGTCTTTCTCGCTAGAATGATGTAAACAACCATATTAGCATTCATATTAGTTTTCGTATTAGAATTTAAACATATTTGTTGAATCCTAATATGAGATCATATTTGTATTGGTATTGACATTCGACCACATTTGCTGCAGAAAAATCATCTTCTTTGCTAGAATTATATGAACAACCGTATTAGGATTCATATTAGTATTCGTATTAGGATTCAAACATAGTTGGCGAATGCTAATATGAGCTCATATTTGTATTGGTATTGACATTCGACCGCATTTGCAGCAGAAAAGTCGTCTTTCTTCGCTAGAATGATGTAAACAACCATATTAGCATTCATATTAGTATTCGTATTAGAATTTAAACATATTTGTTGAATCCTAATATGAGATCATATTTGTATTGGTATTGACATTCGACCACATTTGCTGCAGAAAAATCATCCTTCTTCGCTAGAATTATATAAACAGCCATATTTGGATTCATATTAGTATTCGTATTAGGATTCAAACAGAGAAAGCGAAACCTAATATGAGCTCATATTTGTATTGGGATTGACATTCGACTACATTTGCTGCATAAAATCGCTAGAGTGACATAAAATTCATATTAGGATTCAAAATGACGATTTTATCACATGCTTAGGAATCTTGAAGCATTTTGCTTTGGTCAGTTATGATTGTGTTCAGTACTGTTACTCCCGGTAACTTTTATAATTTTTGTGTGTTTTGAAATTTAACTTTGAAATAATATGACGTCATACCGTTGAATACTTACTTGTTCGTGAAATAATATGACGTCATATGAAAGAATGGAATGTAGTTGTATGACGCCATTTCGTTACCATAGACAAAGTGTGGAACGTGTGCTCGTATCACATGAAAAGTATGTGATACGGGAAATACGTCTTAGAAAGCAACCAATCAAATCACTAGTATTCTACATAGTATGTGATAAACAACCATATTAGCATTCATATTAGTATTCGTATTAGGATTCATTTCAAACATATTTGTTGAATCCTAATATGAGATCATATTTGTATTGGTATTGACATTCGACCGCATTTGCAGCGGAAAAGTCGTCTTTCTTAGCTAGAATGATGTAAACAACCATAATAGTATTCGTATTAGGATTCAAACGTATTTGTTGAATCCTAATATGAGATCATATTTGTATTGGTATTGACATTCGACCACATTTGCTATAGACAAGTCGTCTTTTTACGCTATTGTGATATAGATAACCATATTAGTATTCATATTAGGATTCGTATTAGGATTTGAACACAGTTGGCGAATCCCAATATGAACGCATAGTTGTATTGGTATTGACATTCGACCACATTTGCTGTAGAAAATTTGTGTTTCTTTGCTAGAATGATATAAACAACCGTATTAGGATTCATATTAGTATTCGTATTAGGATTCAAACATAGTTGGTGAATGCTAATACGAGCTCATATTTGTATTGGTATTGACATTCGACCGCATTTGCAGCAGAAAAGTCGTCTTTCTTCGCTAGAATGATGTAAACAACCATATTAGCATTCATATTAGTATTCGTATTAGAATTTAAACATATTTGTTGAATCCTAATATGAGATCATATTTGTATTGGTATTGACATTCGACCACATTTGCTGCAGAAAAATCATCTTCTTTGCTAGAATTATATAAACAACCGTATTAGGATTCATATTAGTATTCGTATTAGGATTCAAACATAGTTGGTGAATGCTAATATGAGCTCATATTTGTATTGGTATTGACATTCGACCGCATTTGCAGCAGAAAAGTCGTCTTTCTTCGCTAGAATGATGTAAAAAACCATATTAGCATTCATATTAGTATTCGTATTAGAATTTAAACATATTTGTTGAATCCTAATATGAGATCATATTTGTATTGGTATTGACATTCGACCACATTTGCTGCAGAAAAATCATCCTTCTTCGCTAGAATTATATAAACAACCATATTTGGATTCATATTAGTATTCGTATTAGGATTCAAACAGAGAAAGCGAATCCTAATATGAGCTCATATTTGTATTGGGATTGACATTCGACTACATTTGCTGCATAAAATCGCTAGAGTGACATAAAATTCATATTAGGATTCAAATTGGCATTCAAATAGAAGACTATGTATCCTAATGTGAGATCATATTTGTATTGGTATTGACATTCAAGCTCACCAGCAGGTGCTGGTCATTTTGAATCTCAATCCCAATACCAATATGCAGCCAACTTTACCCACTTCTCAGTATATGGTATGATCTTTCGATCCATCGACCGGCGCCCGGTCGGTTGAGTGTTTTGTTCAATATTGTATTCAGAGATTACTTTTACAATTTATGAATGAGAAAATATGACTAAAGAACATGGGAAATTTAATAATCCTTCTTTTTCTCACTTTTCAACACTACGCACTGGCGTTTTGGCGTACATTGTTCCTACGCCACTGTGTATGTTAGCTAGATGTGATCATATACAAATCCAGACTCCTAAAAAGAAACAGCTTATAAAAAGCACGTGATAACAATGATTTAAACCCAATTTACTTCCTTGTTTGATATAGAAAATGAAAGCTCATGTTACTTCCGCATCTGGTAAAGTTAAAATGTTCTGATGAATGTTTGCACAAATATACATATGAATGGAGACGTTTTAACATTTTTCAAGTCATACGGAGTCATAACGTGCGTAAAACAGTTCTTTTAGTATCAGCAATTCAAAGCTAATAGTGAGTGTATGGATACACATGTAAAATTATAAAATGTTTTGCTGGTATTGGATTCAAGTTTATGTATTGGCAGTCTATATTATACGTTTATGTGATGGAGGTAAGATTTTCTACTGTATTGTATTGTTATTATTATTGTATTATTCTACTGTATATATATTGTATATCTATATAAATATGATATTATTGTTATATACAAAAATACTTTCGTTTTACTTAAAATCTCATATGGTTATCTCATATTGATTTGTCATTTGCCTCCGTATGGATTTATTACTTGTTGTTGATATAAGGAATCATAAACTCAAACATCGTCATAAACTCAAACTTCAGATCGGTATATGATTCCTGTTATAGATAAATACATGTTTATTATGAGATTGAGAACCATTAGAACATGTTCTCAATGTTCAAGTGACTGAATGCTAAATATAAAGCACCAATTTTTAATGACAATTAAGATATATTATATACTATTTAGAGGTTATGTCACTATCGTGGCATATATGCCCGAGGTCTCAGTGATATATGGCCCGACCTTGGGAGGGACATTGATCTCTGAGAACCGAGGGCATATGTGCCACGATAGTGACATAAACGATTTATAACATACCTATGATGATGTAGACTGGTCAGAGAGTACCGTTTTCTTATAGAATTGACAAACAAATGGTTTGAAAATGATTGAAATGAGTTTAGAAAAATTGCTCGCGCAGTTTTACCTTCGATTGATTGGTTATGACGTCAGCGCCTTAACCAATCAGAAAGTTAGCGGGCGCGGGCTTTTCAAAACTTATATTGGCCCGCTGTCTTGTGTACACTTTGCACTATACATCATCATAGGTATGTTATAAAATCTAGTATAATACCAGGTATAATTTGATGTCAAACAAAATTGTCACTTTGCTATATGTCGTTGACATAACTTGGTAATGGATGGATCAGATTCAGAAACATATGGATCGGAACCGGATCACGCTCCATCTCAAATCTTCAATACCAATCCATTTAGTAATCAGATATCTCGATTCTTCAAAAAATTAGGAATATAAGGGAGATCATGATATATTTTGAAGAAGACTTCTCGCGTTTTACACTCTCAATCCTTATTCCTGTTATTATTTTCAATAATTCATGAGGCATTCCAGTGCAAACAATTACCAAACAGGCCAATAGCCAGGATTCGCCAAGGGGGATGGGGGTCACTTTTCAAAAAGTTCTAGGGGTGGGGGGGGGGGGTCACTTATAACAACTTTGGCCAAAATGGCAAAAATCACTTGAAAAGTGCAAAGAATGGGAGTATTGGGGTACTAATCATAAGTCACAATTCAATGTTATTGTAAAGGTTTCCCCCTCCAGTTTTAGACAATTCATTGCCATAACCATCTAACCATTTAACCATCTAATAAATACGCTTTCACATGATGCCATTACCAATTTTCATTCAAAGTATTCAACTATTGATTATTTGAATCACTGATTGAATCAGTAAATAAAACCGTGCAGTTAAACATTAAGACATACTTTTCATGTAACCAATTATACAATGCACTTATAACATTTCCTTGATGTCTCTTTTAGAATGCCCTAGTGGGAAAACAGATGAATCTTATGGACTGAGTTGCGCGGAGGAATTCGCTATACATATTCAAAATGTAACAGATTATTCAAAGGGGGCGCTCACTGGTAGATTATATTGCAAAGGAAATATTGAACCAAGCTTTAGATTAAAACAAAGCAATGGAAGACGCTTTTATAACGATACGTTCTATCCAAGTGACACCTCTTGTAAGCTTTGTAATTTCCCAGGAGCATGTTATCCGTATAGAGAAATATGCTATAAGTGTTACGAATCTGTCCAGGAATTATCAGGTAATACAATAGAAATAGACTGTGATATGACAAAATCAATCAACATAAAACTCGTAATACACAAGCAAAACAAAACAGAAACTACAAAGGATTATTGCAAAGAGGAAAATGAGAACCGTCTCAATGACATAAAATCTATGTGTAATGAGAGAAATCGATGTCGTCCTATAGCTTCACCAACCAATCCATTAACAGGCTGTAGAGGGGATAATAAATATGAGCAGATATTGTTCGAGTGCAGTACGAGACAAAACAAACACACAACTGTAACAGTTCCATCCACTAATCATGACCCAACAACAAAGGAACAAACATTAACAATTCCCGGTTTAAGTCCTACAAAGCCTTTAAATCTATCTATACGGACAACAACAACGACGCCTACCACAACCACTGCCAAAAAATCGACTATTTCTCCTGTCACAAAAGATGTTCAAAATGAGGTGACGGATCAAGTTGGGAAAGTTAAACCTGCAGTGTCACAAACAAGTAAGTGTTCTTTTAGGTCAGAAGATGTTTAAAATTTCCAAGTAATTTCTGAATTCATTTCATTTAAATACATCACTATATGTTCATGTCAATATTGGATATTATTCATATTGGCACCCGTTATCAAGGATATCCTTCTGAATACATCTTGCACTATTAGAGAAAGAGAACAGAAACATACCCATTAACTATAACTACAAATACACATAGCCACTAAATGTTTTTATAGAATGATACATGTAATTTCAGCAATGATCGTTCTTATTGCGGTTGGGGTGGTTATTATTATGGTGGTGATATTAGTAACTGTATGTGTATATAAGATAAAAAGGTATGTTAAGAATAACTTACTAGTATAAGCCAATTTACGATAATTGATATTAGTTACCCCCCTATCACACCAAACTAGTTCTTACCCGTTCTTGCCAGTCCTACGAAAATGTCGTAAAACGGGCTAAATCTGACTGTGGTCGGGAAATATGTCTGAAATAATTAGCTTCTTCGTTCTTAAACAGTCTTCAATACGTCCATCTCGTTCGCAGTTCGTTTAGGTCGCACCACGTCGGTGTGCAACGTCGTAGAACGCGTCCCTTAGTCCAGAAGGTCATCATGACCTGATTACAGAACGGTATGGTCGCCATCGAATTTTGAATCGATTCAAAATTCTAAATTACATTCCCGTCTGAGAACGTTCATAAAGTTCGTAAATAGACCTTAGAAAGTTGCAGCTACGTTCATTCCGTTCGCACACAGTTTAAAACCAGTTTTGAAGAACGCAGTGGCAACTTGTTTGGTGTGATAGCTATATTTTTGCTAACTCGTTCATAAGCAGTGTTAAATACGTTCTTAATCAGTTTAAACCCGTTTGCAATTAGTTCTACCTCGTTCTCAACACGTCCTCAGACAGTTCAACTCGTTGTTAAAACGTCCCTAGTAGGATTGAAGTGCGACGGTTCCCTTCGTAGTACGTCCAGCTCGTCGTTAGTACGTTTTCAGTCGTTCTAATTGTAGAACGTGACGACCACGAGAACATTTTGATCATTGTCTAAGTTCTAGAGGACCTATCCGTTCGAGTACGTTGGATGAAGTTTATAAATAGATCCCAAACGGTTCTTAGTAGGTCCAGTCCGTTCGTACACAGTTGAAGCCCGTTTTCGAGAACGTAGTGAGAACTAGTTTGGTGTGATAGAAGGGTTATCAAACAATATCAACCCTATTTAAGATAAACCAGAATATAATTTTGCATTTCTAGAAACAGAGCACAAAGAAGAGATCAACATTCACAACCAGACAAGATGAATGAAGAAAAGGACCAAATTATAGAGATGTTTCCACTTGTATTGAACAAAAATTATGAGAATACTGACCAACCGGATCTCATTCCAAATGAGTTGTATGGCATTGGAAAAGATGGAAATCGCGATAGTCTGAATGATAAAGGTGAATATACATATGTGGGAAAGGAGCCTGTTAATGAGAGTGTATATTGTGTTGAAACATATGGAAAAGGTCTACCTACTACTAGAGAAGATGCTGTCTATGCATTTCCAAGCAGGAATTCCATAAATTCCAAACAAGACGACGATGGCAACCAACCAGCAAGCACAGATAGGCCTAATCAAATAAACAGTGATGCAAATCCATATTATGCCTCACCATTAGATGTGGACCAATCTAGTGTCAGTGTAGGGCATATTGACACACCCGGTGACTATAATGAACTTCAACTGGGAACAAAGAAACCACGTAAAGGAAACCCCAGTGATGAAAGCTACTTTCATATAGGTATGGTCAGAAATAATGATGAGGATATGCACTACAATACCCCTATGGAGATGAGTGATACAAATGTTGACAGAAATCTGAGAGAAAATAGAGACCAAAGTCAGACTCCATTTGAGCATAACGGTCCATATTCCTACGTGTCCACGCGAGGTAGTAACAATAATGTTAAGGATAATACACATCACATTAAAGATAATATTAAAGGCAGAATCAGATCTATAGGGGGTGACAAAATTACAAGCAACGTGCATAATTGACCTACCAATCTATTCCTTACAATATCAAATACAACATCTCCCAAAAGATTCACAATATATTATAAATTGGTGAAGTTATTAATGATTCAAAGTGCAAAAATGGGTGAAAAATGTTTAAATTCTCCCAAATAATAAGAATGGTAACCATTCTTATAGAAAAATAATACATTATTGTAAAAATCTTTAGTTTTCCTTGAGTAAAGTATGCACTTTTGTGATTTTTAGAAAATAGACATGACAAGGAATGACATGAGCCAAATATATTCTAAAATTGAAACAATTTTTTGTTTAGCCTGCTTGCTATCTCTGATTCTCTCTTTAACGATCTTAGCCAAATGTATGCACAAGTGGATAAAACTAAAAAATGAAACGTAATTCTGTTTACTCAGAAATGTTAATGGCTTCCAAATTGGAGTGCCATGTTATTTTGAGGAACATATAACTCATTCCATACTTGGTCCAGGTTACATCTTTCAGTTTTGCACAAATAGTACACACACGTACCTTAATTATTTAGTGCGGTGAATGATTTTCTACGCTGTATGAATATTTGGAGAATTCAGCGACCTACTTTTCAAAAGTACAAAAATACAGGTCACTGAGTTTTCTCCTTTTTACGTATTATAAAGAATATAGAGGCCTGTTACCTCTTAACTAATAATCGAGAACTAGGCTATTTTGTGTTTAACTGAAAGATGTAGACCATGTAAACAATGAGTTATCTACCTGAAAATAACATCGGACTTGAACTAGGTAACCATTAAACTTTCTAAACACACGGACTACCCTAAACTTGTACAACATAAATATACTATATCTTATTCTCCCTTTGCATATTGTTTGATAAAATAGTTAAGCTTATGTAGCCATTTGTGTGATTTCTCGCTTAATGACTCATTTCGGTCAAATCCAAAGTCAGAAAGCACATTAAATGTTATCCAAACCGTATGAAACAATATATAGCAAGTGCGATAAAAAGCGAAGGGAGTAATGATGCATGATCAACACGTCACAGGCCAGGGCTTAAAATTAAATCAGACAATAACTTTGAGGTATTCGTAAATCATTTTAAATGCTAACTTATTTCTGTTGAAAAATATTCTGTATGCTAATTCAATAGCCTGAAAGATCTCTACATTTATTTTCAACCACTTTTTATCAGTTAAGAGAGACTCAGCTCAAATATGGAATAAATATATTCAAACGCAGAGGAAATTGTTTTAGGAGTAATTTTTTCAATATAATTACTATTTAAAATAATTGGCATATACTTAGGAAATGTTTCATTATCTCACAATATACATATTATCTGTAAATGAAGTCGATTATTAAGTCTATTAGTTTTCACCACACTGACGTATCCATCCACATTAAAAATGTGATGGGGGTTCGTTGGTAACACTGTAAATAGTTTGTTAAAACAACAAATTCTTTACATTTGTTGTAATATTGAAGCTTTAACGAAATTGAATTGTAGAGTATATATCCTTAAAAAGGTCCCAAGGTACACTTGTTGATTGTTGTACGGGCATATGCATGATAAACCAATGGACTTGGAGTATATCGTATGTGCTTAATTACATTGTGTATATATACATTTTTGTTGCACTCAAATTTTATTTTGGATCGAGTGGATTGGATTCATGTAAAAGGTGGATTGGATCGGGAATCTTCAAAAATGGATTTTCTTTTAGAAAAAAATTTCTAAAATTACCCTTGGAATGAATAAGACTGTAATTTTTTCCATTTCTCATTTATTCCATATATATAAAATACAATACAATATTATTGCCTACGTTTTTCAACATTGTCGGCAATATACAAAACATATCAAACTGGAAATAATGGTAAGACAAAAGATTAGGTGCACGATATAGACGGTGAGAAATGTCAGAGGCCTTCGGGGGGGGGGGTGTTTAATCTAAAATATCAAGAGCTAAACAGATGTAATGGCTAAATATTTGAATAATTTGTTCATTCTCTATTACTGTAAGGTTTCTGTCTCCAAATAATGAAAATTGAATTTTTTCATTGGAGTTTAAGTTTTGGAAACGGTCGAGAAATCCTAAGGTTTTTAGTCCTGCTAGGAGAGTGCATCTTTTTTGTTGCAGCAGAGGGCCTTAAGTAAAATTGAAAGTCGACTTATTGTGAAAACAAAATGAATGGGTTTAAAGTTTAATTCTTGGTCCAACTCATTTTAAATCCAGACCGTTGAACCGAGCCATCCGTTTTGAAATACACAGAAAGGGTTGTTCCTGGTGTCACGATAACGCTTGGTGGTTTTTTGCTGTCACAGTAATAACCAATGAGTGGAGAGCTGTACTGTTCACCATTACGAAGCTGAAACATTTAATAATCTTATATAGAGGGCAGTGTCTGTTATACTAACCTACAGATGAATAAAACCCGTAAGAATGTTTATATCAAGGTCTATTAGCATACAAATCAATATTTCAAAATGCAATATTTCAAAAACTTTAAATACATTTTCTCAATCAACAATGTTTCTAACATACATGCATTTTTCATATTCAAACATTACAGATATATTTTTCTCTCATTCTTTGAAAACTTAAAGTCATGTATAGTTTTCTTATATACAAGTGACTTGTAAAATAACTTTTGATCTAATATTCCTATCCCTATTTTCTCATTATCATTCAAAGCTATATATTTCCAAATATTTTTGATTGCATTACAATGTATAAAATCAAGGTCTATTATATATCAACAATATGAACATTAGTTTGTGAACTTAGCAATTTATAGGTTCTGATTTACAACTTAGAAAATATCCATTCTCCAAATCGAGTCTACTTCAGATACCCATTCAGCTTCAGAGTTTAGCGTTTTGAACGGAAAACTCGAATTTTCACGTTGGTGTCAACGGGAATCATTTTACTCGTGTCTGTTAAACAGGCAATGCGCCTATTTTTGAAGGAAAAGGGAAAACATATCATTTGAGACATGTCACTCACACAGTCAATCAAATATTATAAAAACTTTAATTTGGGTCAATACTGAAGTGAAAAAAAGTTACTCGCATAGAAAACAGCATTTGAAGTTCAGAGATCAAAAGAAGTGAATTACCACTTTTCACAAAGTGTATGTTTTTAAATACCTCGTGGATTAAAAGATGGCGCATGGTTGAAAATCCTATCAAAAATGAATGGATAATTAATGCAAACAACAATGCCATCTTTCTATGGTACTGTTAATAACTTGACATATATAAATTGATAGATCAAAAATAGTTTTTCATGATCTAGTGTCAACTCTGATATGGTCTGTTTGAGCTGTTTTTGGTGTCAAATGAAAGATCAGGTACTTATTAATCCATTGGAAATACTATGAAGATCAAAAGTGAGACTTCATTTACGCACTTTGTCCCTTTAACAAACTATACTGGTAATTTTGATTTCGATACACGGTAGAATTATTTCTGAAGAAGATGATGTATGTCATGCGTGTATTAGGTCCAAATATCTTACGGAACGAGATCGTTTAAATATGTTTTAGAAAATCAGCTATAGAACTATCAATGGCATATTTCTGTATTATTAATTATAACATGCTGCGGTGTAGTCTAAACAAACACTTGAGCCGAACGGCTTTTGTAAAAAACCCACATGCATTTGTAAATGGGCGATTTATACGTATACGTTGTCGTTTCGATTTCATAGGCCATGCTCAAACTCTCTATTATTGATAACCTACACATGAAGGTACCTGTAGAATTTTAAGCAAATTGTGTGAATACTTGAAGAGTTATGATGATAAAATAGAATTAAAAGCCTGATTTTTCAGCAATAAAAGAAACAGCCATTTTGAATATTTTCGACTTGTTTTGTCGAAACCTGTAGACGAAACCTGTAATCTAGAAATCAAGATACCATCTTGATTTCAAGGTTGAGATATGACCAAAAGAGCTGAAAACCTGTTTTTCCATAATAAAGTGGCCGCCATTCTGTAACTTGAGCTTTTGAGACGCCACTTATGGAAAAATTGTTGACTTTATTTTAAAAGTGAAACCATTTCAATTGTCGTCGAAGATTTCTAATTAACTAACAAAATGTGTTGATAGACGGATAGACGGACGGACAGTGGGGGATAGAATGTACTCGGGGTTATGGTTTTTTTTGCGCAAATAAATGGCGTGCCCATGCCAGTACAAGGCCAATTTGCGTTTGGTGGATGAAATGAGGATCAGTTACTGATCTATCTGAAAACAAATCAAAGATGAGTGATATTTTCTAATGACAGCGGAGTGATTTGTGGAGACTACACATAGCAGACTACTTCTCAATTGTTTTCCATATCAGGTAGATTGAAGGGGGTAATTTTCTTCAAGTTTATTTTTCTCAAAATTTCGGTGAACAACCTAGTGATAATATTGTAGCTCAGTAAGAGATATTGATAAGTCCCCCCATCACAGTTGTATGTTAAACTTTATATGATCACTTATGGAAATCTATTCTCCAAACTATCACTAACCATAACTACAGCTAACCCATGTGAGCTAATAATATTTCGTGCATGCTACTTACAGTAAGGCTATCATATACACAGAATCTGTGAGCCTCTATATTAAAATGTGAGAAGGTGACTTTCATACGGTGATTTGCATAGATCACGTAGGTGGTCTGGATGTTGTTGTCGTACTTCAGGTTACCGCCAAAATTTTGAGAAGTTAGCGTGCCATATCCTTTGATGATCTTTGCTTTTCCACCTAAAACGATTTCGGTTTAAAGTCGAAGCAGCATAATGGTAAGCTTCACGTATTTTAAATGTGAATTGATCAATTTTATCGGATATGAGTGTACTTTTAGAAGGTATGCCCATTATCCGAGAAATAGAGGATGCTTACCATTTCCATTACAAAGATCACCGGAGCAGTAAGTGTATTGTACATCAGGTTTTGATCGTAACGTGTATGGATGATGCCACGAATCATACCCTGGCTTACTCGGAGGTCTATAGGGGTTGTAGGCTCCGCTTGGCGAATCGCTGAAGACAAGTCTATTAGGGTACTTGGGATTTGTTTCGGCACAACCTCGGTAATACCCTACGGATACACAGATGGAATGTAGAGATAAGTGAGAAAAAATATTTTAATCCTACCTGATTAATCTCCAATATATTATATAATAAGATAGTACCTGCAACTGTAAAAATTGTTTTAATTATTTTTATGTAAATGGTGTTTTCATAATGACCGTCCTCCCATCTACAGTCAATCCTATATCACATGGCCCCATAATCTATATACCATCATGATCTGGACTTATGTGCCAAATATTACCATGACAGCGCAATCGTGCCTCATAAGGTACGCAATTATGAACAAAATGATTTTGAGAATGACAATGCAATGTGTTTCATTCTTGGGTAAACGTTATCAGAAAATGGATATAGTATCAGGCCCGTAGCCAGCTTTTGCCAAGGGGGGGGGGGATTTTTTCCAAATCCTTTTTTTGGCAAGGGGAAGGGGCGGGGAGGGTTCGTCTCCCCTCCGGCTACGGACCTAAGTACCCTTCGTAAGGTCGCAATATAAAGTAAAGAACATATCTACTCACTACCGTTCCAGTCTTTTGCTGTGTAGCACATAGTATTACATGGTAACTGTAATATTTTATCATCCGTCTTGGTTATTTGACCACATTTTGTTGGATCATTAATACTATTGCACTCAAAACACCTAAGAGGCTCTAAAAATTCGACAAGATGGAAACATATCCTATAGAATTGCACAGATAAATTAGTAGTTCCACGATGTCTAGTTACAAATGAAACTGATCTTTCGCATATAATAGTTTTTGCAAGCATAACATCGAAATGACAAAAAATACTTGAGCATATAAAAGAGCCTCCAAGTGCTCTCCCAAGTGATTTTTAAATGATCTCTTCTGCACTAAGGTTTTAAACGACAGTTGGAAAGCTGAGAGTATCAGCTTTAAGAATTTAACCTCCATTCGAATTTTGGCTGATGTTCATCACCAAGGGGTAAAATTAAGAAATTAATCATGCTTTTTCAATCAAGATACATTTTGACAATCGGTTTCTAATTTCGATCTAAATGTCCATAACAACAATGTTTGTGGTCCAGGCAACACAACAGTATATAATTATGATGTTTACACTTTGTGGTTATAATTACATTTTATCTTTGAATGAAATTACCACTCAAGGGAGGGTGGTGTATGTGAAAATATATGGTTTCAGAATGCCCTGTGGACTGTTATGTCTAATGCAATCTTAATATTCTCAGGAGAAAATTAGTAATTTGTATTGAACATTCCTAAATACCAAAATTACACATTAAAGTACATATTGTTTTCAAATATCAAATCTTATTTATACTGAGAACTAAAATTCTGACACATTTTGTAGCATAATGGAGTCACTGCACTTATCCGGTATTTAGGTAATGTAATGCCTTGGTCACATATGCTCCGATCCATCGGCCGGCGCCCGTCCGATTGAGTGTTTTGTTCAATTTTGTATTCAATTTTGAACAAAATACTCAATCGGCCGGGCGCAGTAGTGTAAATCGGAGCAAATGTGACCAAGGCATTAATGACCCCTATCTCAACCTATATGGGTTCAAACTCTTAAATATTCTTCAAAGTATAATTTTACATTGAATTAGTTAGGCCATTGGTAACCTGAAAATAATCCATTCTGGCCATAGGGGAACTTGTCATTTTGAAATTGATAAATGACCCATTTCACTGGGGGGTATCGTGATGCAACAACACCGTGTTGTTGCATCAAGATGGCCAGATTTCCGGTGATAGATTTTCGTACGATGTTTTGTTTTCCCAATTTACACCCATTTCTAGGACGAGTTGCTCAATAATCATACACATGCAGTTAGGTTATGATCTGTATTTTAAAAAACTGTCATTGGTATACATGTAGCATCATCAAGAAGCGATAAATTCGTGGTTTTAATTCCTCACTATTGATGCAACAACACCACTCTGTTTCTTATCGATGATGCAACAACACCAATGTGCTGATGCAAAAACGCCAATATAATGTATCATTGAACAACAAGAGAAACTGTTTTATGTTCTGTTTACAGGTGTAGGTCGGGACATGAATAAAACGCGTGAGTCAGTGGTCCATGAACGAAGCGTATTTTGTTTGGTTTCTTTGTCTATATCAAAGTTAAAAGGATATACAAGGCAAACTAAATAAAGTACTGAATCCCCGGGAGGCAATCTCATTGATATTGTATCTGAAAAATAAAGATTATACATTTTCTAAATTAAATGCCCTTGATTTACCGTAAGGAAATTGTTTACAAATAACTAATATACTTTTGGAAAGACAACAGATATCAGTCATTTTGTGTTGTTAGTACCTCAATTGAAATACTCAATTCTGATTGGTTGATGAGCGGTCAACAAAATGTATTGTTAGTACCTCAACTGAAATACTCGATTCTGATTGGGTGATTATTGGATGAGAATGACTTTACTAGGCGATAAGTATAGCAAAAATACAAATAGAAACTTAAAATTAACATTAATTCACTAACGAGTACGCCGTGATGTGCCAAATACAGAGTTAAGCTACTTGCACTGTCTCCAGATTTTCTAAAAAAAAAAATTGCTAACGTGGTTCGGAGAAAAGGTTGTGAAATGAAACCATGCCGATTGATGATTGTCGTCTATATGTGTATTATTAGTTTACTCGGACTAACAAAACAATTGTAGACCTCTCCATTCGATCAACCGTCAAAATCATATACCTCGACTGTAAACCTTGAAACTACTGTTGACCTCGACCTTCATCTCTGTCAACAGTAGTTTTTCGGTTTACAGTCTCGGTATACAATTTTGCCGGTTGACCTCTGGGGAGGTCAACAATTGTAAACTGTTGACCACTACTAGGTACTGTTGACCCCTATTTTTGAAAAATTGTTTTTTAATGTTGAAATTTTTTTAATTTTGAAAAAATAAGTTGTGCAAAAATTACAAGTATTCGACGGTTTTGGGATTTTTTGCTAGAATATGATACCTTTACTTATAAAATATGTTCATGTGATATTCGATTATATATTCGTCCAATTATTATATTATTTGGACTAACAGAACAATTGTTAACCTCTCTTTTCGGTCAACTGGCAAAAGTGTCCTCGACCTCTGGTCTTGATCAACAGTACTTTCAAGGTTTACAGTATCGGTATACAATTTTGCCAGTTGACCTTAAGAGAGGTCTACAATTGTATATTATTTCTTTCAAATTATTATATTCTTCGGACTAACAAACAATTGTTAACCTCTCTATTCGGTCAACTGGCCAAAGTGTATACCTCAACAGTAAACCCTGAGAGTACTGTTGACCTCGACCTCCGAACTTTCAAGGATTACAGTATCGGTATACAATTTTGCCAGTTGACCTCAAGAGAGGTCTACAATTGTATATTGTATATCCTTTGTTATCCCACCCAAAGTATGATGTCATATATCAAGTTGAAGAGTTGTATATGCTGCTCAGGAGTTTACGCTATCCAGGAGTTGAACACCACCGTTCTCAAGGGTTGTATAGGATGAGAATTGGTTTAATGATATTGCAGTTGCTATTATATAGAGGTTATTTACTGAGAGGGATTCAATATTGGTTTTATTCCGAGAGACAATATGATATTTCCCGAGGGCCCGGGATATCTGGGATAACTGTACCCCTATCAATTTACCTTTTTGGGCCCTTAATCTTATCACTTTTGTTTACCTTTTTACTCAGTCGGAGAGAAGGAATCCAAAGAGAGCAATAATTCTACATGTGCGTCGTTCAAGATTTCCATTAAACGTGTAACTAAACGGCTTCTCTAATAAAGTCACGTTTTTACACGTTGGCTCTCCAAATTGGAGGAAATAAAGAATCATATCATATTATATCATAGATGAAACAATCATCCCATCAACATAAGCTCACGAATGTCACAGTTAAACTGTTTTAGTTATAATTTGATAAACAGTGGTAACGTAAATCTACTAGTTTATCACTGTTCCACAGATGGATGACAGATAATTTCCAATAGCTCATCATATTTACCGAGAACGAAAGATGTTTGTCCACCATTTTGAATGATACTAACTGGAGTCAGGGTCATCAAGCTATGGAATAGTGGTTTATGAAAATAGATTGGGTTACTAAAGCTTGCCATGTTAAAGGCGATTGAACTATGTTATAGAACAACGTCCAGAACGTTATAATGTTTAAAAGTATAAATTTTTTGAAAACACATATAAATGATCTTCACCCGCAGCAAGTGTATTTTGAATGCCTTGAGAAGAACGCAAATATGGGTAATGGGTAACGGTATCGCAATAGTAGCATTTAAAAATCTGTTCCACTCGAGATTTATGGTCTTTGAAATTATACTATTAATTGGTGTTGCTGCATCATTCCTCAAATCTAGAGGAGTGTTGTTGCATCTTCAGTTTGGTGTTGTTGCATCAATAGTGAGGAACTAAAACCGTGAACTTATTGCTTCTTGGTGATGGTACATGTATACTAATGACAGTTTCTTTAAATATAGATCGTGCGCTAACTGCACGTGTATGGTTATTGAGCAACTCGTCCTAGAAATGGGTTTAATTGGGGAAACAAAATATCGTACGAAAATCTATCACCGGAAGTCTGGCCATCTTGATGCAACAACACGGTGTTGTTGCATCACGATACTCCCCAGTGCATTTGGAATGAAAGGGTTAATATCTAATTAATATCACAGTACTGAACACAATGATAATGACCAAAGCAAAATGCTTCATTTCTACATTCCAAGACATGTGAGGACAACCTGCAACGAATGCTAGATACCCTACACACTTGGTGTACCAAATGGCGCATGACGGTAAATGAAGCAATCTTATGGAGCGGAACATCTTTTTCATGTTGAAACAAGAAACATAAAAATACAATTGAAACAATTCAAAGAAATTCTCGTTGCAAAAGAACACGAGTCATGGTATACTGCATTGTGGAACGATAACCGTAACCCTGTAAATGGTAATAAGCTACGAGTATACCGGCTTCATAAAATCCATGCTTCACACACAGAACACTATGTAACTATTTTCATGCATAAACACGAGCGCAGCAACTTAGCAAGATTACGCTCAGGAACTTTACCGCTGAAGGTTGAAACAGGCAGGTTTCAAGGTATTCCCCTTCAAGAAAGATTATGCATGTGTCAACAAGGGGTCGAAGATGAAATGCATATCCTCATTGACTGTGATCTTCATACTTATGCACGAAGGGATTTTATTGAACTTTGCAAAAATGAAATAACTGACTTTAATACATTATCTAGTCTAGCTAAATACTGCTCAATTATGAACAACTCTATTTTACAAAGACCATTGGCAAAAACTATACATAAAATAATGTGCAATAGAAGAGAATATGATATTTAAAACTTTTACATCTGAGCATATTTTTGATATATTTTTACATTGCTTTCTTGAGTCTCTCATACGCCGAAGCCGGCGGGACTGTTAATTATTGTATGTTATTTTAGTACGTATATTGTTAACTACAGTGTGAGACTTTAATAAATATTTTACTAACTAACTAACTGTGATAAAATCGTCATCACACGTTTCAGCTTATGTGATACAGGAAAAATTCCACTCGGGTAAGAATGTATCACTACTTCGCTTTCGTGGATGATACAATATTACCTTTCGTGGAATATTTCCTGTATCACATTCTGAAACGTGTGATAACTGATAGTAAAATGTATATTTCAAGGCAAATGAGTGAAATCCTACCGCTACAAGTTTTATGGTCGCTCATCAGTTTGTACCCAGGGTAGCAACTACACCGCGGCTGACCTCCATCGGTAGAGCCAATTCTATAATAACATTGATGAGTACACAAGCCATTGTTCTTCGTACATGGGTTAGACTTCCCGCCTGTTAAAATCAATGAAGATGATGGAAGTTTAATTGCAAAATTAGAAAATGCGAAGCAGAAGTAAATCAATAGGCAGAAGACTATCTCCTCATTGTAAAAAGGTGACAACAGGCAAGAATGATATCCGGAATGACCTTAACAACATTGAATTCAAGCACACAGGTCCAAGCAACAAGCTAAGAACAAAGATGTACACAAGCCTTACCTGTATTGCAGCGATATCTTGTTTTATAGTCCTGACAGCCAGGTCTATTTCTTGAATTCAAGCACACAAGTCCAAGCAACAAGCTAAGAACAAAGATATACACAAGCCTTACCTGTATTGCAGATATATATCTTGTTTAATAGTCCTGACAGCCAGGTCTATCTCTTGAATTCACGCATACAAGTCCAAGCAACAAGCTAAGAACAAAGATATACACAAGCCTTACCTGTATTGCAGCGATATCTTGTTTTATAGTCCTGACAGCCAGGTCTATTTCTTGAATTCACGCATACAAGTCCAAGCAACAAGCCAAGAACAAAGATATACACAAGCCTTACCTGTATTGCAGCGATATCTTGTTTTATAGTCCTGACAGCCAGGTCTATTTCTTGAATTCACGCATACAAGTCCAAGCAACAAGCTAAGAACAAATACATAAACAAGCCTAACCTGTATTGCAGCGATATCTTGTTTTATAGTCCTGACAGCCAGGTCTATTTCTTAAATTCACGCATACAAGTCCAATCAACAAGCTAAGAACAAAGATATACACAAGCCTTACCTGTATTGCAGCGACATCTTGTTTTATAGTCCTGACAGCCAGGTCTATTTCTTGAATTCACGCTTACAAGTCCAAGCAACAAGCTAAGAACAAATACATAAACAAGCCTTACCTGTATTGCAGCGATATCTTGTTTTATAGTCCTGACAGCCAGGTCTATCTCTTGAATTCACGCTTACAAGTCCAAGCAACAAGCTAAAACAAAGATGTATACAAGCCTTACCTGTATTGCAACGATATCTTGTTTGATAGTCCTCACAGCCAGGTCTATTTCTTGAATTCAAGCATACAAGTCCAAGCATGAGAGTGCATTCATATCCTTTTTCAAACTTCTGCTCGGTTTTATCATACGACTCACCGCTCGTAGTTTGGCATTCGATTCCGTTGGGATACGGACATGGATCCAAATGCTATAATCAGTTAGGCCTCCTAGACTTCCACCAACGCGAACATCAGTTCTGACCTCGCGAACTACGTTCCTTGCACTCGAACAACGGTTCTCACATCGCAAACGTGAAATCTTAGTCGCGCACCACCTTTTCCTCGCTCCCGAACATACTTCTCCACCAGTCCACACGCACACAGAGATCCGTGCTCGCGAACCACTTGTTCACTTGTGCGAGACTAAAGATTTCACGTTTGCGATGTGAGAATCGTGGTTCGAGTGCAAGGAACGTAGTTCGCGAAGTCAGAACTGATGTTCGCGTTGGTGGAAGTCTAGGAGGCCTGATAATGCAGGACAAATAAATTGGTCTATAAGATATCATATGGGGTATTTGTGATGAAGCCAATCAAAGCGAGAGCAATGTTTTGGAAGCATGTTGGAATACTTTGACTTTTAAAACCGTTATCAACAGAGATCGAAAAAATACCAATCCACGTTTCTTCTTACTTTCGATTTTATCAAGATTTATACCTTGAATAAACATTCTGGTTATATCACACTTTTGGACCTATAGAGCTGCGCAATAAATGATGACGTAATCAAACGCTTTATAAGTTATACGTTATGCGGAAATATTAAACATAGTATTCAGGGAGTTGCAAAATCTCATAAATATCTTGCATGATCACCTTTCCAAAATCTTGTCTTGTCTCTGAATCGCCATTGCCTGATGGGTTATCTCGGTCGACCCAAACTGTCATATATTCACTCCTCACTGCTGATGCAATACCTAGATTTATTGGGGTAGAGAGGGATAAACGTCGAGTTAGATGAACATTATGAATTATAGTCCCTGACCTGAGTTTTCTAAGAGTGGATTATCAAATAAATTTTATTTTTCTATTAGATTGATATTGTTTTAGAAAAGTTAAAAATGTACTTATTCTCCAACAATTTGTCAAAGGAGTAAAGGATACACCAAGAAAACCAGCATGTTGAATTAGAATCTTGGAAAAGTGTGATTTAAATACCTTTTTTTTATCAAAATAGTATAGTTCACCGTATCATACCTGAGCACATAACAAGAAAACCCAGACAAAACGTCATGTATGGAGAAGACCTATAAAACATTGTTTTTTTAACTTTTGCATAGAACAGCATTTTCAAATCAATAATTACATGGTTATCCAAAGTATCCAATCACGTTTGTTCAATATGCTACATATTATACAATTTAGAATCGAATATATTTTCTTCGTCGCAATAAAACAAAATATTTTCAACAAGGCAAAAGGCACGAACATGCAAAATGTCAACACCTACCATTCGTTACAGAAGCCGAAGGCTGTTCCCGACGCCGAACACCAACCTCCGAACACTAGCCACAAAAACAAAACAATATGTCACCACTTGGTATCTGGTGGTGACATAATAAGAATCGAAAATAGAAATGTTTAACTTACATCATGTTTCCTCCTCAGATGATGACTTTTTAAAACGCTTTTACAACAATATCACCGCAATTTCATATACTGTAAGTCCTCCAACTTTTAATGAGCCACGATCCTTGAATGTCGCTATTGTTATCTAAATGCTACCTATTATACCCTTTGTTCTCGTAATTGAAGGCCTTTGTGTTTAAAAGTCACCGAGGGACGCTCCTCGTGAAAACATGTTAACGTTATTATCATAGTCACGTTATTAATACGTTTTATTTCACATTTTGCTTTGAACATCGGATTTACGTAACCCCCCTATCACACCAAACTAGTTCTTACCCGTTCTTGCCAGTCCTACGAAAACGTCGTAAAACGGGCTCAATCTGGCTGTGGTCGGGAAATATGTCTCGAATAATTAGCTTCTTCGTTCTTAAACAGTCTTCAATACGTCCAACTCGTTCGCAGTTCGTCCAGGTCGCACCACGTCGATGTGCAACGTCGTATAACGCGTCCCTTAGTCTAGAAGGTCAACATGACCTGATTACAGAACGGTATGGTCGCCATCGAATTTTGAATCGATTCAAAATTCTAAAATCTTATTCCCGTCTGAGAACGTTCATAAAGTTCGTAAATAGACCTTAGAAAGTTGCAGCTACGTTCATTCCGTTCGCACACAGTTTAAAACCAGTTTTGAAGAACGCAGTGGCAACTTGTTTGGTGTGATAGCTATATTTTTGCTAACTCGTTCATAAGCAGTGTTAAATACGTTCTTAATCAGTTTAAACCCGTTTGCAATTAGTTCTACCTCGTTCTCAACACGTCCTCAGACAGTTCAACTCGTTCTTAAAACGTCCCTAGTAGGATTGAAGTACGACGGTTCCGTTCGTAGTACGTCCAGCTCGTCGTTAGTACGATGTCACTCGTTCTAATTGTAGAACGTGACGACCACGAGAACATTTTGAGCATTGTCTAAGTTCTAGAAGACCTACCCGTTCGAGTACGTTCGATGAAGTTTGTAAATAGATCCCAAACGGTTCTTAGTAGGTCCAGTCCGCTCGTACACAGTTGAAGCCCGTTTTCGAGAACGTAGTGAGAACTAGTTTGGTGTGATAGTAGGGTTATACCGTAGTAGCACATTAGCACATGCTGGATTAAAAATAAATATTTACATTTTATGTTAGACTTTTTTGAAAATAAAATATGATCGTGTCCATTGAAAACAAGACATAAATAAAAATACTAGTAACTTTAACATTCGACATAACTGAAAGTTTGGCAACCCGAAGTTAGTCTAATATGCTTACCCTACTATCACACCAAACTAGTTCTCACTACGTTCTCGAAAACGGGCTTCAGCTGTGTACGAACGGACTGGACGTACTTAAAAACAGCTTCGGGTCTATTTACAAACTTCATCGAACGTACTCGAACGGGTACTAGTAGGTCCTCTAGAACTTATAACATGCTCAAAATGTTCTCTTGGTCGTCACGTTCTACAATTAGAACGAGTGACAACCTACTAACGACGAGCTGGACGTACTACGAACGGAACCGTCGTACTTCAATCCTACTAGGGACTTTTTTACAACGAGTTGAACTGTCTGAGGACGCATTGAGAACGAGGTAGAACTAATTTCAAACGGGTTAAAACTGATTAAGAACGTATTTATCAACGAGTTAGCAAAAATATAGCTATCACACCAAGCAAGTTGCAACTGCGTTCTTCAAAACTGGTTTTAAACTGTGTGCGAACAACGTTACAACGTTCTACGGTCTGTTTACGAACTTCATGGACTTTCAAGGACGGGGAATGTGATTTAGAATTTTGAATCGATTCAAAATTCGATGGCGACCATACCGTTCTGTAATCAGGTCATGATGACCTTCTAGACTAAGGGACGCGTTATACGACGTTGCACACCGACGTGGTGCGACCTGAACGAACTGCGAATGAGATGGACGTATTTAAGACTGTTTATGAACGAAGTAGCTAATAATTTTAGACATATTTCCCGACTACAGCCAGATTGAGCCCGTTTTACGACGTTTTCGTAGGACTGGCAAGAACGGGCAAGAACTAGCGGAATTGTTTTTGACGCATCTTTTTAATTGTGTCGCCGATTCTAATCCTATCCTATCACACAAAACTTGTACCCACTACGTTCTCGGAAATGGGCCTCCAGAACTTAGAGCATGTTCAAAATTTTCTGAGGGTCGTCACGTTCTGCAATTCGAACGAGTTACAACGTACAAAGACGAGCTGGCCGTCTACGGTCGTACTTCTACAGTACTAATTGTAAACGGGTTTAATTGATTAAGGACGTAAATTGAAGACTGCCAATGAACGAGTTAGCAAAAATATAGTTGCCAAACTTGTTGCCACTGCGTTCTTAAAAATGTCGCCGAATATTGCTTTAAAACTATGTACGAACGGAATGAACGTAGCGTCAACTTTCTACGGTCTATTGACGAACTTCATGGACGTGCTCGGAAGAGAAGGTGATTTATAATTTTGAATAATTTCAGAAACATTAAAATTACAACCATCACTGCAGCCCATGAGTCTACAATTATACAGTAATCTAAACCCAATGACTGCTCGCTGTCAAGAAGCACTGGCCTATGATAAATAAACTCAATACTGTCAAAAACTAGAAAAATATTAGACCGGATAAATGAAAAATTCTAATATGACAAGATATCCTGTTACTATTATTTTTTAAGTGGACAAAATATTCTTATAGATTTTTCCATTTAATTCCACTCCTTGAAAGGTTAGACTACTTCATTTAGGCCATATTGAACAAGTTCAACGGCTCAATCATAGCGTCACGAATTTCCTGTTACAATACTAAATTATAAGTGAAACTGTCCAACACCACCTGGATTAATCTGATTTCACAAATCTATTTGCAAGTCAATATATTCCTTGATTAAGATTGGAAGTGGTAACTGCTGGATTTTCTTTGGTATTGAAATTATGGCATTTCCGTTGTTTCTGCTCAGTGTGTTTCGTACAGTGCACTTCGCTATATGACGTAATGTTCGGGGACCATGTGTAATGGACCTTGGAAGACTGGACTTGTAAGACGGATGGACACAAAACAGGGTACTTGAGCTTCCCATGTGATCTTGTGTAAGTTGTTGACATGGACGAAGTGGTAATGTGGGCAAGGCAGTTTGGAATGCATTTATGCATTCATTGATCTGCATGTCGTACGCTTTTCTCTGTCGCATGAATTCTTCACGGTAATTACTTTCAATAGCGTGAATGTGCGTTTTCCAAAAAACGGACGCGTTTAGTTTCATTGCAAGAACTTGAAGTGGAAATCGCTGTTGGCCTGAAGGATCACTGAAACTGTAGACTGGAAACATCGGTTGAGCTCCGTACCTCAAGAGCAACCTTACTCCTTCGGGTGACTCTGCTTGACAAGCAAGAAGTAATGGATTGCAATTACGGCATGATGAAAGTGGTGCATCTATAAACGCAACGTCTGACCAACGCGATGCTACTGCTGTTTCGTTCAAACCCAGAATGTTAGCAATTGCACCGTGGTTCGTCCTTACCACAATTCCACTGCAATGTGTGAGAAAGTACTCAAGGGCATTGAGTTGTTCTTTCGTGACGACTGTGGTAGCCGCATTTGATTGGTTATAAATCGGGTATAGATTGTTTTCTAGCTCGCATGAAAATGCCAATGGGTCCAAGAATTCGAACCATCTATCATGGTTTCCGGTACAACTGATAGCAGTTTGCACAACTTCTAAGACAAGTTTTGAATCTTCAATTGAGTACTTTTGACAAAGATGAGCTGCGATGTATAGTGCCTCTGTTGGATCATCATACACATCATGTGAAGAGCACGGCGTAGCTGCATGGAACTCCAAAGCTTGCTTTATGATTTTCTTTACAACTGCTTTGTAAGAACAGTTATCGCTAATATGTTTGTATATGAGATTTCTCGCCTTCTTTGCATGTTCTTTATTAGTAAGACATCGCCATCCATATATTCCACGAATCTTTGTAAATATGTTTATATCAGTCATCATTCTGAGGTATTCTGAGTGAGCGAAGATTTCATATTTCGCGCCTATGGAGTTGAACATGATGACACGATTGTTACGTCATAGCTATTACGATGTGATTTTCTGCTGGGCACCATGCAATTTTAGATAAGGAAAGTAAATCTTTAAAACACATCTTATTGGATTGCAATATAATCTAAAGCCCAGTATACACCAATGGGGCAAAATCCCACTTGCTCCATCGAGTCCCATCGTACCCCATCGAGCCCCATGGAGAAATCCCACCGTGCCACATTGGTGCATGTTGGGCTTTAGCCTACACAACACGTCATATGATCGAAAATTCCACGATGCCCCATGGAAAATATGAACATGTTCATTCTCGATGGGGCAATATATGGGACTCCGTCGGATTTTGCCCAGTCTTGGCCCATCGAATCCTACAGAGTCCCACGTGGGACCTCATGGGACTCGATGGGGCAAAATCCGACGGAGTCCCATGAAGTCACACAAACCTTCCTCTTATCTTAAGAATCTGCTTGGAACCATCCCATTGGATTTCTATGGCAAATTCCTCAACGAGAATATTCTAGGGATTAAGGAAGGTGTCAGCATTACATAATTTGAGAAATTATTGGCATACGTGAAACCTATATAAACTAGCATTTTTCTTATTGAAAAGCATGGGACCTTGATGACTTTGCTCCATCGAGTCCCATCGTGCCCCATCGAGCCCCATGGAGAAATCCCACCGTGCCACATTGGTACACAAAACACCATTTATCTTATTTAAAAGCATGGGACCTTGATGACTTTGCTCCATCGAGTCCCATCGTGCCCCATCGAGCCCCATGGAGAAATCCCACCGTGCCACATTGCTGACACAAAACACCATTTATCTTATTGAAAAGCGTTGATTCTCAATGATTCTCAGTCCTCTGAAGTTTGAAAATAGATACCTGGGTGTTAATCCATGCATTTTCTTTGAAAATAAGAAATATCTTTTTGGATTATATGGTGTCATCTTACGGTCAATAAAACGTTTTAAAGTGTATCTTTATGTTATTTAGATGAAAACATAAGCGAAATGCATGAAAAAACTCCTCGATTCATTCTACATACAACTCGCGGTCCTTTGAAATCAATCCATCGCAAACTATTCGACTATTCGTGAGTGGGGCTTTGATGGCCATAATGTTAAATATCATACATTTTTTTTAAAAAATGCCTCGAAATCTAATATTTTCATGACGATATAAGCTTATGCCATTTCGAATCTTTTCAATACATTTTTGTGGCCACCACCTTGATGTAATCTTGATTGGCATTCCTTGGTCCATTGTACTTGTTTTATAACTTCATAAAATCATAAAAGTACCATTATATGCAATCGTGCAATTGTTTGATATATTTGTAGAGGGCTGTAGATAATACTTTGGTATTCTGGCAGGCTCAATGCATTGCCATTTCCACTATGCTTTATAACTCATTGTAACTCCCAATTAGCGACCACGACCCTGGTATCTTGAGACTACTTTTAACTTGTAATCGTTTAAAAATAGGATGCAAGTACAAAGGAAACAATGACGCATTATGAGAAAGTCACTTAACCTTGTCCACTCTAATTTTCCAGTGTTTGCTAACATGAGGTAAGTACCCACTTTTCTTTTATCAGAAATGTCGATAAAATGAAAAAGAAATCATTGAGCTTGTTCTTTGTCGCGAAAAATAGTTCGCATATTTCAATTCAGTTTTAATTCAATGTTGCCTTTTTGGCAAAGAATTATTCATCTTTCAAGTATAAGATTTCCAATTCTTGTATAATTCTAATATTTAAAGGTTAAATCCAGGGATCACACTTGTGTATGAGATATATAAAAGTACATTTGAAAAGTGCACCCGGACCATCTTGCCCTGGAGCATTTTGAGAGTTAAACAAATTCGTTGAAAATTAACTTTAAATCCCAAACTTTAATTTGATAATATCGAATACGAACCTTTTCTTAAGGAGCCAATAAAACCCACCCTTTGATAAGCTACAATCAATAGCTTGAACAAACACGTCTACTATTAGTATGAGCGAAGAACATTGTTATCTTAACTCATTCAATAACTTAAGTCATAAAGGATTGTTGCTTTTTCGTTTTTTACAAGTACGAGGTTAAGACTTCAATGAACTGAGGACATTAAGGTCGTCAAACTTTTGCGAAAATAAAATAAGAAATATTATGAATGTATCATCTGAACAATAGATCATTTGTTGAGTTCATAATACTATCAAATCAAACTAAAGATATGATCGAATACATAAAAATTAAGAATAACATTTTCTATTATTATTTGCATTCATCGTGTTCATGTTATTATAAGTGTGCGCAAACTGAAAAATTCATATTTAGTGAAATTTGAGAATCAAATTCAAACAATGTTGTATTCATGTGCAATGTTGCTAGGTAACCCGTTTACATCAACATTGATTTGAAGTTGTACTATTTGATTGAAGAGTGTTAAAATGTACTTAACATTTAAACTTAGACGATCGACGAAGTAGCATAAGCAATAGAAAAAATAAACTTTTTGTTCGTAAACTGGGCAGAAAATCATTTGAATGGATTACTCAAATTGAGTCTAAAACTCCGAAGAAACGTTTAAGAGTTAAGTTAAGGATACTGTTATATCAATCAATTATTTGCTGGAATGAATAAGATCTAAAAGTAAGAAACTATGAATTACAACTATTGATAAACCTATTGGATTATGGCTTTCCATATCGACTGCAAACACTGAACTTGAATTGAGTGATAATAAAGTAGGGGTTGTCGATGAAAAGTCACCATGAGCCGCTTGAAAGGACAGAGAACCAATATTAACAGTAAAAACACAGACAACAATGTTGCTGTATCGACAAATAGTGATGAAGCAACAAATGACATAATGTCTCGGAATAATGGGACTTCATCTCAAGTTCGGCGTGAGAACTATAACACCGGCAGAAATATCGACACAACTCAAGGCTCAAAACGAATGAGAAAGGGGTCTAGGTTTCCCGAAATTGAAAACACATTTCACAATAATCAACTTCAAGCAGAAAAATTTCCCCGATATGATCAAAAACAAAGTGGATTAACTAAAGGATACGATGGTAGGCCTACCCAGCGGATATCCGTTGAAGAAAATGGGGAGATATCCAGAAGAAATAGTTCCTCGAATAATAGTGCAATCTCTCAAAAAGACAAAAGGGTTAGGCGAAAACTCGACCCATCTCGACTGACAATTATGTCGAAGGGGTTATTCAAGGCGGTCGCCGAGTGCCGCTTCAACCAAGTTAAGTTCCTGGTTAACTGTGGTGTTAAGTTAGATTCAAGGAATGATGAGGGATTTAACGTACTGGTGTGTGCTTTGCATATAGAAGACGACGACAGGAGGGATAGAATGTTTCGGTATCTCTTAAAACGTGGAGCTGAATGCTTGGACGTGGATGACAAACATAATAAAAATGTCCTCTCTTGGGCTTGCAGTTTAGGCCGATCAAAACAAGTTGAAGAGATACTACGTGAATACATGGGCGAAATTGACTTCCATGTACGGGACAAAAGTGGTCGAACTCCTTTACACGATGCCGCTATATCGGGAGATATGAGTACGGTCAAAGCGGTTTTAAAAATCATGGAAAAATACAAAATATCTGTAGATGTATCAGACAATATGGGATTGACTCCCTATCTTCATGCGAAGCGTTTGGGCCATCATGAGATTGTGTATGTATTCGAGAAAGACAGTGGAGTCTGTCGCTCTCAGTTTGATACAAGAACGTTTAGAACTGCAAGCGCATGGGAGAGAGTAGGGCAAGATGACCGTAAGAAACAATCACAACATCAGCGCGAACAGGATGCCGCAGCTTTTAAAATACGTGGACAAATTCCTCCTTGGGATAAACACAAACTCAGTCTACCGAAATTGAAGTTTACAATGGATGATACTATGGTAACACCAAGTTTCTCGGACAGTTCGTCTAGCAAAAACTATAATTTACGAAATCCCAAACGGTATAGTCAAAACTTGAGACAAACTTACCCCGATGGCACAGGAAATAATATACATCTTGGGGGAAAAGGACAAGGTCTCAATACAGCTCTATCTATATTAGATTTGGCTCAATCACAAGGCAAAGGAACCATTGCAGATCATTTCGTTCAGAGTACTGCGATTGAATCTCTTGGCAGTGGCCCGGCGAGTAGTGGACACCATGCCGCCCCGGGAGGAGTAGATCTGACATCAATGATGGTGGCACTTTCAGATCAACAATCATCTGCATTCAGGGCTAATGTAAAATATGTCAGACCCTCAACACCAAAGCAGAAGCTGATGAAAGCCCGACAGAAAATATCTACTCTTGCTATCCTATTTGGTAAAGTAAAGCCTGGAGCTAAGGGGATCAAGAACAAAGGTAAGAAGGTGAAATCAAGAAAGAACAATGATCATCCAGTAGTTTCACAACAACTGCCAAAATTTGCAAAAGCCAGGAAGCAGCGTGTTGGTGTGGATGAATCGAGGGTTCGTAGAAGTAGGAAAATGTCGTCTGTCTTACCACCAATAACAATTGGGCAGGGTTAATAATAACAGTATGTACCCGAGGCCTGATGGACTATTCTTTTTGTTTGTACTGGGTTTGTCCATAAATATGTGCATATTATGTTTAACAGCTAATAATTATTTCAATTAGTTCACTTTACTACGGCCAATCAGTTATCTATGTCGATTCCATCTCTTATTACGGCTGCCATGCGCTCTAAAATTTCCGATAGCAATTTAAAACTCAATTGTCATCGCGGTGGCCTCTTAATCTAAAAGGCCGTAGCATTTCCATGGTCACATACTTTAGGAGTCACACATGCTATATAATATGTATACGGTAAACACACGGCTTTTTTGAATTTGTGGGCAACGAAATCCTGCGGCTGCCGTACGCCCTTTGAAGTGATGGGGTATAGTCACCTAGGAGCGCAGACGTAAGGCGGTAGCAGAGGAATCGTATGGCGACCAGACGGCAATCGGACGGCAAGTCTGAAGCTATGATCATGGCTACGGTTTATCTAGCTTCTAAAGGCAAACGGAGAAATGAAAAAAAAAGTTATCAAGTCAGTGTTGAAATTTCACGACAATCCTATACGGTTTGCAAAAATAGGAATTTGCCATAGTGCGGCCTTGCGGCGACCGCAGAGTTTCTATGGTCGTATCAGGTTTTACTCGATTCCGGGAAACTACGATCACCGTAGCTTAGCCGTAGAGCAAATATGCACAGATTTTGGACCAACCTTAATTTCTTGCCATTTATGTTTGTTACTTGATATTAACATATAAAATTAGTGTGAATTAACATACTGTGGTTATGTTGTTATTAATTGTATGTACTTCTATACTGACTTGATACAAAATACTGTGATTGGATCATAAAATTTGTTAAAATAAAACATTAAATACCAAGGAGTTCCGTCGACATTAGGCCTATATATTGATCGTTGGTAAAAATGAAAACAAGTGTATCTTTCATAAAAAAAGAATTTTCTCAAATGAAAGCACGTAAAATAATTACGTTGATTCAAGTAATATATTTGATCCAATTACATTATCTTGTTCTCAAAATATGATTTTGGTTTTTGATATACTAGTTTGAGTGGATTTACATCATGACATATCTACTGAAAACATTCTTGTTATTATTTGGTTATATACTAGCATCGACTTTTTTATGATCTCCTCTTCATAAAAAATCAAACGATGTTTCAGAAAAAAGGTAAACGTTCAATTGGTGGTGACATATTTGTGAATGGATCTTATGATTTGTTTTTGACAATTTACAGTTACGGTTTCTAAAATACTTTTTCGGAGATACACTACCGTAAATTTTGAACTACTATTGTATTGAATAGCCCCGTCCAAAATCTTTTCAAAATCATAAAGTTTTGCACTATTTTGACCGCTTTTCAGGTGATGATTATTGGCCTTTATCAAATGAACTCCCCTGAAGTTTTTAAGAACTGAAATATATGTCCATAAAAACAAATGTGTCTTCCATAAATAATGAATTTTCTCAAATGAGAGCACGTAAAATGATAACGTTTATCCAATAACGCAGATGCGAGTAGGTAGTTACCAGATTCACCACCAGGTGGCTCGTTCGGGTCAGATAGCATGGCGGGTATAGTAGAAAGTTGCCTTTAACTTAAATTACATCTATTTGCGTGGTTCAATTTTCATATAACCCTTATGTATCTAATAGTTATGCAAATTAAAATATGTCCAGTAAAAGAAAATGTTATCTGTCCAATACAAGAAAAGATAATTCACTTTTTGTGATTTTCTAGCATGTGGTCTATGGGGAATCAACCCGAACAAGAAGTCACATTTTCAAAAAAATTAAATTTTCAAAGTTGATAGACAATTTTTGAAACCACATTTCTAGATGTACATTTACATGCAGATTTCAAATATGACATCGATTTGACTGAATTTTGAATATTAATGACGTAAATCAAGATTATTTCTACTCGCATGTAGTCTATTACATTATCTTATTCTCAAAACACGATTTTGATATTTTTGGTATATGTGGATGGATACACTACTGTAAGTTTTTACACTGCGCGCAGTCTTATAGTTATATACTACCGAAGACGAAACTCTCTTTTCAGAAGCGAAGTCAAACGAATGCAAGGGGTAGTAAATTTTCAAACTACTGCATTAATCAGTTAATAGCCCCGTCCAAAATCGTTTTTGAGCGCTTTTCAAATGATTACTGGCCTTTATAAATTGAACTCCCCTGGAATTTTAAAGAACTGATCCTCTTGGCAAAGGCTGGCTACAGGCCTGCATTATTTAATATCTTTAGGGACATCCTAAAACATGCATTGGAGTCACGACCTTGCCATTTTTAATGATTGACGCCTCATTTGCAATTGCTAATATAAACTACATAAAGAGCAAATAAGATTTTGAGTCTAGCGACAAATCTTGCTCTCAACTTTGGGGCACAAATTGAAGGTGCTTCAAGTGCAATATTTAGAAGGTTAAGATATATGTTTTGTACGTGACCATGTGGAACCTCAATACTGCAATATCAATTGTTATCTTTTGGCTCTGTATAGTAAGGAGAGCAGGTGAAATAAAAAATTTATCAATATGCGATTAGCTAATGGGAAGCTCATGCATTTTTAATACAAGTATAGAAATTGTAAAAAAGATGTATATTTTAGATGGAATGCTATACTTAATAGATTTTTTAAGTGGTTCTCATTTTCATCCGCCATTATGAGAATTAAACAGCTAGGATATGATCTTATCTAAAGAATAGGGGGTTATTTCTCTAATATCAAATTTCCGTCGAAATGGCTTTGGAATTAAGTTTTACACTCTAATGAAATTGAAGATTGCATAATTGTCAATTCCATTATAATTACAAATGCACCAACAATAAAGCTCTCGATTTAAACTTACATTACGCTAAACTATTGTTTTGCCGCCTTGATTAAGGGGCAACAAGGACTGTAGAGAGAAAATTCGAAATGTTTTCTTTTTTCTGAGCTATCAGGTCAATATTTGGCTTAACATCTTATTTGACATACCTATTTTCTTAAAATGTATGGAAAAACTATCAATTTCAGCATTAAGAAGTGTCACTTCAGTCCAAAGCTTCTATAAAGGGAGTCCCACTTATCGATTTTTAAGATCCACCACGTTTCAAGAGGAATATCAACTGAAATGATGTTCATCCAGGGGGAAGATAATAAAAATATATGTTAGTCTTGATGAAATATTCAAACTTAAATATATTTGGCACTGTTTATAATCAGAATTGGTCGCAATTAAGAACTGTTAATAATACATTATTATGTGATGATATAACGCCCTATGAAAATAATCATGTCCCAACTCACATTTTGAATTTTTTTCACAGACTTTCCCTATTTAAATCATCCTCTTTCTTCCTGTGCGATACCTTTACCTTTATCTACTCTCAATAGCCTGCTTTTCAGTGTCGAACTGTCCTTACTCCATAAAAATTTCAACAAGGCACAAGCTGAACAATATCGTACCTAAAACATAGCAGTGTGATGACCCAGAAAGCAAGATGGCCACCAAAACGTTAAACAGTTCTAGAACTTCTTAGCATGCAGCATGTGTAAAAATTTGAAGCAAATTCCTTAAGTGGTTTTCTTGGAATGGCGATGACAAGATGTATTGTTTACAGACGTCATATGTTTTTAAATAAATTTTAAAAATTAAAAAAAAAAAAAAAAAAGATGTATTGTTTAAGAACCACATTTTCACTTGTTAGAATTCAATTCCATTTTTACTTGTTGGAATTCAATCGATAGTACTAATACTCCCTAATCATTGTTAAGACCCGACCAATTTGAGTTTTTTCTGAGAAAATAAGAATTCTGTATTATCAACATGATGACATACTAAGTCAATGGTTTATATCCCCATGTTAATACATGTCAATACACCCTTGCTGAAATCCAAATTATCTCAGAAGAACTCAAGTTGATCGAGTATAAACAAGTAGATTCATGTGGGAGAATATTGCTAGAATCCATTTTCAATAGTAAGAAGCTTAACTATAGACCTTTTTGAAAAACTTTGTTGGCTCTACAAGTTAGAACTAATGAATACATTAGTGGCTAAATCTGACACAAAGCCGGGACACTGAGACGGCCTTAAAAGAAGTGAATTTATCCAATGCTACTCTTTAATTCAAGCTTTTGGATTTCCGATCAAATATGGAGGTTATAGAATATTTAATACATACAGATCTCCAAATAGAAGCTTGAGTCAACATAACATTGAAATACTAGCATTTGTATTGCGTTCACCTACTGTGTTAAAATAAGTACATGTGCCTGTGTTATCAAAATCAATCAAGTTAAAATAAATATTACAAAGCATTTTCGCACCATTTTGAGTGGCAATACTGAGTTGAGTACAGCAATGTTAAATAAGTGGTTCTTTATTTAAATACAAGTATAGATTTCAATCAATATGCAAATGATACAACGCATTCCAGGTATACCAGGTTGTTCAATTAGTTCACGGAAAATGCTGTCATTTCGAAGATTGTAAATATTTTTTCATGAAATTTTCACATAACATCCCAAAAATATCTAGTTATTGCTTTTACTTAAATATCAGCACCTCTTAACATGAATATGGATAGCTAAAAATAAATGTTTTGGATATTCTGAAAAACAATACCAAAAACCATTGAAATGGGACCACTCGAACGTGAACTTATATTATTGAACGACCTGGTGTATCTTTAGAACCAAAGAACAATTTGAAAAAATACTTCGGAATGATGTTATAGTAGTGTCACCTGTCAAGTACCAATCTAGATTGTGAGAAATAGTCAAACTCCCGTGTTTTATTGAAAATTCAAGATTTTTCGACAAGACACCCTGACGTTTCGTTAATAAAAACTATAGATATTTCACCAGATTCATGATCTCCCGATTCTCACCCCATTTTTTACGAATTTTAGAAAAAATATCCCAAATTTTTTACTTTACAAGTATGTTAATATTTGACCGTCAACGAAAAATGTCGTCTTTACCCCGCTATATTCTAGATTGCCCAATTTCTCTTGAATGCTGCCATCTATCATGAAAGTGTGCGCACTAGACGTCGCATAATTTCGAGTTAATGGAATAGGAGTAGAGGAACAAAACTCAAAGATCTATTCGACATACTGAATACTAATGGATCAATTATTGTCATTGGTAATCGATATATTCACCTATTTCAATATTTACTCAGTTATTTCCATTACGTGGTCTCAAGTGGATCTCCTTACTGTAAATACACAAATTGCACTTAATGACACATTGAAAATACGTCAAATTGCATTATCAGGATATTGGCAATATAAAATAGAATTGATTTTGCATTTTATTGTATACATCAATATTTTCAAATGTCACAGCGTAATCTAAGGGGCAAGTGGAAACATAAAATCATTTTTTACATTATCTGTTCATGTCCACATGCATAAAACCTTACTTTATCTTGAACAGGGACAGTATGAAATCCAGATAACTAAACCCTTATAAAGATCAAGATGCTCGACATCTTTTGTTTTGCAAATCATCATTATACATTAATCAATTATTGTATTTGTATTTTTTCCAAAATAGAGCTTTTAGTGAAAATCAAAAATAGCCTAAACTAGATAGATCTATCAGATCGTCCACTGGCATACAATTGCCAAATGACATCTGCGGATGAAGAAAATATAGAATGACATGCAGGAGATGTAAGTAAAACTTGTAATTGTCTTACATTGGGACCGATGTGAACATTTTTACGATCTCCTAGTTTCTCCTGAGTATGCGTCTCGGTTTAAAATCTGGAATTGGTATTACCACGGACTTGTTAACGTTAATAATATGAGTCTCGTCTGTAGAAATTAGGGTCTCTCCATAACGTTTGGTCTCTCCAACATCAAGACCATAGACCCTAGGTCCGGTTAAAAGTGTATGGACAATCAGTTCTAGCTTTAAAAAGAGAGTGACAGTCCCATTAAGACCATAATCACTAGGATTCACAATCTACAGCTATCTAGGAAGTACTGACCGAACTTCCGACACATTTTAGAAAAGGTTTTCACATTGAGAAGTACTCGAACTAGAGAGATGACCATATCAGCACATATTGTAGTATTTACTGACTTATGGTCATATTTTCTTCGTTTTTTACAGGTACAAAAACTAAGGTCCAGACAAAGGCGACGCCCCCATTGCAGAAACAATGGCAGAAGCCCAGAATGAACAAAGCATCCAGGTGATTGACGTATGTGATGGTGACATTTAGGATTTTAATGTACTTCACAGAGACATTCTAGAACACGTTGACTAATCGAATGGCTCGGGTGTATTGAACTATATATGGGTATGGGTATATTGGTATATTTCCTAATCACCTCCCGGGAGTCAAATATAGGACACAGAAAAATCAATGAGTGGGGAATATGACAATGAATGATAATTAAATATATTCATGATACCCAAATAAGGCCGTTTCCTGATAAACAAAGTACAATCACTCCATTTTACTCTAAAAGCCATGGATAACATTTAATCTAATAAGAATCACTATTTATTTGTCATATATGAAAAACTCTCTTGAAAGCCCTTGAAGGTACACACAAAGCAAAATTGGTTTTAAACTTATAATACAACATCTGCTGGTATATCTTCTACAGCAACATAATCATGTTCGATGGAATGTTCTAGAACTTTCACCACCCGTAGCCCAGATCTATCATCACCCAACTGTGCACCAACTGCGGAGGTAACAACAAGTTCCATGTTTTTGTAGGTACCACCAGCATTTCTATGGTAGTGTCCACAAAATATTGTTTTTACACCTGGAAGTGAAATTGAATATATTTTCGTCTCTGAGAAAACTGAGCCAGAAGTTCATAGGACAGACAAAGTAAGACCAAAATAAAAATATTTAAAAGATGAGGATGAACAATCATCTGACAGATTTACTATCTGAAGAAAATGAAATTTGAACATTCAAACAATTACTTCATTACTAATTGTAGCATTTGTTTCCAGTATTAGAGAAAATAAATGTACTCTGGATATTTAAATAATGATTTATTACTAATTGCAATACTGCTTTCAGTTTTTTCAGATTCATGTCTGTGAAAAATCAAAAAAATAAAGTCCCATACTGGTGTTAAACTTAAAAATAACAGGTCATTAACATGTAAAATATCATCACCTGTCATTTGTTACAAATGCTAAATGACAATTGCTGGAGGCTGAACACCAACTGCCGAACACCATGGCATCAACAAAAAAAGTTGAACACCATAGCAATATGTCACCCATGGTGTATGGTAATAACAAATGGATGTACTGTAACTATACTCACCTGCATTGTGGAATTTTTCCAACATTTTTTGTCTCACTGTAATATCAATGTTAAAGTATTCATTTTCTTCCTCGGGAGTCTTGAGGAACCAAGGTATATGTTGGAAGATGACAAGATGCTGGTATTGTTTGTCAGAATTTCGAGCTGAAGAATATAAGGCCAACTCTTTGTCCAACCAATCATCTTGCTCCTGCTTCAGATCAGGAACCTGTATTAAGATATGTCACAATGCAACAGTTGCAATAGTTGAAAATGCAAACCAACAAGTATTAAGTCTCCTGTAAACATTCTAAAATCATCTGCTTTAATATACTGGGAATGGTCAAGTCAAATTGACAGCAAAGTGTGGTAGAAATATTAAAATATAGATTGTTTATGAATAACTCAGATGCGAGTAGGTAGTAACCAGTTTCACCACCAGGTGGATCGTTTGGGTCAGATACTGTGGCGGGTATAGTAGAAAGTTCCCTTTAACTAAAATATTCATCAGTTTTAGCGGTTTAATTTTCATACCACCCTTATGTATCTAATAGTTATGCAAATTAAAATATCTTCAGTAAAAGAAAATATAATCTGTACAATACAAGAAAAGATATTTCACTTTTTGTGATTTTGTTACATGTGGTCTATGGGGAATCTCCCTGAACTAGAAGTCACATTTTCAAACAAATGGAACATTCAAAGTTGAAAAACAACCACATTTCAAGATGTACTTTTACATATAGATTTCTAATATGACATCACTTTGTCTGAATTTTGAATATTTAATGAAGAAAATCAAGATTATATCTACTCACATCTACTGTAGTCTATTCTACAATGTCAATTGTTAGTTAAAACCTGTTTCTTCTCACTTAAACCAGGCTAAATTACATTGGACCACTGACCAACATCATATTAAAACATATTCTATGTTTATTTTCAAATGGTATGAGTGAGTTGAATATACCTGGCTGCTATCTTGGTAGAACTGCGAATTGAGGGCTATATATCTTACTCCACCCACAGTGAATGCAAAATAATCATCGCCAAAACTATTCTTGTATATTTGGATGGATTCTGGTGTAGGTGAGTCTCCAACATCATGGTTTCCGCATACACATACGAGAGGAATATCGGGGTGAATTTCATTGAAAACCTGCTTCAAATCTTTTTCCTGAGCAGCCCTGTAAGGTGAACCTACAATTGAGAAGATAATTCAATGACGGACAGTACAATTTTTAAAGATCCCATTGGTGATCTCACTGACAATATGTATTTGAATTCAAAACATCCCAAAATTTTAAGATAGCCCTAGAAAATACTAGACAACATGAACAGTATATAAACAGCGAAATATGAACTCTAAAATTAATACATAATAAATGACATTATGTAGAACTTTAGGCTCTTCAGTATATACATGCAGTACAAATAAAGTGTTTTTGATACATTAAAGGGTGAACAACATTAGTGCAGAGATGTGGACCTAGTGTCAAAATATTTTGAAGTTTGGATATTGCATCAAGGCTAACATATATTTTATCATCTATGAGAAAACCCCTGAATGAATGTTATTTCAGCTTAATGAATGCGTAACTTTTAATTTCAGCATTCCTACGGTGTCTTGAAATATAATATATCTTAAAAATCTATAAGTGGGTTTCCTACATTTTAAGAAAATAGGTCTGGCAAAGAAGATGTTAAGCCAAATGTTGCCTGATAGTCATTCCAACCAAAATTAATTACCCAGATTGCTCTTAGTTGAAAATTGGAAAAAAGATTAGCAGATAGATCAAGTTATACATGGAACTACAACTATTTCCGTTTTGGCAATTAAGGGAGAAGTAGTCCAAAGGGTGACAACTATTTCACAAGTTGACATTAGTGTTTTACATAACAACAGTGCTACCTTAACCTCCCCAATGACTGACAACCCATGAGTGAATCATTCAATATGTTTACATTGGAAACACAAGCATCAATCAATGATCAACATACAATGTATTCTCTTTCATCTGTAATTTGCCTCATAAAAACCTCCTTTGAAATTAGACTATGCTGATAAATAATTGATAATAGTGCACAAACAAACAAGTAAACAAAACTTGAATACATGCCTGGGAATTCATGCACTAAATCCCCACATACCACAAAGAATCGAGGCCTGGGTTTCATCTTGTTGATATTTCCTATAGCTATCTTTAACAGTCTTATTTCTTCCTCCCAACTGTTGAATAAAAATTAAATATCTATTTCACTGTTTAATAATTAAATATCAAAAAGGCTCTTGGTATTTTACTGTTTAACAATCAATTGTGACATAGATTATTCTAAAAGGCATATCTTTAAGCACCTTGCCTTTTATAAGACATATCAGGCCCGTAGCCAGGGGGGGGGGGGGGGGGGGTTCGGCCAAAATTTCTTTCAGAATCATGCAGTTTTTTACCATTCTGACTATTTTTTGAGTGATTTTTGGCCAACTTTACCAAAAGTGAACCCCCCTAGAATTTTTGGGAAAAGTGAACCCCCCTTGGAAAATTCTGGCTACGGGTCTGTGTATGCACTTGATATGAAGTAAAGATACCTTGCCTTTTATCTTGTTGCCATATCATTACATATAGAAACATTCCCTGGTACAAGTTGTCTCTGGTGATCAACATACTTATGATATATTTTATCCCAGATTATCTTTATACCTGTACATCATACATGAACATGTACAGTTTTATGTAAAATATGTCATCAGTGTTAAATAGGAAATACTAAACTCACCCTGGTTCTGTCTTGTGGTCAAGGTAGCTGTCAATCATCCCAAATTGGGTATCTGCCCCTTGTATGAAACAGTATGGCCCTTGCCATTGCTTCTCATTTTCTGAAAAAAATTAAAGAAGTAACAGATACCTTATTCCCTCTAATGAGTGCACAGTTCCAATGAGCGCTCATGTAACTTTTATGTTGAATATGGTCTCAAGAAAACATGAAGTTAATGCATTAGATTATCAGCAATATTTTTTTCTAATTTTTTATATGTGCACTTATTATAATCTCTCAATATCTTACCTTTTTAAATTTCAAATTGGAAACTAACCATGCGCTTATTAGAGAGAACATGATGGTTGGCTATGGAATACCATCACTGAACATTGAGTTTACAAACATGACATGCTGGTACCTACATGTATAATTCACTTGTTAGTAAATTGACCCTGCCAAGACAATCATGTCACTTTTGAAAGGCTATCATGGTTGATCAATAAAATAATTATATCAAAAGAACTGTAATTTGAAAATCCTCAAGCTCACTGCATCATTTTTAGAAAAATGCACAAATGTGTAGGTTTCTCTGCCACCACTCACTTCACTCTTGAGTTTAATTTTTTCTTTTTTCTTCACCCTGCAATTATTAATCAAGTGGCTGATAATGCCTTCAGCAAAGCCACTACAAGTGTACAATGTTTATGTATTGTATTCTAGTTATATTTGTAAAATAAATTCTATGAATAAAAAAAAGAACTATACCCAAATGAAACAGGAATAACTATTTTTTCTTTGATTGAAAAATAACCTGAACTTTCACATGATTTTTGACAGAAATTTACCAAGTAAACATGAGATATAAAGGAAGTTCAGCCATTTTTAATGTATATTCACAAATCTCCGGACGCTACTTTGTGCATTTACGTCAGACCGCAATGTTGATTTCTCTCAAGAAGACGTCTACTTGAGGATAAAGACAAGTCCTGATCGACACAAAAGCAGCCGATAACTTAGAGACTTTCTCAAACAGAATATGGAGATTTCCGCAGGCCATCCAACTGTTCCGCAAATTGCATATTTTTCACAAATTTGTCGGAAAATTTTACATCATGCCAGTTTTTTAACGTGACAAAACATGTCACGCAAATACACTTTTTACCTGACTATTGTCAAGCAAAAATATTTCTGAAGAATAAGTGATTGCCGATACAGCAAAATAAAGAACAAATATTTTGAATTACCAAATCTTATAAGGTGGCTTAAAATGCTGCTTATTTTTTCGTGAAGCCACTCACAAGTTCCACTATATTTGGACTAACTAGGGCGGAGAAAATAGAGCACTGAAAACACTGAGGTAAGAATTTATTACATGTGTGACAGCATGTATTGTTCATAGCTATAGTAATTCTTTATGTTCCCCACTGTACTTGAATGATCTTGATTGGACATCAGGTTGCAGAGAAATGGTAATTTTACTGACTGGCTTCACGAAAAAATAAAAAGGCCATACACCTCAAACAGCTGAACTCGATCAGTATTTCAATGTCAGGCATTACAATTTTCTAGCGACTCAATATTTATTTATGTAGATGTAAGCTTTGATGTCCAAACATGTCAAGGTAAAATCACAGGAACCTGTATCAACACCTGACAGTGATATCTGGTGACCAAACCCCGGAAATAACCCTTTATCTCTTCAGGATTCTGTCACCAATAGATGTCACTGTCAGGTGTTGATACAGGTTCCTGTTGGTAAATCAAATACAGTTGGGGACATAAATAAATGACAGGTGGATTTGCTGAAGTGAGGATTTCCCATGTTAAAAATAAGAGAATTTACAAGAGGCCATACATCAGTGGATGAGATTATACAAAATGTAAAATATACAAATTTTAAGGGATATATATCTAGACAATATTGGAAATTATGGGCTTTCAGACCACCATAATTAGGAAATGGTGATCGAAAATCGACCTGTCATTTATTTTTGTCCCCAACTGTATTTTGAATTTTCAAAAATATGTAAAGTTAGACTAAACTATAAAGACACAATAGCGACTTCAATTGTGCGTGTGGGTTACACATATTAACGAAAGTAGAACCCTTATGTCATTAACTTGAAAACACGATAGTATAAAAACAAGTTACCTTCATCAAATCGCTCAAATCGACGATTTTGTGGCTTTGTGAGACGAGATGTTAGTGTTTCATCCGCCATGTTTCTGATCATGTGACCTACTAAGAGATCTTATATTTCGTTCAGTGCAAAATCCTACGAAACCGATAGAGAAGCACGAGCAAGTTTCACGAGCAGTTCACAAGGTATCACAGGGGCGGATCTGGGAACCAATAAGGGGGTGGGGGGGGGGGATTTCAGGTCAGAGAAAAAAATTCCGCGCCCCTTCAACCTCGGTAAATTAAAATGACGTCTATTCGAAAATTCATATGTCTGGGGTAAAACGGCCCACACAGGCTTGCCCGTAGCCAACTTTTACCAGGAGGGGGAGAGTTTTTCCAGGGGGGGGGGAGCTTTTTCACAATTTTGGCTAAAAATTATGCGAAAAATTCTCAGAATGGTGAAAAACTGCATGATTTTGAAAGAATTTCTGGCCAGGGGGATGGGGGGCGGAGCTTCCGCTCCCCCAGCTCCCCCTCTGGCTACGGGCCTGACAGGTAATAACATACAAAAATCTTACGAGAGTAATTGATTTTCAAATATAACGATTTTAACATTTGGTTTGTACCTTATTTCCTTCCGAGAATCGCTACTGAGAATTATGGTAGGAGTTAAAAATTATGTCTGTCAACGGTTTAAATGTCTGAGATAAGATTTGTGTGGACGAGTCTTGTAATTGATTAATCTTGGTTTAAAAACCCACGTAACAGAGGGTGGGCCGTTTTGCCCCAGCCATGGGCCGTTTTGCTCCGCTCCCGACATCATTTTTGACCATCGAAAAATCACAAAAATAGTCCTAGACAAGTATAACAGATTCGAAAAATGTAAACCACAACCCATTAATAAAGTGGAACATCAAAGTGCGATGATTGACAGATAAGAAAATACCACCTATGGAACAACTTAAAATCTAATTTTTATGGCCGTTTTGCCCCATGTTCCCTTACAATAATACAATACATTGGACATCACAATAATACAATATATGAGATACATATATGTATTGCATAAGTACCATTGCCAACTAAACAAAATCATATGAAACCGAGGAAATTATTAGAGAAGCATTAATGTTTCACTAGCAGTTCACAAGGTATCACAGGGGCGGATCTGAGAACAAAGGCATTACCAAGCTTCTGTAGCTACATAATAGTAAAATCAGGAGTTCCTCAAGGAACAGTTCTTGGGCCACTATGTTTCCTTGTTTATATCAATGATATGGGCAATAACCTATCATCCTCAACCAGTCTTAAGCTATTTGCTGACTAAAGCCTTTTATTCATGACAGTCGAAAGCAAGCAAGATACATTAACAACACTACAGGAGAATCTTCATAAACTGGTCTCCTGGGCATCAACATGGCAAATGAAATTCCATCCATCAAAATGCTATGTGCTAAATCCCATATCATTCACAATTACACCATGCTAGGGGAAAACCTTAAGTCGGTAACATACATCCCTTACCTGGGTATTGACATCACAAATAATTTACGCTGGACCACACATATTCAAACTATTGTATCCATAGCCAATAAGGTGCCATGGGTTCCTCAGGCGCAACCTCTATCAATGCCCTGAAAAAGCGAAGGCTTAGGCGTATAAGTCACTGGTCCGGCCTAATTTAAAGTATGCCAGCTCGGCATGGGATCCATACCGACAAGAATATATTGATATGTTGGAACAGGTACAGAGAAGAGCAGCCAGGTTTGTAACCAAATGTCACTCAAGGGAACCAGGCTGCGTCACCAAAGCTCTTCGAGACTCCATGCCTCCGGGGTATTTCAACATAAAGGGACTTCCTAGGGGGGTACAGGGACAACCAGGAAGGTTCCTTTCAATTTTAAAATGAGTTGTAAACCATATATCTATTTTTAAATGTTAAGGTTTTAAATTATATTCTATTCAAATCCTATCACTGTCAAATTATATATCTGCTTTATATTGGCTTATTAGCCTTTTGCAGATTATTGACATAGACATAGACAACAATACGGGGTTATTTACTGAAATTGATAAATCTCGTATGATCATAGTTTGAATACGTTTGCGTTTCCTTTGACCCACCCGTCGTTGTGATCGCTTTTTAAGATTACATGATTCACGATTACGGTAACCTCGAGCATGCTTATTATTTTGGAATGAGGGCATGGCTGTGACGTAGCCCAATACAGGCCCGTAGCCAGAGGGGGAGCTGGGGGAGCGGAAGCCCCCCCCCCTGGACAGAATTCTTTCAAAATCATGCAGTTTTTCACCATTCTGAGAATTTTTCGCATGATTTTTAGCCAAAATTGTGAAAAAGTTCACCCCCCTGGAAAAAAGCTCCCCTCCTGGTAAAAGCTGGCTACGGACAAGCAGTACCTAGTGCTTATTTAAAAGTAATGGGGATCTGGTTTGCTTGTGCCCTGATTGGTAACAAATATAACACCCCACAGACTGGGGATGGCAACAAGCGCTCGCCAAGTGGCAGGATTCTCCAAAAAACAAGCTATGGCATTTCCAGATCTATTCGGTGTTATGTTGGTCCTATTGTTTGGAAGAGAGTTTGTACCAGCATTGTTAGGATGGTTTTATTCCTATTATGGTTAACAGTCTGCCAGCCATTGGAGTTGGGTTGAGTATTACAAACACATATCTATTTTTTCATTATATGTTTATTTCTTCATTATACAGGGTGGTCCAAAAAAATCGGACACTCGTATTTCAAAAATAAATACTGATTTTCTTGATGAAAACATGTCATATTATATACCAGTGGATAGGGAATTTACTTATCTTTAATTTGGTATATCATAAGGTCAAATTAATTATAATGTCTGTCAACCAGCATCCATAATATAAATGATGTCATTTTCATTTCAAAACGGGTTCTCCAAAACTTGCAAAAGTTTTTTTGTCAATTCTATTTACATAAACAGATATTCAATATGTCCACCATTTTGATCAAATGTAGCCCTCAATTTTGGCCTAAACTGGTCAAAAGCATCATTGATATGCTATTGAGACAATGAATATCACTACTCAACAATTCAATCCTTAATAAGGGACTGAGTAGATGTAAGGGATTAATGATAAACCAATTCTGTTAGTTCTCGCAATATTTGGTCGTCGCAGACGTTGATATCGGATGACCCAATAATTTTGTTTTTGGACCATCCTGATATGAGCTCATTTCGAATCATTACATTCTCCATCAAGGCTCCAATCAATAGATCCCACAAGAGTGTCAAATGGTTAGAAGAAAATGTGCCTAGGTTCATCCCCCTTAATCACTGCCTCCCTAGATCACCCGATTACCCCACATCTGCGAGAACAAACAGAATTAGTGTACCATAAATCCTTTACCGTACATCTATTCAGTCCCTGAAGGACAGAATTATTGAGAAGTGAAATTCATTGTCTCAACAGCATATCAATGATGCTATTGACCAGTTTAGGCCAAAATTAAGAGCTACAATTGATCAAAATGGTGGACATATTGAACATCTTTTTATGTGAATAAAGTTGACAATAAAAGTTGGTTTTTGCAAGTTTCGGAAAACCTGGTTTGAAACGAAAATGACGTCATTTATATAATGGACGCTGGTTGACAGACATTATAATTAATTTGAACTTATGATATACCAAATTAAAGATGAGTAATTTCCCTATCCATTGGTATATAATATGACATGTTTTTATCTAGAAAATCAATATTTATTTTTGAAATACGAGTGTCCCATTTTTCTGGACCACCCTGTACATACACATGTACATATATTTTATACTACATTGATTTATTTTGGCAATACCTTTGCTATTATAGATCTTTAAATAGAGAGAACATTAGAATGTTAAGTGTTGTTCATATCAAAGTACCCAAGAACTAAAATATATACATGTAGTATAACAGAACAACACGAGAATTATGTCTAATGAATGTATACACTTTATTATATAAAAACATAAAACATGTTACAATAGTATAATTCTTTTGTTGCCACTTAACCGTCGAGACAGTGGAGGTACATGTATACAATGCATTCACAAGGCGGTGCATGTCGCACATCCATACATGCATCGTATCTCGAAGGCGTCAGAATCAGTCAAATAACTTCTCTGTCCGATTCTGTTGATGTCTATATTCTTGTCAAGAACTGTTATTGTTTGAAGGCCACGATATATTGCGTTGGTCTCCACGCCATAGTGCATAATGCTGTAGTAGTCGTATGGAGTTAAATTTTGAATCACAGATTCATATTCTTTATCATATTGTGCTTGTTTACCTAAAATACAACATACAGTTAATTAAGAAACAACCAGCGTATCTAGGGCTTTTAAAAATGTCAATGACCGATTTGTACTAAAAGTGAATGCACGTACAGTGTACCTGGAGAGCTGGAGCCCCGGCTGGAGCTCGTTAGATTTATTTCAAGTTTTTAGAAAAGACGCGTCGCATAAGGGTCATATTTGTATGTTAAACATTTGCAGTTTTGGCGTAATTTGCACGAAATAAAACAAATCTAGAGATTCTACTATTCATTAATCGCTCTACGAAATATGCCTTAACTGCTTTATAATTATATTGGTATACCATACCCCCTTCCCCCGATTGGTACTCACTTCGTTTAATGTTATTTCTATTTATTCTAACATAGTAATCCCTGTCGCGCCTGTTATGTTCATGCCAAAATCCCAATACATGCATAAGTTCATGTGCGGGTATTCCGTACTTCTTTCTGAAACAACGCGCGCCTAAATATAGTTCTTGTCGACCAATCCTGTAGAAACCTACGTATTGCGTCAAACACCTGCAATTAAGGACAATACACAATGGTCAGTATCAAGCGATCGTAACCTTCGCGCCAAAGATGGTGGATAATATTGGCGGATAATACGGAGATAATCTGCTCTTCAGACAATGTTTGATAGCTTTTCTCTACCACGGAACGAAGATATTTGCGCTGGTATGCCCATTTCCATGAGATAATATACGTGAAAGAGGTACTACGTCTTTTAATGTCATCAAAACTTTATGCCAACACGTAAAAAGGCCATTTCCCACTACTAAGTGTCGATTTGGTTATTTTTTATTTGTCATCGAATTTAACTACGTCATAGTTGACATAATGCTTTGGTATTTGAATTTTATCAGACACATAATACACTCCCCTCCATAAGTTTGGCAACCTTTTTTCCCCCATTGAACTACGTGTTAAAGCCTCTTTACCTTTGAATTTTTATTTACTTAACCTGCGATGAAAATACTTATATTATTGATGAAAACGTAATTTGACTTTAATTCCAATACCTCCAAATTTTCTCAATTTTTTTCTCAATTACAATAGGTCGAAAATTGGTGATGAATTTTTGAAAATCGACATTCCCATGTTAACCAATGAGAAATGGTAGGTTTGCCGCAAGTCATATGACAGAATATCCATCCATACGAGTCCTTGCAAAAAATACGAGTTAGGCAGGCAATTGAATTTGCTAACTTTTTTTAACAAAAAATTGATATGTTTCTTCAGGTTCAACAAAGTTATAGGGCTTTAAAGTCAAAATTGTTTTTCAAAAAACCTCTCCCATTGAAATAACACAGGAGGCGAAAAATTATTTTCAAAAATGACTTTGAAGCGCTGTAACTTTCATCAAATAAACTTAACACTTAGTGTTCAAAAAAGTTAGACAATTCAATTTTCTATATAAAAATATTTTTTGCTGAATCTTTTATTGAAAAGATATCCTGATTTCTGGTTTGCCCCGAACCCTCCATTTCCCATTGGATTACATGGGAATGACGATTTTCAAAAATTCATCAAATTTATCATCAATTTTCGACCTATTGTAATTGAGGAAAAAAATTGAGAAAATTTGGAGGTATTGGAAATAAAGTCAATTTATGTTTCCATCAATATCATAAGTTATTTCATCGCCGGTTAAGTAAATAAAAATTCAAACGTAAAGAGGCTTTAACACGTAGTTCAACGGGGGGAAAAGGTTGCCAAACTTATGGAGGAGAGTGTATGTGCCTGATAAAGAGAGAGAGACCTAAACACGTTGTGTTTATGTCGTTTTGTTCCAATGGGGTTCGGATAGATGTTTCATTTCATTCCGAACAAAAGGAGTGTCTGGTGTGTTTTCTAAAACAATATAGAGACAAGTATATACGTATATTTTTCTCCAAATTATACTGTTACCATTCAAAAGATCACCATTAAATTGACGATGTGTAAAATTTTCAGTATTTTTTAATGACTGGTTTAAGAGAAACGTGTGTTCAAAAAGTTCACCATATCGATACCAATCCTTTGTCAGGACCATGCCCCTGATTTTTTTAATAAATCATATATTTTGATCATAGAACCACGTGTCAAATAAGCCTACCAAGAACGCGTACGCGTAAAAAAAGCCTAAAAGTTCATTTTTTAATACGTAAATCATATATTTCGATCTTAGAATCGCCCAGAACGCGCCAAATAAGCCTGAAAATTCATCTTTTTGAAAGACGTAAATCATATATTTTGATCCTAGAATCGCTCAGGACGCACTAAATCAGCCCAAAACTCCAAAATTTTCCGGGGGAGCGTGCCCTTTGGCTACGTCCCTCACACGCATTATTTTACAGACTGTGGTAATTTGACTCGAATTTTGTTCCGTCTAAGTCGACTGATTAATAAAACTAGTCATTTTTAACAACATTAGGGCATTTCTGGGCATTTTTCAAAATTTGGGCCCTAATTTTCTTCTGCGCAAGCGCGGAAATTTTTGGGTCCCCTCCCTTATTTTCGTGGCCACCCCTGGTGTCTTGTGACATTAATAACACCCCTGTGACCAAAATGCGAAGTTGGTTAAGCATGAAACCATTTTTTGTGTGTGTGGATGGGGGGGGGGGGCTTAACCAAAACCTGGCTCTGGGCATGCATATGATATGGAAACTCTGGAGTAGGTTCATATATTCATATACCAGGTACCACAGTTCAACGATATCTTTTACCGGGAGGGTAATACTGGGATTTTGGTTTTACAGATGAGATAACTGATGCGGTTACGTTATGAGAGTTTCTATGGGAGAGTTAAGATGTCCAGTTACCGTTTATTGAAAACTAACATGACCGTGTTAGCCTATCATACATTTTAAGTTACATTCACAAAGCGTCGGAACTTTCTCGCCTGCGCACGATATATAAACATATTATCATACTCAGGCGTTTTTATGTCATATAAGCCTGATTTAAAATGATATAAAATATCAAAACATTGAATTTTAATTTGATGAAAACTAAAAATATCAAAATCGGCTTAATACAGCAGAAGTATGTTAAAAGCATATCGAAATCGATGTGCATAAAGTAATAATGCTAGTTGATCGAACAAATAGGTGAAAGAAATTGAACATCCAACTCTACAATTATCTCTGAAATAATTTGAATAAAAACACGAAACATAAAATGCATTCGGAAGATGAAATGAATTCCTAAAATGCATTTAATACATTCAAAATGAGATTTAATCGAATTGGATTTTTTCAAATCTTTCAAATCTAATTTAAGATATATTTATTCTCATTATAGGCTTACGTATCGAATAATCTATTCACGTATAGATATCCAAACCAGTGTCCGCCAAAAAATATTTCCATCTCAGATGAATATTCTTTGAACCTCACGCAATTCTTTGACCGACGCTCTATAAGTGTCATCGCATCCAGGATGTGTTTCCTTTCCAGTGAACCTGTACAAAACATGCATTTTGATAAATTAAAACATATAGTATCATTATAGATTTAATTAATTGTGTTACGATTAATCATAACGTGTGTTGAAATGATTAAAATATGCCTTTTTCACGCCTAACCATCGACAAGGTACAGTGACAAAATGTACCGTAGTACACTTTCGATGTACGATGTCACTATTTAACCGATTTGAAGCAAAGATAATGATGCAGGTCGGATGTAGGTTTTGAAAAATTAATCTTGGGAATACTTCATGTTTGATTTCGCGTGTATTCGTTTTGGAAGACATTTAACTTTCTAATAACATAGTCAAAAGATTTTCGATAGTGCTCGATTTTTTTCTTAGTCAATCTACAGTACCCACTAAAAATGAAAGGTCAGAAAATGTTGGGTTTTTCATATTCCCTTTGATCATTTTTTCCCCTGTTGAGAATTTGTTTCTCTATACTACACAATTTAGGACAGGAGGAAATTAAAAAACATTCACGTATTTATTGTAATTTAAAAAAAAATCAAAATTTGTGCGTTGTCAACTCGAATGTACGTTGTCCCTGTAATTGAAATTCATGAGATATACGTAATATTAAACTATAATGATTTCATTTCAAAATAAACTAAGGTTTTTATGAGTAACAAGTGATCTTTAACGAACATGTTCAAGTATCCTTTTTGCTTTTTCATTTTGTATTGGTGTGATGGTGGTTAATTTGTGCCCATTGCCCAAAATGAATGTAATATTCTATAACGCAGTAAAGAAGAATCAACTAAGATTGTATTTCGTGACCATAAATCTTGAGGTAGTGAAATTATAAAGAATGATACACATAGTTAAGTATAATGATAGAAATCGTTTCATACTTACTATATTTCTTGTCGAGTATGTATGGAATAACACCATTATCCCACGTAAAAGAATTCCAAAAATACTTATGCAATACATTACGAAACTGGAATGCAAAAATATGAATTTACATATTCACACAGAATGTCTTTATCTGTATATTGTAGATCCAACACATATAAATAGGTCCAGGAACTCAAGAAGCCGACCCTCAAATTTCAAATCTGGCTTTAAATTTCAGATTTGGCCCTCAATGATCTTCTCAGGGTAAAAAAAGGTCAAAAGGTCTTTTATCAACTTGCAGCTTCAAATTGATCGTTTTTTTCAAAATCATCTAAAAGATATCGGAAATTTAAACTGTCTTTTAGATTTAAGACTTGACTTTCACTGACCTTCACAAGATAAAAAGGTAAAAATATGTTTTTTCAACTTGCTTCAAATTGACTATTTTTCAAAATCCTCTACCTGTCTACAAGTTCTCAGAAGTTCAAATCTGACTAAGATTGAAGAAACATTTACAGAACCCAATTGCGAATACACCGGGTCAATACATATATTAATATCGTTACCTTAACTCCAAATTATTGTTAGACCGTCGTTTTAAATGAATCTTGATAATATAATTTTTCCTTCTTTACCTTTTTGTTTTCAGTTTGCTTTGGAGGTCTGATAATATCGCCTTCAAACTGACCTGAATAGTAAATAAACATTTAGTCAAGATTACTGTTTCACTTTCTTTAATCTAGCTACAAGCCCTTGTGACATCAGTTGTTGGAGTAGACAGTCCAGAGTCTTGAAGCAAGACTACGATTTCTTATAACCACTAATAAACTCTTGTATCATTTTAGATTCAATTGTAAATGGCAACACAGGGAAGGAATTACCAAGGTAAGTACAACACGGACGTAATAAGTGATAGAGGTCCATGTATTTACCTTGTTCAGCTTCAATTGACACTTTGTTAGAATACTTCTCCATATACTCCCCCTAAAAAGTAAAAGCTGCATACGTTTGAAACATCAACTGCTTGCAATTGCTTAAACTATAATAAGCACGACATTTGTATTTGTTAGCTCATAGGTATTCAAATGTTGTACCTCTTCACCTGATTCCATATTTTCAGCCTGTTTCTTTGTATTATTGCGATCTTTACGCCTCGTAGTGCCAATCACTCGTCCAAATACGGAATCACAAGCCAGTATCAAAATAACAACTGTGGTTTGTACACATCGCATATTGAATTAGTGTTACATAAAATATGAAATCAAACTGAAATGATTTGTCTTTAAACTAGCAAATTGTGACAAGCGCCTGTCAACCATAATGGGTTCATTATCCGCACATAACAAATAAATGCGTTATATGATTAATCTCGTCATCAGTGCATATTTCTTACTGTTGAACTCGCAAAGTTTTCTTATCTTGTCAATTGATTTACCTTGAATAATATGTTGAGATGACAACGATATGTCATCTATGAAAAACGTTTCCGTTGATGTCATTTTGGCATACATTTGACCATGATCTTAAATTGCTATATACGAGGGGTGATCAATAAGTAATGGACGCTTTTTTAAACAGATGTTTTTTATGGACCAGTCCCTTTGATTTTCTTACCATCATTCAATTATCTATCAATTCTGAAGATTTGAAGACAAAATATGTAATGCATGTTGATATATCCTTATTTATGTGAAGGAGGTACAGGTACCCCGGGACTGACATTTACGTCACATATTTAGTTATTAGCCAATCTGGCATATTTCAGTTAGATTTGAACTTTTTGATATGCAACAAGTGTTATGTTGTTTGAAATATTTTGCTGACTGGTAACACATAAACGGTAAGAATTGTGATTGCAAAATGTTGTATGGTTGGGGTTTACAAGTCAATATAAGAAAACATTGTGGAAGAAGTGGTTGGTGAGATAAGGGAGCACCCTACTCCATATGGAAACGCACCTGCCCAAAGATCTCAAAATGTTCAGAATACAATATCCCTGGACCTCAATTGAGCCCTTGGCTAATGCACCATTTTGTCCAGATCTGCCCACATGTGACTTATTTATTTATATACTGGTATTACTAATTCCTATAGAGAAAAAAAGCAGGTTTATTGACATTGATGAAACAAAACAAGCTGTGCCACTGCATCTTGCTTCCACGTCAGAGAATGGATTCGGCCTTGTCTCACAATCGTGGGTTAAGATGACGAGGAAGTGTGTACATGTAGCACTTGATGGAACCTATTCAGAGGACCCTGTAGAATGAATGTGGCATGAATACCACATAGTGATGATAAATTATTCAAAATCAAGTATGGCATATCAAAATGGTGTAATTCAATTGTTCAATCTGCATTCAACTGCATTGCAAGCTAAATAGCTTCAGAATGTGTGACGTTATGTCGGCCCCGGGGTACCTATACCTCCTTCACGGAAATAAAGATATAATAGATATTTCAAAATATATAACATATTTTGCTATCAAATCTTCAGAGTTGATAGATTATTGAATGATGTATCACTGGTGAGGAAATCAAAGGGATTTGTCGATAAAAAACATCTGTGTAAAAAGCGTCCATTATTTATTGATCACCCCTCGTATAACAGAAATTAAGAAACGGCATACTGTGTTAAAGTATGAGTTCACCCATTCATACTACATGTAGGCATGATATTTCAAATGTTAGCCGCTCAGATCACAGCATATAAAGGTCATGGAAAGATGAATATATATTTTTACATTTTATCAATTCATAAGTTCAAGCTGTTCTTTGGGATAATAAGTGAACATAATCTGTTTAATCGTTTTAGTGTCTCTTGTACAGAAAACATTCTTCGGAGTTTAAAAGATGAAGCTCTCTTTTAAGAAGTGAAGTCGACAGCCAATCGGATTGCGAGTTATTAATCGGGGAAATGCTAACTGCTTATCGCAGGGGTTAAAAAGAAAGAATATATTCTGGATTTTGAAGCCCTGTAATCGGAGGATGAGACATATAGTATATCAAACAAAAGGTCATAGTGCAAAGAATAAGCATTTATAAATACGTGTCGACCAATGACCCTCGCAAAAAAGTTAAGTCCCTCGCAAATATTTTATCCTAGGTTCTTAATATTTTGGGGAGCCTATTCACTATTGTTTAATAAAAGTATGTAATATTATGCTACCATGCCACATGCTATGTTACATGTTATGCTACATGCTATGCTACCATGCTATATACTATGCAACATATGATGCTACAAGCTATGTCACACGATGCTACATATAATGCTACATGCTATGTAACCCTACTATCACACCAAACTAGTTCTCACTACGTTCTCGAAAACGGGCTCAAACTGTGCACGAACGGATTTGACGTACTAAGAACCCACTAAGAACCGTTTGGGATCTGTTTACAAACTTCATGAAACTACTAGAACGAGTAGGTCCTCCAGCACTAACCCCACTATCACACCAAACTAGTTCTCACTACGTTCTCGAAAACGGGCTTCAACTGTGTACGAACGGACTGGACGTACTAAGAACCGTTTGGGATCTATTTACAAACTTAATCGAACGTACTTGAACGGGTAGGTCCTCTAGAACTTAGACAATGCTCAAAATGTTTTCGTGGTCGTCACGTTCTACAATTAGAACGAGTGACAACGTACTAACGACCAGCTGGACGTACTACGAACGGAACCGTCGTACTTCAATCCTACTAGGGACGTTTTAACAACGAGTGGAACTGTCTGAGGACGTGTTGAGAACGAGGTAGAACTCATTGCAAACGGGTTTAAACTGATTAAGAACGTATTTAACACTGCTTATGAACGAGTTAGCAAACATATAGCTATCACACCAAACAAGTTGCCACTGCGTTCTTCAAAACTGGTTCTAAACTGTGTGCGAACGGAATGAACGTAGCTGCAACTTTCTAAGGTCTATTTACGAACTTTATGAACGTTCTCAGACGGGAATGTGATTTTAGAATTTTGAATCGATTAAAAATTCGATTGCGACCATACCGTTCTGTTATCAGGTCATGATGACCTTCAAGACTAAGGGACGCGTTCTACGGCGTTGCACACCGACGTGGTGCGACCTGAACGAACTGCGAACGAGATGGACGTATTGAAGACTGTTTAAGAACGAAGAAGCTAATTATTTCAGACATATTTCCCCACCACAGCCAGTTTGAGCCCGTTTTACGACGTTTTCGTAGGACTGGCAAGAACGGGTAAGAACGAGTTTGGTGTGATAGGGGGGTTAGAGCATGCTCAACATTTTCTGGTGATCATCAAAACGTTGCCGAATCGGTTTTAAACTGTGTGCGAACTGAATGAACGTAGCTACAACGTTCTACGTTCTGTTTACGAACTTCATGGACTTTCCCGGACGGGGTATGTGATTTAGAATTTTGAATCGATTCAAAATTCGATGGCGACCATACCGTTCTGTAACCAGGTCATGATGACCTTCTAGACTAATGGACGGTTTATACTACGTTGCACACCGACGTGGTGCGACCTGAACGAACTGCGAACGTGATGGACGTATTGAAGACTGTTTATGAACGAAGTAGCTAATTATTTTAGACATATATCCCGACTGCAGCCAGACCGAGCCCGTTTCATGACATTTTCGTAGGACTGGCAAGAACGGGTAAGAACTGGTTTGGTGTGATAGGGGGGTAACATGAACATATAAAAATTTAAAAACATTGAAAAGTATCATACTTTTATAGGAATTACCGAACACTTTAAAGAAACAGTCAAAGCAATGGAAACAATTCTGCCAGGTTTTACAGGCGAACTCTCCGAGGCGTACAAATCTACACTAAAAGTAAAATGCAAGAATGTTGGGACCTTAAAAATTAATCCAAGTAATGGAACTATGGACATTATGAGAGAGTTGTTATTGGATGATTATGAACTTTATAGATTCATACGTCAACGATTTTCATACATTTAAAATTGAGTCACACATCATCGGTTTTACATGTTTACATTCCTGCCGTCACCACAGAAATCAACCAGCCGTAGCCAAACTGTAGAAAGAAACTGAATACGTTTTATATATCTCTGATACTATATGGAAGAACTATATGGATTCAAATGTCATCGGCTTAGATACATTTAAACTATCTAGTATAATGCCTGGACAAGGGGTGGGATGCTTAAACGCGGTAAGGATGGCTAGACTTGATTTCCTTCCTAAAAAGTGCTCCTAATGCCTAAGTCACATTTGCTCCGATTCATCGGCCGGCGCCCGGCGTATTGCGTATTTTGTTCAAAATTGAAGGTCAAATCTCAAATTTGTGATCAGATATGAACTCCTGAGAACTTGTACATGCTTTAAAAAAGATGAAGCAAGTTGGAATCAGTTTTGAAAAAAATCCGGCAATCGGCCGGGCGCCGTCCAATGCATCGAAGCAAATGTTACCTAGGCATTACCAGGAAACAGGGTTTTCAATTACTCATATGAAGCATGGTATAGTAACAATGAAACGAACATTGTAAATTCTGAAGACAGAATGCAGTTATGATTTGGAAAGAAATATTTTAAAGAGAAGAATATATAAGCACAAATGCCAAAGGGAAGGGTGACTAAAAACTTTAAAGAAACCAAACAAGAAAAGCAAACTGTAAGTGTAAATCTGTCATAAAAAAATAGACCCTAAAAATATCCCAAAACCATGATCTAACGTGAAAATAAGTCATTACCGAAGTCATTACAATACAGGTTGAAGAAAAAATGAAAAAATTGATAGCCAATACTCATAACATCAAAAATAGTTGTAGATACTAGTACTCATAAAAGATATTCAGTATCAAATGATGTGGGATAGATAAAATCCAGTCTCGAAGTCCATAGGCAATTCAAAGGGTCAACATTCGTTCGCAAAGCCGTCATCATAATCCATAAAACACATCAATTCACAATGGTCATCAGCAGAAAACTATGGCTGGTTTCGATCCCTATTTCTCAACCATTAATGCCATAGCCGGGATCCACCTCAAAAGGTGCCAAGTGAAAAAATTGTGAGTTCATTGCCAATTTAATTATACCATTCCTAAGAAAGTATAGATCATGATTTGGGCTTGCCCTAAATCATAACTCCATATTGACTGTGTTAAGTTCATTTTGTCGCAAAACCTTGACACGTGCCTTATCTTGATTTTATGGTTTAGAGGTATATATCAAGATTCGAAATAAACTTTTTAACTCAAAATGGCTAGGTTTTGCTAACATCAATAATGAGACATGTTTTCATTTCAAAGTCAGGTATAGCGCCTTTGTCATTATCGTCAAGATGATTCCTATTATACTATTCACATGTTTTTCATTTTAAATTCAATTTTCAGCATATTTATTTTATTTTTGGTCGCCTTCGTTTGACTTTCGGGTTTCTATGACATCTTTTTCTGCCATATTTACACTTATTTTTATCTGGAAATCAAAATCAGTATTATGAACCATGTACCCCCTGTAAAGAAAAAAAGGTGCAATGTCTTTTATCAATTATATCTTTTTCACTTTTTGTTACTATCAGACCAAACATTCAGAGGTATAATGTGTGTATACTTTGGCCAAATGGAGAAAAGTTCAAAGAATTTCGTAAATATGGTAAACAGTTTTTGCCATAAATTCAAGTCATAAATTTGAGAAATCCTATACCCAGCAATATGCTCAAGAAGGGGATCTTCTGAGACATGAAGTTAAATTGTTAGCTCCGTTTAGAGGAATACACTATTTTTAAAAATGTTCAATCCAATAAAACTTATCAGTTATATAATGAAAGTCATCATCAAATTACAACCATTTTGTTAAAAAATCTGAGCTATTTTTCTTCAGATTCAGAAGTCTCTTCTCAGTTCAAACTTAGGGGTAGGGGTAACATATGTTAGAATAAACTGGAAATCGTAAGATAATTATAACCCTCAATCAATCTCAATGACCCATAACTATGTTATACATCCTATACTTAGCTCATGCATATCAACATTTATGTCAGTTGTGATATATCTTATAGACCATGGTGTGAGTCAAGTGTGAAGATGCCCCTCCCCACAATGCAACAATAATCATAATAAATGATACAGGATGGCGCACAAGGATTCATGTACATACAGTGCAAATCATATTCAAGGCTATTAAATGATACCAGATGGAATGAGGAATTGTGCAATTGTGATTCTTATAGACCATGATGTGAGTCAAGTGTGGAGTTGCCACCCCCTCCACATAAACGATAGCATTTTGAATCAAGTGTGTAGTTGCCACCCCTCCCAATAAACTTAAGCAACATTTTCAAAATAAAAGACTGATGTTGATATAATTCAGTACCAGAAGGTTATGAAAAATGATTTTTTTTGCAAGGGTAATATAGTATGGTAATTACATAGAGATGTGTGATGGCTTGATAGCATATACTTTGATCAGGCATTAGCATCTGAAATCACTTTATCCCGCAGCAAAATACCAAGCGCTGGGATATGTCAGGTCTCAAATAATTATATTCCAGCGTTTTCAAAAAAAATTACGGGACAGTGTGCTTGAAAAAGTGACTATCCCGCGGCCCAAGTGCTAAAAAGTGCTACTACGGGATAAAGATGTTTGTCATCGTGACTATCCCGCGAGCCCTATAAAATTACGTGACAGTGTATCTGAGATGCATACTATCCCGCTCTGTGAATTTGAAAAACATTTGTCGGGCTCGGGAATAAAAATCAGATCTAAATAGTTTATTTAAATTAAATGTAATTCGTTAGAGAGATATTTTATTATAACTATTGCAATGGTATGTGATACTTTATATGATATATGTATTACCTTTGTTACATTTCCAACCAAAGCCAACATATCCAGGTTTGCATCTACAAAAATATCGACCATTGATATTTTCACAAGAGGCATTTTCATGACACCGTGTCCTACAGTTGGAGTGCCTCTTATTCTCTAGCTTTATTCTAACACATGATCTGCCATCTCCCGTGTACCGGGGAAGACATATGCAGACATAACTACCTTTGGTATCAATACATTTAGCATTCTCATCACAAGTATTGGTCCCATCTTTACATTCGTCTCTTTTCCTTGTACATGTTAATCCATCCCCAAAATATCCGTCTTTACAAACACATTGGTAACCACCCTCGTTATCAAAGCAGTAAGAGTTAATATCGCACTTATTAGACCCATCTTCACACTCGTTTATATTAGAACATATCAATCCATCCCCTGTGTATCCTGCGTTACATTCACACGTGTAACTTGCCTCTGTATCTAAGCACTTAGCATTTGTATCACATGAATTCAACTCTATGCTGCATTCGTTTATATTTATACAAGAAAATCCATCTCCCGAGAATCCATTCTTACAAGTGCAAATATAATTCCCTTCGGTGTCTGAACAGTCAGCATTCATATGACATTTATCAGTGCCGTCTTCACATTCATTTATATTTGTACAAGAAAATCCATCTCCCGTGAATCCATTCTGACAAGTGCAGATATAATCCCCTCCAGTGTCTGAACAGTCAGCATTTATATGACATTTATCAGTGCCGTCTTCACATTCATTTATATTTGTACAAGAAAATCCATCTCCCGTGAATCCATTCTGACAAGTGCAAATATAATTCCCTTCAGTGTCTGAACAGTCCGCATTTATATGACATTTATCAGTGCCGTCTTCACATTCATTTATATTTGTACAAGAAAATCCATCTCCCGTGAATCCATCCTGACATGTGCAAATATAATCCCCTTCGGTGTCTGAACAGTCAGCACTGATATGACAATTATAAGTGCCGTCTTCACATTCATTTATATTTGTACAAGAAAATCCATCTCCCATGAATCCATTCTGACAAGTGCAGATATAATCCCCTTCAGTGTCTGAACAGTCAGCATTTATATGACATTTATCAGTGCCGTCTTCACATTCATTTATATTTGTACAAGAAAATCCATCTCCCGAGAATCCATTCTGACAAGTGCAAATATAATTCCCTTCGGTGTCTGAACAGTCAGCATTTATATGACAATTATCAGTGCCGTCTTCACATTCATTTATATTTATACAAGAAAATCCATCTCCCGTGAATCCATTCTGACAAGTGCAAATATAGTTCCCTCCAGTGTCTGAACAGTCAGCATTTATATGACAATTATCAGTGCCGTCTTCACATTCATTTATATTTGTACAAGAAAATCCATCTCCCGAGAATCCATCCTGACATGTGCAAGTATAACTCAGTTCAGTATCCAAACAATCAGCATTTATATGACAATTATCCGTTCCCATTTCACATTCATTTATGGCTTCACAAGAGGCACATCCATACATGCAACGTATCTCGAAGGCGTCAGAATCAGACAAGTCAGTCCTTTGTCCGATTCTGTCTATGTCTATATTCTTGTCAAGTACTGTTATTGTTTGAAGGCCAAGAGATTTTGTGTTGGACTCCACGCCATAGTGCATTATGCTGTAGTAGTCATAGGGAGTTAAATTTTGAATCGCAGATTCATCCTCTTTGTCATATTGCTCTTGTTTACCTAAAGTATATTCCTTAGATGATTCAAACATGATTTAATAATATAATGCCAGTCTTACATGCATATTTTTGGATTGACAACGTTTATTCTGAAATGAAGATAAACTTTGCCTTTAGCAGATTGAACGTTGCACTTCTGCAGAATAACTGGAAAATGTGATTTATTTTATTTCCTTTGCGGCTGAGACTTTTTCCCAATGAAAGTACATTTTTCAATAAGAACTACATCTTGGATTACCAAGGTATGAATTCGAAGTTTAAAAATCAAACTGGTAAACGAGTATGGATGACTTACCCAAACCAATGAACTAGTTTTAAGTAATTACCTAGACAGATATGTGAACTATCAAAAAGACTGTCGGATGGAGGGATGGATGGCACTTATATTGAGCTTCAATTGGTAAACATCAATACACACCTTCTCTGATATTATTTGCATTGATTACAACATAGTCATCCCTATCAAGTCTGTTATGTTCGTGCCAGAATCCTAATACATGCATAAGTTCATGCGCAGGTATTCCATACTTTTTTCCGAAACAACGCTCGCCTAAATATACCTCTTGTTTCCCAATCTTGTAGAAGCCTACATATTGCGTCAAACAGCTGCAAGAACAATTCAGTTTTAGTTATATTTCCCATCCTCTATTTTCAATTAAAATGAAATTGTTCCCAATTGCATTTATTAGTGTAATAATTTAGCGATTTGCATACTTACGTATCAAATAGTCTATTTATATATAGATATCCAAACTTGTAGCCGTCCAAGAATACTGCCGTAGGATTTGAATATTCTTTGAACTTCACGCAATTCATTGACCTACTCTCTATAAGTGCCATGGCATCCACAATGTGTTTCCTTTCCATCGGAGCTGCACAAAACAGGTATAAGATTTTTGCTTTAAATGTGACTTTGATTATTTAAATAAAGTGGTTTTATCGTATGATCTGTAAAATGAAGCCTTCTGATTGGTCAGTTCTTGTGCTGTACCAATCTGTATTGCTACTGAGATTTTCCCATTGATACTCTCCGTCGCAATACAGAAAATATTGGTACGGAGGGGACATTCTCAGTAGCAATACAGAGAATCGCACGATAAAAACGTTATAGAATGATTTGAAGTGCAATGCAGGATATATTCTGCCCTCGATATTCTGTATTGGCACTCGACTTCGTCTCGTTTCAATACGGAATTTCTCGAGCAGAATATATCCTGTAGTGCATGCACTTCAAATCATTCAATTACTTATGATATAGTACTTTGATTATGTGTTATGTTGCCAAAATTATCTACAGGTGCAGTAACAAACCTCACACACATTGCATTCGACACACAACTCTGGATTGTACTTATATCGCACACTGAAACTTGCAACTTTGGAAAAAGTGTCTGTAAAATAGAGTGACGATATGATAAATCAGAGTACTCACTGTAATTGTCATCTAATATGTAAGGAACTTCACCATTTGTCCATAGAAAATTACCCCAAAAGTCTTCATGTAAAACATTCCGAAACTGGAATTTGAAACAACAATTTTGATTTTTCACCTGATATCTTCTGATAATGAACAATAAAAAGTCATATATGCAGTCGACTCGAAATATATTGTGAAGAAGAAATTTGGAATCGTATTGTCGAACATTTTTTATGTGTTTTTTCCACAATATTTGTCTTTCATATTTTGTCACTTATGCTTATATATTTCAACTAGGGAGGAGTTTGTACCGTTGTATCATTATTCGACCAGCCTACATTGTACCTACATTGTATGGAGAAAAATAATTATTGAGTTAAACACGCATAACAGCTGTTGCATTAATGGAGTTCAAATTGTTAAAAGTGACGTATAACAAAAGAATACGTAAACAGAATTTACCTTCTTGATTCCAGTTTGATACGGACTGTTAATAATGTCGCCCTCAAAACGACCTAAATTATAAAAACAAGCACATGTCTTTGAATCACTTTCAAGGAATTATGGAACCTTGAAGGACGTATTCCCATCCCAGACTCGAAAGTTTTATCAAACCTGTTATTTATAAAGCTAGAGTAGCCTTTCGGTATAATTTCTATTCTTACAACACCACCCCTCCAGAAAAATCCATTAACGGGCTCACGATAAGATTGACCCACCCTGCATATTCATTAAGCAGTTGTTAAATCTTTTTTCTTCAATCTAATTTGAAAACAATACCTTCATGTCATTTGAAGGTAAAAGGACATCAGTATAGTATATGTTATGGTTGATAAATTGATTCTGATTAAAGTCTGATTGACAACAATGGATATTTAAAGGATGTCACGCTTCAATGCGTTTAATTCATAGTATTGATTGAATTAATCGTTTGTAGGATTCAGGGTAAATTAATACAACCCTTTAATTTTGTAAAAACCATGTTGATTATGGTAGATTTTCATAAAATCTCGAGTGTATAATAGTATTATATTCGGTGTGGGATAAAGAGGAATACATAGATAGCACCTTTGACTTTGATATTAAGAGGATCCGCCTTATCACTCAAAAATACAACTTCAGAAAATTGTTTTTGTCAATATTTATGAAAGCAATTCAGAAAATTATCAATGACGAAGACGGAAAATCCAAACTGATATGATTGCATTTCTGAGTGTCTTTGGGTGATTTTGCACGATATGCATAAACGGGAAATATTACTTCTCTAAGTTGTATAGTCATAGTGGCGATACAATCTGTGTATACTGCAGTTCACCGAATTGAACACTATTTTATACATAACAAATCAACGAGATTCCATCTATGAGACCAGATGCAGGTATAAAGAACCTTGATCTTAATTATTGAATATTCAAAATTTAGTCAAAGAGGCATCTTATCTACACACAAAGTTAAATCTATGTATGAAATTCTTTTGAAAATGGGATTTCTAGGTCGGGTAGAATTCCATAAAGCCCATTTATAAAATCATGAAAATTGAAATTTTTTTTTTGTGTTGAACTGACAATATGTTATTTTACTAAACATATTCTTTGTAGTTCAATTGTAAAGGTTAAATGAAACCCGATATACTAAATGTTATTAATAAAGTTTAGTGTCTGCCATTGTCTTGCAGCCCTGTATTTGATAGTCCGTAATCCAGTTCTTAGGAACTGTCACCTGACTGTATATTTTATTTTATTGGATTGAAATATCAATTGCATTTGTGACAATATTTGTTAAGTACGTGATTGATTGAAAACAAATCTTGTTATCATTTACCATTGCACTTTCTATGCTTCATTGAATATACTGAGGTGAATTTCATCTATTTGGTCCACACGAGCTACCAGTGCCAAATTGATTCATTTTCCACAAATCAGATAAATAAGGGTTATGTACTGGGAGGTTTTGGATATGGGGTTTTCCAGAGGGATACATGTATGCAAATATACCCGAAGAGGGACGAAAGTAGATGTGCATATCATACGACGGATAAACCCTAAATCCAAACCGACCTTACATAACTGCTTTATCCTATATCCAGTGGAGTGTTCTACATTTTTTAATTTTTTTTCAAAAACTTTTTCAATATTTTTTCAAAGCGGGAAGATATGCCCTTGAATGGAAAATATGGCGGGAGATATAGAAAACTCAAAATCAGGATACGGGATATATGTTACCAACTTATCTCCCCAAAACTCTACTTGGCATAGGATAAAGGAGATTTCTTTTTCTTAGGTTTAATGAAGTAAGCGTTTATTCCGAATGTGTTACCTTGTTCAGCTTCTATGGACACTCTATTAGACGGCACTTGTGCAAAGTCTTCCTGAAAAGTAAAATAAGGTTGTATAAACCAGTTTCGTCAAGAATCAGCTTACCGAATACCCGTCGATGTGGGCATCATAAAACCGAGAAAAGTATGTGTTGTACCTCCTCACTGGATACATCATTGTCTTGTTTCTTTACGCCATCATGTCCCTTGCGTTTTGTATTTTCCTCTCCTCTTGCACCCCAGTGCTCTTTCGCATTATGTACAACTCCTCCAAATACCAGATCACTAGTCATTAGTAACACAATTGCAATCGTGGTTTGTATGCAGCGCATACTGACAGAAGGGATTAAAGAAGAAAAAATAACGCAAACTCATAAAGAAAAAATAATATTATCCTTAAGTGCTATTTATCAGTATTATGACAATAAAAAGACGATTGTGACATTAAACGAAGTGAATATCAAAGCATGGGCATGCTTATGGCGACATGGTCCTTTAATATCTATGCCGCTTGTAACTTTCAACTGATGTGACAAGGCTACACATCAATTAATCATGAATATGACATATTTAGTTTCCCCTTGGAAAACTCCTTGGCTCTACCTTTATAGTCTACAGGGTGGGCAGAAATGGAACGTTTACCCATATTCTTGGAAAAAGAGGGTTTATATAATATATGTAAACTAATTGTCATGAAAACTAATAAAAATCAAGTTCTGACATTTGTGTCTGTGTCTGAATCTATGAAATTTAAATTGAAATGATGCATGTCTTCATTATATTTTTGCTTGACTTTTTGCCATCTCACCCTGTATTTGATAGTCTGTAATCCAGTTCCTTCATATATTTTATTGCATTGGATACAAATATCAATATCATTTGTGACAATATTTGTCATAGTGCGTAATGAATACTCAATCACTTCTATTGGCCCAAATCATGGGGTTTCAACTGTCTAATTGAAAGCCCATGTCCAAATTAAAACCGGATGTCCAAGATTATTGTTGAAGATTATTGATTATTGTAACGCATATCAAATGATTAACTGCTCAGTGAATCTTTTGCACTCTATTAAAGGTCACATGATATGGGGGTGTGTTTTTAAATAAATCATTGACCTCAAGATTGAATTGTGTCACTGGAGATGACCAATCAAAATGCAGTTCTAGAATTTATCACTTTCTAGGAATTCTGGAAAACACCAATAAACTACATGTGCATGTTGAGACTAGAAATTTGACTTAGGAACAAAACAAATACACAACAAGTGGACATCCATAGGACATCATATGGACATCTATATACGTCTAAGTACAGCATTAGGGGGACTGAATGATCGAACTTCCTTACATTTTACATTTTGGACATTCACTTTAAGGGACATTAAGTTAGGCCGCCTGTGAAGGGATATTCATCAATCATTAGAACATCTAGTTATCTGAAAAACTTTTTGGATTACCACGCTTGAATGATTTTAACCAACACACCAATTGGATACCTCACAGATTCAGACCCTCAAGTAAATATATTTATACTTATAATCTTTAATCAAGTTCTTGTCTTTACATTCTGTTATTAACCGTAACAATTTATATTTGTACATGAAAATCCATCTCCAGAATACCCATCCTTACAGGAGCAAATGAAATTCCCTTCAGTGTCTGAACAGTAAGCATTTTTGTGACAATTATCAGTGTCGTCTTTACATTCATCTATATTTGTACAAGAAAATCCATCGCCAGAGAATCCATCCTTACAAGTGCAGATATAATCCCCTTCAGTGTCCAAACAGCAAGCATTTTTGTGACAATTATCAGTGCCGTCTTCACATTCATCTATATTTGTACAAGAAAATCCATCTCCCGAGAATCCATCCTGACATGTGCAAGTATAACTCATTTCAGTGTCCAAACAGTCAGCATTTATATGACAATTATCCGTTCCCATTTCACATTCATTTATGACTTCACAAGAGGCACATCCATACATGCAACGTATCTCGAAGGCGTCAGAATCAGTCAAGTCAGTCCTTTGTCCAATTCTGTCTATGTCTATATTCTTGTCAAGTACTGTTATTGTTTGAAGGCCAAGAGATTTTGCGTTGCTCTCCACGCCATAGTGCATAATGCTGTAGTAGTCGTAGGGAGTTAAATTTTGAATCACAGATCCATCCTCTTTGTCATATTGCTCTTGTTTACCTAAAAGTATAATCCTTAGATAATTTAAAACATGATATAACGTAATATAATGGCAATCTTACTTTTAGTTTTAAAATGCGTTACCATTGCATATTTTTGGATTGACAAAGTTTATTTTAAAATGAAGATAACAATACGTTGCACTTTTGCAGAATAACTGGAAAATGTGATGTATGTAATAATTGATTTTATTTCCTTTGCGGCAAAGATTTTTACCAGTGAAAATACATTTTTCTATAAGAACTGCATCTTGGATTTCCAAGGTATGAATTCGAAGTTTGAAAATCAAACTGGTAAAGAAGTATTTAAACTGGTAAACGAGAATTAACCAAACGAAAATTAACCAAAACGATGCACTAGTTTTACGTAAATACCCAAATAGATACGTAAACTCTTAAAAAGACTCGGATGGATGGTACTTAAATGGAGCTACAATTGGTAAACATCAATACACACCTTGTCTAATATTATTTGTATTGATTACAACATAGTCATCCCTATCAAGTCTGTTATGTTCGTGCCAAAATCCTAATACATGCATAAGTTCATGCGCAGGTATTCCATACTCTTTTCCGAAACAACGCTGGCCTAAATATACTTCTTGTTTCCCAATTTTGTAGAAGCCTACATATTGCGTCAAACAGCTGCAGTACAATTCAGTTTTAGTTATATATCCTATCCTTTATTTTCAATTAAAATGAAGTTGATCTCAAAGGCATTTATTAGTGTAATAATTTAACAATTTGCACACTTACGTATCGAATAGTCTATTTATATATAGATATCCAAACTTGTAGCCGTCCAAGAATACTGCCGTAGGATTTGAATATTCTTTGAACTTCACGCAATTTATCGACCGACTCTCTATAAGTGCCATTGCATTTATGATGTGTTTCCTTTCAGTCGGAGCTGCAATATAACAGGTAATATTTTTTCAATTTAAATGTAGCTTTGATTAATTTAGATTTTGAATCGTACTTAAATTATGTAATCAGTTGCCAAAATTATCTACATGTGCAGTTCAAATCTCCTACACATTGCATTTGACTCAAAATTCTGGATCATACTTAGGTCGAATGATTTAATTGCATACTGAAATGCAACCTTGGAATAATTGTCTGTAAAACTGAGCTCCAGTGCCAATATAATAAATCATAGTACTCACTGTAATTGTCATCTAATATGTAAGGAACTTCACCATTTGTCCATAGAAAATTACCCCAAAAGTCTTCATGTAAAACATTGCGAAACTGGAATTTAAAATATCAAACAATTTTGGTTGGCATCTACTTTCGAGTTCTATCATACGATAGGACATTAGCTTTCCTTTCAAATTCTTTTCCTACTTTAATGCAATGACTCGTAGCCAGTGGATTTGGGTTGTGCTAATTGTGCGGAATGTTTGGGTTTGATTTTTTTGTATAAAGCTCTTTAAAGTCTTTTACACATTTTTTGTATTTCATATTTTGTCACTTGTGCTTATATACAACTAGAATGGAGATTGTGCTGTTGCATCAGTATTCGATCGGCCTACCTGCATTGTTTGGGAAAAAATGTACACTGTAGTAGGTGAGTTCAACATGAATAACATTTGTTAGTGAAGTACAACAAAAGAATACGTAAATGGAATTTACCTTCTTAATTCCAGTTTGATATGGACTTTTGATAATGTCGCCCTCAAAACGACCTAAATTATAAATGTAAAATAAGCACATGTCCTTGAACCTCGTTTTAAGAATTATGGGATCTTAAAGGACGCTTTACCATTTGTATGAAGAATTGTTATTTATAAAGCTAGAGTATCATTTATATTACTCACCCTGTACATTCATTAAGCAGTAGTTAAATCTCTTTCTACAATTTAATTTGAAAACAATTCTTTTGAAGCTTTTTAAAAGTTATTATAATAAAAAAAGATCAGTGTAATATATGTTGAATATATTTGACATGTAGATATAATTTATTTGGTCTTACATTTCTTACATAAGTTTGTATTATTATTATGAAGGTGTTACCTTGTTCTGCTTCTATTGACACTCTGTTAGACGGCAATAGTACATCGTTTTTCTACAAAGTAGAGTTAGATTGCACAAAACAGTTTTGTTCCGGACTTCAATTAACAAGCAAATACCTTTCAAAGTGGACATCATGAAACCGAAATAAAGAAAAGTATGTTGTACCTCCTCACTGGATACATCCTTATCTTGTTTCGTTACATCATCACGTCCCTTACTTTTTGTATTTTCTTCTGTTCTTCCACTCCAGTGCTCTTTTGCATTATGCACAATTCTTCCAAATACTAGATCACCAGCCATTAGTAATACAATGGCAATCGTGGTTTGTATGCAGCGCATAATGGCGGACGGGTTTAAAGGAGAGAAAATAATGCAAACTCATAAAGAAAAAAACAGTACCATCCTATTTACTAATACATGACAGTGAAACAGACTATTGTGACAATGAAACGAAGAACATATCAAAGCATGGGACATGCCTATAACAAAAGCCTCGTGACCATTAAATATCTATGCCGCATCTTTCAACTGAAGTTGCAAGGTTATACAAATTATCAATTAATCATAAATTTGACACATTTAGATGTACTTTGGAAAACTCCTTTGCTCTACTTCCATATTGTACAGGGTGATCACATTAGAAAAAGTGAAACGGAACATCATGCGTCTTTTTTCTCATACAAATATTTTCTAAATACATTAAACTTTCAAAATAAAGAAATATTGTTAGAATAAGTTTTATCATTCTTAAACATGTTCTTCGGGTTGGTTATTTTTCTCTCATATGAAGCTGAGATGATAACAATCAAGTTCTGAAAGTATTGTTTCTGGCATCCAAATGGTCCATTTTCATGGCCTTGCAAAGATATGTTCGATTGGACCAACTTGATGTTTCAGTCACTCCTGAATACGGTGCGCAAAGTTGTCCATTGAGAAGACTCTTTCCTTTCTTTGGATTTATGATTTATTTCGTTATGATTTGTAAATTAATTGCTGGTCTCTGATTGTCTATATTGGCTATGGTTTTATTAGACATGGTCCTTCATATAACCTCACAGATAGAAGTCTGAGAGGTTCATTGTGGGGCCCACGCAGGGTCACGTTTCCTACTGATCAGTCGATCTTCAAACCATTGTCCCAGCCCGATTCTTACTGTTGGTTTCTAGTGTGTAGAAATGCCCTTTCCTGCTGAAACCATTGATCCTGGAGAGCGATGTCCCTACATCCTCCTATTCTCGCCAAATGTCCTCATTACCACAAGAGGACTACCCGATCAGTAGGAAATGTGACCCTGAATGGGCATCACAATCACCTGACTTGAACCCCCCCCCCCCAGATTTGTATATGTGCGGTTATATAAGGATAACGTTTATGAAAACCACCCCAAAACAATCAGGGACTAAATATTAGCAATCAATAGCAAGATCAAATATATCCAAAGAAAGAAATGTGTCCTCCTAATGGACAACTTCTCTCACCGTATTCAGGAGTGACAGAAACATCAAGTTGGTCAAAGCTAACATATTTTTTGCAAGGCCATGAAAATGGACCATTTGGATGCCAGAAACAATACTTTCAGAACTTGATTGCTATCATCTTAGCTTCATGAGAGAAAAATAAAAGGTATCACCATTATTGACGATTTTATTAATTGTGTTATGATTTGTATTCATTTTGGGTCACCCTGTGTTTGAAAAAAAACACATAAAAAACATCAACAATTATTTATTTGCAGATCTCGCATTTTATTTATTTTAGTCAAATACGTTAACCGACGGATTTTCTTCCTCTCCATCTTGGATTCTTTTTCTTTCGTTTCTGTTTGTTACATTTGAATCCATCGCCGATATAACCTTTTCTGCATTCACACGTAAAGGAACCAACCGTATTTTTGCAAGATGCTTTTTTGTCACATCTTTTTCGAGCATATCTACACTCGTTTTTATCTGGAAAAGATAAGGAAGTATTACAAAATGTGGTAATGCTGAGTTGACAGGACGGGCAATGTTATTATTTTCGCGTGCTACTAGACTATATGTACATACATGAAGGTTAAATCATAAGTTGGAATATCATGAACTTTTATCCTTTCAATATTTCATTTTCTAAAATTTGAATTGTAATTGTACGTGTGTATTTCAATAAGATTCTATGATTATCATATATTTGAAAGTACCTCTGCACATAAATCCAGACCCAAAATATCCAGGATTGCATCTACAAAAATATCGGCCATTGAAGTTTTCACAAGAGGCATTTTCATGACACTTTATTGTACATTTCGAGTTACCCTCATTCCTCTCGTCCTCTAGCTTCAATTGATCACACGATCTGCCATCCCCTATGAATCCAGGGAGACACCTGCAGATGTAACTATCTGTGGTATCAATACATTTAGCATTTTCATCGCATGTATGTGTCCCATCCGTACACTCATCTCTTCCCTTCACGCATGTGAACCCATCCCCATAGTATCCATCTTTACAAACACATTTGTAACTACCCGGTGTATCTAAGCACTGGGAGTTTTTATCACACTTATTGGACCTATCTTTACACTCGTTTATATTCGTGCATGCCATGCCATCACCTTTAAATCCAGTATTACACTCACATGTGTAGCTTCCCTCTGTATCTTTACACTCAGCATTTCGATCACATTCATTTGAATAATCGTTACATTCATTTATGTTGATGCAACTAAAGATATCCCGAATATATCCCTTTTTACATTCACAAGTGTAGCTTCCCTCGGTGTCGGTGCAAACTTCATTTGTACCACAAGTACTTGGGTCATGATCAGTTGTACACTCATTGATATTAACGCAACTAAAGCCATCTCCAACATAACCTGGTGAACACCGACATTTCCTGGTACTGGGAACGTATTCTCCATTTTTGTCACACCTTTGAGTTAATTCCTTTTTCTCAGAGGGTGTACATGTGAACCCATCTCCTGAAAACCCACTTAGACAGACACATGAGTAACTTCCTTCTGTATCAATGCACTTTGCATTAATGTCGCATTTATTTAGATGACTGTTACATTCATTAACATTTGTACACATTAAATCATCTTTTACATATCCCTTTTTACATTCACATGTGTAACTTCCTTCGGTATCCAAACAAACTTCATTTTTATCACATGTATTGAAATTATATATACATTCGTTAACATTTGTGCAATTAAAGCCATCCCCAATATATCCTGATTTGCATCGACATATATGGGTTCCTTGGATATATTCTCCATTTTTGTCGCACTTATTAGTCACTTTACTTTTCTCTTTGATACATTTGAATCCGTCCCCCGAGTACCCACCTTTACATCTACATTTGTAGCTCCCGTCAGTATCTAAACAATTAGCATTCGTATCACATTTGTGTAAATCCACGTTGCATTCATTTATGTTTACACAACTAAAGCCGTCTCCCGTAAATCCTTCATTACAAGTACACGTATAGTTTCCTTCATCATCTAAACATTTAGCATTCGTATCACATTTGTGCAAATCCATGTTGCATTCATTTATGTTTACGCAAGTAAAGCCGTCTCCCGTAAATCCTACATCACATGAACACTTATAGCTTCTGTCAGTATCTAAACATTTGGCATTTGTATCACATTTGTTCAACTCCATGTTGCATTCATTTATGTTTACGCAAGTAAAGCCGTCTCCCGTAAATCCTACATCACATGAACACTTATAGCTTCCGTCAGTATCTAAACATTTGGCATTTGTATCACATTTGTGCAAATCCATGTTGCATTCATTTATGTTTACACAAGTAAAGCCATCTCCCGTAAATCCTACATCACATGAACACTTATAGCTTCCGTCAGTATCTAAACAATTAGCATTCGTATCGCACTTGTGTAACTCCATGTTGCATTCATTTATGTTTACGCAACTAAAACCATCTCCTTGAAATCCCTCATTACAAATGCAAGTGTAGTTTCCATCTGTATCGGAGCACTCTGAATTTTCATCACATTTATTGGAGTCATCGCTACACTCATCTACATTCAAACATGTAAGTCCATCTGCCGAATACCCGGTGTGACAAATACATACATAACTTCCAGGCGTATCCTCACATTCTGCATTTAAATTGCATGGATTTGCATCGGCATCCGTATTGCATTCGTTTATGTTCACACACGTAATTCCATCACCCTTGAAACCATCTCGACATGTGCAAGTATAGTTCCCTTCAGTATCCAAACAGTTAGCATTTGAATCACACTCAGCTGTTCCGTCTTCACATTCATCTATATTTGTACAAGTAAAGCCATCACCCGAGTATCCATCTCCACAGGAACAATTGTAACTTCCCTCCGTATCTTTACATTCTGCATTTTTGTCACATTCATTAGAATCATTTTGACATTCATTTATATTAGAACAAGAACAATTATTGCAATCTCCCCGGTCATATCCCATTTTACATTTACACATATGATTTCCTTCAGTATCTAAACATTCTTCATTTTCATTACAAATATCGGGATCACTTTTGCATTCATCGATATTTACACAATCATAACCATCACCAATGTAGCCAGGTAAGCACCGACATATCCTTGTTCCATGTATATAGTTCGCGTTGTTGTGGCATGTATGAGTCTTTGTTTTACAAAGGACCCCATTTCCAATATATCCATGATTGCAAATGCACTTGTAGCTCCCTTTGGTGTCTAAACACTTGGCTTTCGAATGGCATTTGTGCGAATTCATGTTGCATTCATTTACGTTTGTACAACTAAAGCCATCTCCCGTAAATCCTTCATTACATGTACACTTATAGCTCCCGTCAGTATCTAAACAATTAGCATTCGTATCACATTTGTTCAAATCCATGTTGCATTCATTTATGTTTACGCAACTAAATCCGTCTCCTGTAAATCCTTCATTACATGTACACTTATAGCTTCCGTCAGTATCTAAACATTTGGCATTTGTATCGCATTTGTTCAACTCCATTTTGCATTCATTTACATTTATGCAAGTAAAGCCATCTCTTTGGTATCCCGCGCTACAAGTACACGTGTAACTTCCATCGGTGTCAATGCACTTTGCGTTTGTGTGACATATATTAGAATCCACAATGCATTCATTTATGTTTTTACATGTTATTCCATTTCCTGAATAACCATCATTACAAGTACATATTTCTTTTCCTTCCTTATCCAAACATTTTGCATTCTTATCACATGAAGTAAGTTTGCAACCATTCTGCTGATGATGTATTTTTGATTTAGGATCTATTGTAGCACAGTCTTCAATATTATTATCTTCACATGGGTCTGTCTTGGTGCAATCTATACCATCCCCGTCGTATCCAGGATTACAATTACATGTAAAACTTCCAATTGTGTTAGAACATTCAGCATTCAAACTGCATTGTTGTACCTCTGGTTTGCATTCATCTATATCTGGAATGTAACCCTATTGTTTTCTAAACATGATTATTAATACAATCGATTATGTCATTAAAATATTGAGTTAATATGTATTTTAATTGCTACGATTAACAAACCTTATTTTGTGCTAATTATCATCAGCACTAGATAAAGACAACTGGAAAGGGTTGCAAGATATTGATTAAAACACTTTTAAGTAGATCCGAGGTCCAATCCATAATGTTGATTCTTTTAAGAACTAATTTCGGTTTTTAGCAAAATGCTCTTAGATATTGTGAGAAGGTTATGGATTGACGAGGAATTTATGGTAATTTAGTTACCTTACATATCTTGCACTTTGACTTTGTGAGAAGGTTATGAATCAAAGAATTGATAGTAATCTAATTACCTTTACATACTCTGCCATCGCCTTGAAAGCCAGGTTTACATACACAAACTCTCGCTTCCTCAATGTCTTCACATACTGCATCTTCGCTGCAGCCTCTTTCACATTGGGCTATACAAGGAAACGAAGAATATTTAAAAGACAGTGAATATTAATTAATATATCAGTACAACATATCGGGAACAAGGAGGATTGCCTCCAAGGAGCGTCGCTCGATATTTTCCAACAATGAAAACGTCGAAATGTCGTTATTTTCTGAAATTAAAACTATTTTCAGAATTATCAGAACTATAAATTTAAAATAAACAATTCAAATGATTCGAACTAATATCTCGATCATTTTTGGAATTTTTCGTTAGGAAATAAGACCAAAATTCAAGATTCAAATTTTGAAATAAACAAAATGGCGGCTGTTTGAATTCGAATCTTATATCACGACATGCCCGTTTATGGGACAGAATATCGATGTTGCACTCTGGGAGCAGATCCTCCTTGGGTTGAGAAGATTTCAAGATGACATGTGATTTCAAAATGGCTGCCATTTTTGGTTAAAAGTTCATATGCTAATGCCCTGAGATAAAGGAGCCCCGCTCGAGATGAGATTTTCAAGGTGGCTGCTATTTATCAAAAAAAAAATTGTTTGGTTGGATTTGCTACTCCGTGGAGTTGCTATTTTCTTGTTCACATCACTTAGATATGTAGGAAGCAAAAATTATGAGTTAAGGGATAAATTTTCTAAAAAAATATCAGTATTTTATGTTAATCTCCCGATCTTATTCAAATTAATACCTTTGCATCCATATAATATTTGCAGTTCAATGATGTCCCCTATCGTTAAGCCAGTCCTTTGGCCAACCATGTCTTTTTTCACAGTCTTGTCAAGTATGACCATTGTTTCTATTGTCTTGTCTGCAAGATTCTTACTACCAGTTTTTATTCCATAATGCATGATACTATAGTAATCGTACTTAGTCAGATGTTTCACTTCATAATCCATCTGTTTCACATAATTTGTTCTGGACTCTAAAAGTAGAGATATGATTAACATGTTTTCATTTCCGTGTCTTTACTTTGCATTTATTGATAAAACTTGATACTTATATTGGAACTAAACCTGTAGGACATACCTGGTTCTATATTATCATAAAGTATCTTGACAAACTTGTCGCGATCTGGCCTCGTATGCTCATGCCATAGCCCAAGTGAATGCAATAGTTCGTGCATAGCTGTCCCATAACCAAAAGGCAACCAATTGATACAAGATGAAGCGAGTTCTATACTCTGTGACATCGTTGAAGTAAATCCAACCGTAGATGAACACCTGCATTACATAAGCAAATCGATAAAACGTCTAATTATTCAATGAAGTTAATATTTCTAGCGTTTTGATTGGCCCATGTGATGTATGAGAATGCTGCATTTATGCATTATAATATAAGATCGTCATTCAATCATTTCTTGTAAAGTACATAACGTATTTACTAAGCCACGTAGAATACATTTACAAAGTGAAAGTTGCATGAGTATCCACCTCGAAAGAATGAAATATTTGTATGATTGTTGCCTTATGTACAATCATGTATTAATCTTTATTTTATTGATCGTCGAGTTTTTATTACTTACTTATCATCGGGAGCATTCACTATGTCAAGCTTATAACGTGTGTCATTTTTCTCTTCCCAATCGTAAAACGTTATACAGTTCGTGTCGCCAACTCTCGTCTCTTCTTCGATTTTGCGCATTGCAAACTTGATTGTTTTCTTTTCTTCATTGGCTATCAAATAATGTAAATGATTTTGTCTTATGTACTAGACTTTGACATTAGGGTGCAATCTACAGTGTGTCTCAAAAAAATGTTACACTTACAAAAAGTTCAATATCTTTCATAATTTTGACTTTTCCCCCAAAATATACTTTGGATATCAAAAGACAAATCTTTGTCGAATAATTTGACACCATCAGATTCAAAATCTGTCCTTGATTGACTGCAAAGGGCAGCTTTTAGTGTCCCATGGTAAAATCTGACTTGCGCCAATTTCTAAGTGATTGGATGAACCAAATGACAAAAGAGGAACAGTTTCTTGAACATTTAACTTTCTTCTGAGTTGAAGCTTTACCTTTAACTGAGTCATTCTGTAATTTTCCTATTTGTGTTACATATGATCATTGGGTCTATCCACATAAACATGTGGTCCTCTCGACATGTTCTCCGAAGCAAATCTGAGGTACCCTTGCCCATGCGCACATGCATTGTAATATCACACTGATTCCATCAATTATTTTTGCAGCAGTTCATTTAGGTCAGTTTGTGATGCTGTAAAGCACTTTTAGAAGCTGTTCAAAAAATCAAGGGTGTAAAGTGTGTTACGTTCGAAAATAACAGAAAGTAAAAACAGCAATTAAAATATGATAACAATATATTTATATTTTGAAAACTAAATAATATAACAATAATATAAAGGAGGTTTAATACTTAAGTGATGTCCAATCAATGATACGGCTTATTCTTGATGTCGATAAATGTCGTTGACGATCCTTGAGAATGTTCCAGATCACGAAATGTTTCAATAATCGTTAATAGTTCTCCAATGTTTGTAATAATCCAATAATGTTTGTTGTAATCCTATAATGTTCGTATCCAATAATGTTTGATGATAATCCACAAATGTTTGATGATAATCCACAAATGTTTATGATAATCCACGAATGTATATGATAATCCGTATATAGTGTGTGTTGTAATATATGTCCATATAAAGTCCTCGGGTTGTGTGTTTGTAGTGTTATAAATGTTCCCACAGTAGGTGTCTGTAATATTCCGCTAAGAAGATGTCCTTTTGATAAACTTTGAAATTCTGCTTTATTTAGTTCCTTTGAGATGTCCAGTTGATGACTTATAATTATCTGCTACTGAGTCCACTTTGCAGTTTTATTTATAGTGTGAAAGAATCATCTAGAAAGAATCTTCTGGAACTGAGACTACTTGTTGAGTTTTGATTGGACATCTTCAGTCACATGATTAAATCTTAATGAATGGTTATATTTTCTAGAACTCTCTGGGTGGTCAAGGGTTAATGAGTCATTCAGTTCAGTTATGTTTGCAAGATATAATGTCATTGTGACCTTGACCTAAGATCTCTAATAAAGATCAGTTACAGTATATACATATAGATAAACTAAACTTAATGTGAATATAATAGAACATAATACTGTAACACCTCCCTCCTTAAAAGAAAAGTTTTGAATGCAATGAAAAACTTTTACAATAATATCTTGAGTAGCTAGCGTTGCAATTTCTAAAAGTGAGGTTGAGACTTACATAATATTTGTTTACAATAGTCTTTTTATATGCAGTATGTTTACAAGTATATAATACTTTCTATCGTTACAGTGTGAGTACAATCTAATAACATATAATGTTCTTATAATCCCATACTACAATAATATCTACATTAGTTATGCATTAAGTCATAAATACAATACACGCAATAGATCATATAACATGTACAATAGCATAATTTTTGAGTCTGACAAACACAAAACTTGTACAATGTTTTAAATTATCACACGATCTTATGAAAGTATTTCTAATAGTACACTCTGATGTTATTTAGTAATCTTGTGACACTATTTAATGATCACCTAATCACATAATCTAGATACAATCTTATAGTTCATATCAATTTCACTATTTAGGCAAATGTTTTTATTATATATTGTTAAAATAAAGTGACAGTTATCACAAATCTCTTATTTGCCTACCATATAATATAATCTTCATGAGTTAATCATGATAATTTACAATATCTAAATCTTAAATAACATATAGTTGTCATTTACATACGAGTTTGGCCTGAGAGCTAAGAGCACAAGCTCATGTTGAGTAAAGAAATTTTATCACGCTCAACATACTTTTTCATCATATGTAGCTCTCTACACCTCACAGGAGTAGTTTTATCAATGCAAATGAAATCATTCAGCACTGAGTCAGACTTTGAGTAAGATTTAAACTCTTTTGAAAGCCCAACAAATGTGAAATTGTTGATTTGTGATTTCACAATATACTTGGTTTTGCTATTCCTAAACATAAGAAGTGATTTTATTTCTGTAAACTGTGTGGCCATAGACAGAATAGTGAGCAGATATTGATTATTAGATTTTGTTTTTGCCAACACAGTCAATAAAAACCTTACTAAATGGTTCATCGAATGCAGGTATAGGGTGTAAAGGAGCAGTTGGAATTTTCTGGTTAGGTTTCCCTACCATTTGACATGTATGACAATCCCTACAATACACTTGGACATCTTGTTTTAATTTGGGCCAAAAGAAATGATTGAGTATTTTATGGTATGTTTTGGTTACTCCTAAATGACCTGCCATGGGAGAATCATGAGCTAGACTCAAGATTTCCTTATGATATGATTTGGGGACAACAATTTGATGTACAATTGCCCAATCGTCTTCAGGGGAAGCTTCAGGAGGTCTCCACTTTCGCATTAATATGCCATCCTTTTTGTAGAAACAAACAGGGACCTTGTCAGCTTCATCAATAGTAAGACATCTTTTATGAAGATCAATGAGTGATGGATCATGCTCTTGTTCATAAATTAACATGTGTTTAGAATGAGGATCTTTTTTCAAAGAATCACTATCAGAAATAGAGGATGAAACCTCAGAACTAGAAGAGGATGAAACCTCAGAACAAGGAGGGGATGAAACCTCATGAACACTAGCAGAAGAAGATGAAACTTCATCAGGACTAGCAAGAGCGGGCGAAACCGCGTTAAAATAGTGATCCTGCTCAGAAGGTGAATCACTTCTGGCAATAGGCTTTTTCAATAAAGAATTTGCCTCAATAGATGACTGCTAGGCTCGAACAAAAGGCTGTTTCAATGAAGAATTTGCCTTAAAAATAGGATAAGGATCATCTTTAACAAGTGGTGAGTAACATTCATCATCAAACAAGGAGCTTAAAAACCCACTATCAAAGTCATCTCCCACAGACGAATCCCCGCTATTGGCTAACCTTTTAGCCATAGCCCTAGTAACAGCACAAGCAGGATATATATCAGAGTCCTCTTGGACAGAATCCTCAATAGAACAAGGCTGATCAGAAACAATGGGGTCTAATGATACCTTACCCCCAGCTAAATCATTGCCTAAAAGCAATGCGACTCCTTCAACAGGAAGTTGTGGCCTAACACCAACAATAACTGGCCCTTTGACTAACTCCGATGTGATGTGAATACGATGGAGGGGAACCTTAGTAAAACCTAATTTAATGCCTTGCATCAAAATATGGGTACCTGTGAATGACTCCTCAGATAAAGGAAGGACACCTTCTAACAACAAAGTCTGAGATGCACCCGTGCCTCTAAGAATCTTAATTGGCGTTGAATTGGTATCATCACTTGACAGTGACACAGATCCTTCTGACATGAAAGGCTTATAATCCTCCATAATATCACTATGAGTAGACTTCTCAGTATGAGTATATGAATCCGAAACAATGGGCTTTCTTGAAATGGGAACTGTAGCACAACCATTTGAATGAGCAGAACCAGACATCTCTCTTCTATTCTTAATTCTATAGCATTCAGAAATAAGATGATCAGGCTTTTTACAATAATTACAGGTGATATTTGATTTTGGACCTGAAGAATTTGATTGATCTGATTTTGAGCTAGAACTCTGTGATGAATGAGACGGGTCTTTTGCTTTGTTTGATGTATTAGATGATGAGGACTGATTTGATATTGTATCATATGAAGGTTTGTTACCTTGATAACCTCTAAAGTTAGGATTGCCCTTGATAAAACTACCCTTATGAGTAAGAGCATAATCATCAGACAGGGTGGCAGCTTGACTTAAAGTTTCTACCTTGTGTTCATCTAAGTAAGTTCTAATGTGATATTGAACACAGTTTTTAAATTGTTCTATTAGCATAAGCTCTCTGAGCTTTTTAAACTCTTCAGATACATCTTTAGAGACAAGCCACCTGTCAAAAAGCTGCTCTTGCTCTCGAGCAAACTCAACATGGGTTTGGTCACTCTGTTTGTGGGCATTTCTAAATTTTTGTCTGTAGGCTTCTGGCACTAGTTCATAAGCTTTAAGAATTGCATTTTTAACTAGGTCATAATCAGAGCATACTTCTCCTGAGAGAGAGGCAAATATTTCACTTGCTTTTCCAATGAATACACTCTGGAGCATAACTGGCCATGCAGATTTAGGCCAGTCTAGGCTCTGAGCGACTTTTTCAAAATGTGTAAAGTATTTATCAACATTTTTCTCTTGAAATTTAGGTACAAATTTGAGAAATTTTGAAGCGTCAAACCTATTTTCAAAATGTTGATGCATAGTAGCATGTTCATCAGTTTTTGATTGAGCTTCTAATTCAATTAGTTTTAATTCAACTTCTTTTTCCTTTTGAATTTCTTGTTCTCTCAATCTTATTTCTTTTTCATTTTGCATTTCTTTCTCTCTCAATTCTTGTTGTGTTTTGATTTCAAGCTCTCTCAATTCGAGCTCTTTGAGCTTTATAGGATCAACATGCTCAACATGCTGGGCTGGCTGCTCAGGCAGAAGTGATTCTGCGACCAAATATTGAAGTACAAAGTTTTTAATTGTATCCTTTTTGTATGAGCTTTTGACTGACAACCCAACATGTTTTGCAATTGCCAGAAGTTCAGTTTTCTTTAAATCATCAAATTCCTCCAAAGAGGGCGCTTCTAAAAATGTCTCAACCTCAAAACTCATTTTTGATTAATTGCTGTCTTCACAATTTAAATGTGCAAGTTTTAGATTTTGAATTTTAAAATATTTGTATTTTAGCTTGTTGTAGTTGGATCCCGGACGAGCCCCCAATTTCTGTTACGTTCGAAAATAACAGAAAGTAAAAACAGCAATTAAAATATGATAACAATATATTTATATTTTGAAAACTAAATAATATAACAATAATATAAAGGAGGTTTAATACTTAAGTGATGTCCAATCAATGATACGGCTTATTCTTGATGTCGATAAATGTTGTTGACGATCCTTGAGAATGTTCCAGATCACGAAATGTTTCAATAATCGTTAATAGTTCTCCAATGTTTGTAATAATCCAATAATGTTTGTTGTAATCCTATAATGTTCGTATCCAATAATGTTTGATGATAATCCACAAATGTTTGATGATAATCCACAAATGTTTATGATAATCCACGAATGTATATGATAATCCGTATATAGTGTGTGTTGTAATATATGTCCATATAAAGTCCTCGGGTTGTGTGTTTGTAGTGTTATAAATGTTCCCACAGTAGGTGTCTGTAATATTCCGCTAAGAAGATGTCCTTTTGATAAACTTTGAAATTCTGCTTTATTTAGTTCCTTTGAAATGTCCAGTTGATGACTTATAATTATCTGCTACTGAGTCCACTTTGCAGTTTTATTTATAGTGTGAAAGAATCATCTAGAAAGAATCTTCTGGAACTGAGACTACTTGTTGAGTTTTGATTGGACATCTTCAGTCACATGATTAAATCTTAATGAATGGTTATATTTTCTAGAACTCTCTGGGTGGTCAAGGGTTAATGAGTCATTCAGTTCAGTTATGTTTGCAAGGTATAATGTCATTGTGACCTTGACCTAAGATCTCTAATAAAGATCAGTTACAGTATATACATATAGATAAACTAAACTTAATGTGAATATAATAGAACATAATACTGTAACAAGTGGCATGACAACGGGGCCAATCAATTGGATAATTCAATGCTATCCTCTGTTTTCCAAAGAGTTCTACCAAACGATCTGCCATAGGTCTTTGCACCATCCTGTTGCCATCATACGTAACAAAATTGAATACCTGATACCTGATTATGGAATCTTGTATTTTTATCCAGGAAAGAAACACCTGGATCATTGATTATATCAAAATATCACTGTCCACAGAGTTCACACCAAAAAAGAATTGATCACTACATGTCCAATCACTGAGAAGTTGGCGCAAATCAGATTTCACATGCATCTGTAAAATCTGTCCTATGCAGCCAATCATGGACGGATTTTGAATCTGATAGTGTGGATTTATTTGAAAAAGACTGGTCTTTTGGTATCTAAGTATATTTTAGGGGGAAAAGTCAAAATCATGAAAGATATTGAACTTTTTGTAAGTGTAACATTTTTTTTGAGACACACTGTAGTAAGACATGTTATATTTTTTAATCATTATGCTCATTGTATGGCATAGTGTTACTTGCATTGCCCATGTGTAGCCTTGGTTTGTGAACAAAGACAAAGGTGGAGACGATTTATATTTGGAACTAATCAAAAGTGTTAGCATTTTTACGGTATACATTAAGATCTAGCCTCGATTTTATTTAATGAAATGTATACCTACTGTAAGAACTATCCAAAGTGTACGGGACTCTTCCCCGGGGCCATAAACTGTTAGACCAAAATATTTCCGCGAGTGCATTTCTAAACTATAAATAATTTTAACTTAACATAGGGTGTGGCTCATTTGGCTGAAGCTTTGAAAGTTTGAACCATCTTGGAATAGTACATAAAAGTACAACTACCCGTTCCAATTATTCTTTACAGATTGATTGATCGATTATGATTATTCAAAAACATCACTTTACCCTTGTGTTCTTTCTACTTCCGATTTTTCGTTTTGTCTTTTCAGGTAGGCGTATGTCTCCTTCAAAGAACCCTTTACAGAAAAGAACAGTACATATTGTTGACCGCCAATCAACCAATCAGAATCGAGTATTTCAGTTGAGGTACTAACAATATAGTATGTATCATTACCTACCATGCATTAAGTAGATATGCGCTATATTAAAAGGAGGATCAGATTTACAGCAAGAAACTTTGACGAAAAATCATGACCATTCCTTGTCATGTCTATTTATAAAAGGTGCATAATGTTGGAAAATATGATTTTTACAAAAAGATACCAACTGGGAATTGCCATTTTGAATTTATCTAAGATTCAAAAATTGCTGTCATGACAAGTTTAACATGTCAAGGACAGTATTTATCCAATCAATCCAACTGTTACAGGCCAAAATGCAATTGTTTACAAATGCAATTTGTATGCAAAACGGCCACGAACTTTCATCACAAGCGCCCTACCTGATTTAGCTTCTGGATACTGATCATACAGTTTAACATCATCTCCCCTTTCTTCCTCCTCGCTTAAGTCAGTATTATCAGCATCCTAAATAGCAAAACAAGTAAGCATGTACATGATATTGATGTTCCTCTATAACTTTGAGATTTTTTGTTACCCCCCTATCACACCAAACTAGTTTTTACCCATCCTTGCCAGTCCTACGAAAACGTCGTAAAACGGGCTCAATCTGGCTGTGGTCGGGAAATATGTCTAAAATAATTAGCTACTTCGTTCATAAACAGTCTTCAACACGTCCATCTCATTCGCAGTTTGTTCAGGTCGCACCACGTCGGTGTGCAACGTCGTATAACGCGCCCCTTAGTCTAGAAGGTCATCATGACCTGATTACAGAACGGTATGGTCGCCATCGAATTTTGAATCGATTAAACATTTCAAATCACATTCCCCGTCCGGGAAAGCCCATGAAGTTCGTAGACAGACCGTAGAACGTTGTAGCTACGTTCATTCCGTTCGCACACAGTTTAAAACCAGTTTTGAAAGTGCAGTGGCAACTTGCTTGGTGTGATAGCTATATTTTTGCTAACTCGTTGATAATACGTTCTTAATCAGTTTTAACCTGTCTGCAATTAGTTCTACCTCGTTCTCAATACGTCCTCAGACAGTTCAACTCGTAGTAAAAATGTCCCTAGTAGGATTGAATTCAGACGATTCGGTTCGTAGTACGTCCAGCTCGTCGCGGTTAGTAGGTTATCACTCTTTCTAATTGTAGAACGTGACGACCAAGAGAACATTTTGAGCATGTTCTCAGTTCTAGAGGACCTACCCGTTCGAGTACGTTCGATGAAGTTTGTAAATAGACCCCAAACGGTTCTCAGTACGTCCAGTACGTCCAGTTCGTTCGTACACCCTACTACCACACCGAACTAGTTCTCACTACGCTCTCGAAAACGGAATTCAACTGTGCGTCCTTAGACACACCAAACTAGTTCAAACTACGTTCTCAATCCTACTAGGGACGTTTTTACAACGAGTTGAACTGTCCGAGGACGTATTGAGAACGAGGTAGAACTAATTGCAAAAGGGTTAAAATTGATTAAGAACGTATTTATCAACGAGTGAGCAAAAATATAGCTATCACACCAAGCAAGTTGCCACTGCGTTCTTTAAAACTGGATTTAAACTGTGTGCGAACGGAATGAACGTAGCTACAACGTTCTACAGTCTGTTTACGAACTTCATGGACTTTCCCGGACGGGGAATGTGATTTAGAATTTTGAATCGATTCAAAATTCGATGGCGACCATACCGTTCTGTAATCAGGTCACGATGACCTTCTAGACTAAGGGACGCGTTATACGACGTTACACAACGACGTGGTGCGACCTGAACGAACTGCGAATGAGGTGGACGTATTGAAGACTGTTTACGAACGAAGTAGCTCATTATTTTAGACATATTTCCCGACCACAGCCAGATTGAGTCCGTTTTACGACGTTTTTGTTGGACTGAAAAGAACGGGTAAGAACTAGTTTGGTGTGATAGGGGGGGGGGGGGGGTTACTTATCGGCTCAGTTCCCATTCTTTTTAAAATATATGAAATGTTTCTATTTTCTTTAATCGAATTCAAATATCTTTGTGATTCTCTTGTTTTATTTTTAATTTACTAGTACTGTCGAATATTCATTCAATTTGATTTGTATGAATTCCCTTTGCTTGTTTTAAGACGTATATGTTAAAGGCTATTAAGGCATATTAAATGCCTATCACTTGAAGTTATTAAGCTTCCAATATCCTGGACCTCTATTGTTTTTTCTAATATCAATTTTCAAATGTAAACACTATTAATCTGACATTGGAAATGAACTTTTCATTTTGTAGTACTTACACGTGTGTGATATCATATAGTCCATAATCAGTTCTGGATTTAGGATATTTTCGTTAAGAGATACATATATATGTAAACCGATATCAATTAATCTTCATATAGTCTAAGTCGTCTGACTTACCGCTATTTCATCCATGGAATGTTCACCTAAATATCGTGCCTGTGCCAGAAAACAACCAAGCAGAATAAACCACGTCAACCTGATCATGTTTCCTTCATTACATATGGGCCTAATGCCTTAAATTTATGATACCATTCTATACTATTATCAGATTTACAATAAATCAACGTCATCATATACAGTATTACTATTACTTACCTTTCTTAAGGAGTATGAAGATGTCTGATGGAAGCTGAATGCGTCACATGGTAAGACAAAGTAGAGCTATGATTACATAACACAGATGTATATGGGGCAAACTGGGTATGTGGAATGGTGGTCAAAATCAGTTCCAAAAGCTCATAATATCAATTAAGGAAAATAATATATTGATTAAGGAGATAAAAGTAGATGTGAGTAATCCTGATCTTATTTGCAATGTATTGATTATATTTGATCTATTGACCACAATACCTTTAATGTACAATTCAATTAAATTGTAAAAACAAACTCCCATTGCTTTTACATTACCTGTCTATTCGCGTGAATGAGAAACGCTTGACAGCTATATAATGGCGCATTGGAGCTGTATTATAGCTTGTATTGTTGAACACAGTGAAGTACTAAATGATAGAATAAATTTGTACAGTAAAACCTGTCTAAGTGGAACAATTTTTGTACATCTAATGTAAATTGTGCTCCACTTAGGAGGTGTTCCATTTAAAGAGGTTCACATTTGGGACTATGAAAACTGTTCCACTAACAGAGGTGTTCCACTTGAAGAGATGTTTCACTTTACACGTTTCACTGTATGTGTTATTAAGGTCATCCGAAGTCAATTATATGTTTAATTAAAGTCCCGACGAAGGGTCAAATACACACTGAATCCTTACTTACATTTCTAGTAAGATTTTATTCTAAGCAATAGTACAGTTTCCACATAGCTTTTGAAATCTCGCTTAATGACGTTTTTCGTGTGATTTTAAGAGATTTGCATATTCGACCTCAAATGACATGTCTTTCCTTCTTTTAAATGGAATATTTGAATTCAATAAAATGTTTTCTACAAGAATAACTTTGAATGTTTAGAGTTATGATATTTAAATCATTTTACATGACTTTTTGAAAAACTTGGGACAAATCCCCATTGATGCAATGCCTGAATTCTCTAAAAACCTTGGTTTATCAGTTAAACAACCACATTTTTGATGATTAAGATTAATCACAATATGTACATCAACAGGGCCATCATATGGTATATCGTTCAAGTTTTACACAGATTGGCCTTATAAACGGGCTAATAGACTACAGGGCTTGTTTTGTAATTGCCTGAGGGCGAGTGCATCGCATAATATATGATAAGTATTCCTCCCATTTTCGTTCACTCGGCTCCCGTTGGTCGATGATCGCAGTGAAGACCGAGCGTGCGAAGATGTATTCCCCTAAAGTATCACTAAAATAACAATGAGCCCGTCCGTTGCAAATTACATGCTCATGCGTTTTCAACAAACATGACAAAAGCAGTTCATCTAAAGCGCACGTTAAACCGCTAATTACGCTGTCACATTCTTATCTGCAAACTCCAGATCTGGCGTTTTTGCTTTTTCTCAGAGCTCCGTACCTTAATCTAAAAAATTCTTGCACCGCTACGTCGCGACGCTACTTGGCTTCAGAATGCATATGGTACTTGATTTGCTTGATTTCCCCAAAATTATGGTATTGATTTCTATGACGCGGTATCGCCGCCTGAACCGCGCGAACAATCGCGCGAATAATTCATGTTTTCCGCGCGAATGTTTTATGTTCCCGCGATTGATTTTAACCAATAGAAATCGCGCGGCTGTATAAGTATCCGCCCGGAAAATTGTGTTACCGTCGCCCGATGATACCCAACCAATGGGGTAGCACAAAAATGCGGCCTAATGTTGTTAAGTTCGCCCGTGTCATACCAACAAATGAAAGCCATCGTCACAACCAGACAAGAGGTTCACCACATGTTATCTCCAGCCCTCAAAGAAAGTACATGCAATTTTTTTGCATGTAACTGAAGTTTATATCGTCATATGTTGTTAAAAACTGATTATATATATATACGATAATACACTTATATTCCACATCTACATCGCAGTAATCAGTAATTGTGAAATTAAAATGCATGTCTATTAGATGTTTTAATATAAATACGTCGAACTGATTTTTAGGCAACAGATAGTCGAACGCACACTGACGCAGTGTTTAATTGGTTTTGCCCTTTCGCTTTTCTAAATCGACTCATGATGCCTTCTCTCAGTCGGAACTTAATGTAAAGATAAACATTTAAAAGTTTTTTTCAGTTCAAGAGATATAAAAGAAAAATCGACAGAATTTGATATTATTCAATTTTGTTTATTGTTCTTTTAATGTTAGACATAATTCTGTTTATGTTGTTTTGGTTTTAATTTTGCAAGGGATGACTTGAACGGGGTTCATTAATGCATCATTAGAAACTTTCCTCGAATTAACCTAAGGAATTTCAAGTTTAGTACCCGGAGCACAAGGGCTTGGGAAAATTTATTCAATTATTTCAGTTGTGTTATAAATGGGATAAAGGGAGATTAAAATCATATTTAATAGATTCTACGCCATTTGTCTTCAATATTGTTATCTACCATAATCTAAAATTCCAGACCATACTCTCTGCAAAAAGTGGTATAAACCTGGAAAAATATCCAGTGGATATATTGGTATCCTGATTACAAACCCATGCGTATGATTAATTACAATGTTCAACATTTACAAAACTAAATTCACTTAACTATTTTTAAACCACATGATTGTATTTTCAAATGTTGGTAATATTTCCAAATAAAAGGTTGAGCAAATGGAGTAAGTCAAAACCAAATAATCACGACTAATGAATATTGGTTAACTACGTATTTAGGTAAAGATTTTGTGATGGGTACTATGAATAGGCAGACTTGTAAATACCATTATTTATCTCAAAACTGCCGTTTTCAACGGTTCTAGCTGCATAATGAACTGTTCGCCGATCTCCTCTAATAAACTGCTCAATTCGGCACCCCTAGCAGCAATTAGATCAACGAATAAGAAGATTTAGTGGTTGAATCGAATATTTCGGACTTCTAATCAAAATGGTGGCATTCTTTTGAAAACATGGTTTTGAATGGTTAATTTAAGTCGGGCGAAGTTGAGACTTGAGAAACAATCGCGCGAATAAATTAGGACTTTCTATTGGTTGATTATGATCGCGCAACTGTAAAATTCTCGCGCGACTAAAGAAATAGTCGCGCGATCATTCGCGCGGTTCTGGCGGCGATACCGCGTCATAGATTTCTCCAAGCGATGTTCTGACTTTGCAAAGCCATACGCTTTAGTGTATTTCTAGTAAGATTTTATTCTAATCAATAGTACAGTTTCCATATCGTCGTGGAAATCTTGTATGCTTCGAGAAGTGGGTCCCATTTGAAAAACATTTCAACAAATCGTGATTTTTCGATCAAATTATCTCAATTACATCATGTTCGACAACTAATATGTGGTAAGTTTAACTTATCATATGAGATCATATTGGGACTACACCCATAAAGATGGAATTGATTTTTTAAATCAACCCCACAACTACTTGTGCATTGAACTCTTTTGGTTGAAAATAAGCGGGATTAATGGATTTTAGCGAGAGTTTAGGACACAAGTACATGTAGTCTTGGGGTTGATTTGAAAAAATATTGCACATAATAACTGGAGATCAAAAGAAATCAACTCAAAAGTAACCCTAGGTTTAAATATTTTTAAGTTTTCTGAAGATTTAAGAAATTATTAAGGTAATATCCTCGATCCTAAACTTTGATAAACAAAGCCCGAAACTGACTCGTCCACAATATAATTTCAAACTTCCATTAACGAAATAAAATGCCATTCTGTTATCGTGACCGGACTATCTGAAACGGTTGTGAATTTTGAGTCAAAATGTGCAAACATGCTTCTGTTTACATCACTTCTCTTCAATCCCTTCATTAGGCTTTTGTGATTCCCTTAACATAATAATTATAATATACTGAGTTGCACTGAACTGCTGTTTCGTGCGTAGGACTATTGCTGTGCAGTGTGGTTCAACAATCCAACAATTCCAACAATCTCAATGTGTCTTACGTGCGAGAAGTCAGGGGGCCCTTTGACACATTATACGCATATCATGCCTGGACTTTTTGCTCTTTTATTTTATTATGTTTCAAACAATTGATCATTTTAATGCTGCTTTTCAAAAGAATCTCGTGATTTCATAACAATGGGAGTTGCATCGTAATGGCTATTGAATGGCATCGGAGCGTACATGTACGTGAATATTTAATGTTCGTTATCAGTGCGAAGTGAAAGTCCCTTTCATTTCACAATATCATCCATTTTCTAAAAAATTAATACATCTATCTGCACGTCACTATGTACAGTATGTTCATTTCTATTCCTCATAATTAAACCATAAGTAGATTTGACAGCATGTTGAACTATCCGGGTTTAACACGCAGTTCAAATGGGAATTTATGTTTGACAAACTTTTAGTGTTTTTTTATTCATTTCTTGCTTTCAATGGACACACTCATCTTTTACTTTTAAGAAAGTTTAATAAGAAAAGAAGAATTATTTTGAATAATAAGCCTTTAGTATACGCTGAAACTAATTGTTAGTCTCAGCTATACGTGCACATGTGAATAATCTACTATTATCCTCTGTCCAAATACAAAAGGTTTAATAAAACATTATTGTTAACATGATCATGACAATATCAAACACGATTGCATGAGGAGCGTCCCACTATGACTTTTAAAACAAAGAACTGCAATGATGATTACAAGAACAAAGGGTATAATAGGTAACATTATGATAACAATAGCCACATTCAAGGATCGTGGCTCATTAAAAGCTAGTGGAACTATATATAATGGCGATGAAAGTGTCCTAAAAACATCTAAAAAGTCATCATCCAAGGAGGAAACATGATGTAAGTTAAACATTTCTATTGATTCGTATTGAAAATATTTTGCGTCAATTTTGTTTTGTTGTGACGAAAAAATTATATTAGATTCTTAATTAATTGAACAATCTTACTTGAAATTCGATTAATCTCATTTACATGAATATACTACACCATTAAGAGTCCATCTCGACTGAGTCTACTTTTAAATCAGGCATCAACTCTTGTTTGCAAACGATCAAAAAACTATAAATATATTCTATAGGTCTACTCCGTACATGATGCTTTGTCTGGTTTTTGTTGTAATGTGCTCAGGTATGAATGCATATTTAAATAATTTAATCATATAACATATTATCGTATGATCCGTAAAGTGAAACCCTCTGATCGGTCGGTTCTTGTGCTGTACCAATCTGTATTGCTACTGAGATTGTCTCCATTGATCATCTCCATAACAATACAGAAAATATTGGTATGGAGGGGACAATCTCAGTAGCAATACAAAGAATACAGAATATTTCCCAGGGATTATCTCCTAAGTAAAATGTATTGGCCTAAGATCACACGATAAAAACGTTATAGAATGATTTGAAGTGCAATACAGGATATTCTACTCTCAATATTCTGTATTATCACTCGACTTCGTTTCGTTCCAACACAGAATTTCTCAAGCAGAATATATACTGTATTGCGCTTCAAATCATTCAATAACTTATAATATTTTGATTACAGTATAAAGTACGTGTATTCCTTAAATGAGGTAGTATAAGCTTTTGGACATGCACCCCTTTCGCACAATTTGTTTCAACATGCTGCACTTTCTGGGTGAACCTTATTCATTTGCCTATTGCCTATTTTCTGCCAGGTTTGGAAAATTAAATGTCGATCGGATATATTATCTTCATAATGTTATCCAATGGGGTGTTTCTTCTCATTAGGAAAATTAAAACTGGGAAAATATGACCATTCGGCAAATTAACCACTCAGGTTAATTACCACCTTTCCAGTATGATGCTGAAACATCATTTTTTTAAATGACAACTTCTTAGAATGTACAAGAATATGTCAAGACTAACTAATGTTTTCGCTTCTATCCCAATGGATCCAGGGCATGCATCAGCAGTGTGGTATGAGTATTGGACAAATTGGATCAACGTTGATAGACCATCAGGCAATGGTGAGGGCGAATCAAGACCGGGCTTTGCAGGAAAGGTAATAAAGATATCAATGTTTCACGATTCCTCTATATTTTAAATGAAATGGAACTATTGCTTATTGTTTATTGTTTCTTTTACTCCCGAAAATTAATCGGAGCAACAAACATAATAATTACAATACAGTTATTTTATACAATAGTGAATAATCATGATAATATATAAGAATAAAATTTACACGAAATAGTGCTGTATAAATTGCAGCTTATTTGCAATAGTTAGTCAAAAATTACAAAATGTTTCATCATCCAATTGTTGGAGAACATCTGCCTGACTTCCTAGTATGGCATCAATAAAAACATGTGTGTCAGCAGAAAACAGCTTGACACCAGTATCTATGTCTAAAATTGAGATTATTGAATTTAAAAGTTCGTCTCTCTCACAGATAATTCTGCTATTTTGGCAATGCAATAGGTAATGCACGATTATGAACTCATTGGTAAATATAATGGTGTCACACATTTTACACTCCTTTTCATATACATTAGGTAAGGATAAATGAATGAGATTGCCAAAATTCCAAGTGCACTTTGGGAATTGTCTACCCAATTCCCACATAATGCTTGGGCTGAGTTCTGTATGGACGTTACGAAAGTATTGCAAAGAGACATTCTGCTGGCAGCTTTCTTGCCATTTTTTCTCCTCATTAATATGAATTTGTGATTTAGTAAACAGTCTCCACTTCTCCTTAATTAGATATTTGCCATTACAGATGAATTGTTGAATTTGGTCTGGTATATATTCATATTTTTCAGCCAGATTGTATAGATCATTGATGAACCCTTTCTGTTTAAATGTTTCTCTATTCGACAAATAACTTGCCAATCTTAAAATGAAGACTTTTTTGTAATAAATGTTTGCATCTACATAATCTGTTGAAAAAATCCAATTTAGCCTTATCCATCCTAGCAGATATTGTCCATAATCCAAGGGTCGATAGAGCTACATCGGACGGAAATCTCATGCCAAAACGTTGAATTGCTTTTGTTACTTGACTTTGTGTAAGTTCTAGCAAATAAATGTCTTTTTTGGTGAGGTTTGACCAAAGCTTAGATCCAAATAACATTGCAGGTTATGTTGATCCAGATTCTTAATGAAGTAAGAGGAATTGCATCTTTTACCATACGGACATTAGCAATCGAGTAATACGATTTTTTGGCTTTTTTGCATGCATTAACTACCATGTCTTTGCATTTAAAATCTCTTCTCAAAGCGTTACCAACGTATTGCTGAGTATTTGCGTTAGGAATAACACTGCCTAAGAAGTAACATACTTGATTACTTGCTTTTGATGTCTCTTTTGCCGTCTTCCCCAGCATGGTACAGTAACCTTCACTTACTGCTATAATCATATACAATATTTAGCAGGGTCTCTAGGTCAGCAGGGGAAGACGCCAAAAGAGTCGTATCATCCGCCACTAAAATGCATGGGATTAGAGTATCACCGATAGTTACGCCGACACCTGAGTTACATAGGTCTTCAATAAGACCGTTGATAAAGACATTAAAATGGATGGCGCTGCACACCCGGCCCTGACCGAGCCCTCTTTTATTTCAAAAGTTCTCGACATTTTTCCCATATATAAAAGGCTCGCCATTGTGTCGGTATAACTATCTACTATTAAATTGAACGCTTTCCCATTTATACCAAGGTTGTATAATTTGTGGAAAAGGCCAATCCTCCACAAGGAGTCAAAACATTTAACGTTATCCAAAAATGCACAAAATAGTTTGCTCTTCCGTTCACTATAATGGTGAATAGCATCCGAAAGTACAAATATAGCAAATTGACTTCCAGAGCCTTCCTAATAGGCAAATTGAAGTGAGTTAGGACATTTTAAAATCTTAAAGGAATGAGTCTTACAGAAACTATCTTTTCCCATAGCTAATAAGAACCGATGTGAGTGTGAGACCACGAAAATTATCTGTACATCTGTATCATTATCTGTATTATGTGGGATCTTTATTTTTCCCTTTGAATAACGAATTATCATGATTGTTATCTTAAAACAAATTGGTAAGCGTTCAACTTTAATAATTGCGTTTAAAAATTTCGCAGATCTTTTGAGTTAAGTGTGGACCACCATATTTTAAATGTTCGGCGACCACTTCGTCCATCCCAGGTGCTTTGTTGTTTTGAAACGATTTTACAGTGTTTGAAATTTCTTGACAGGATATGGGTACATCAAAGACACTATCTTTGGTAACAATTTGATGGCCATTTTGATAGTTTGTTGTTAATAACTGAAGAAACTTCGATTTCCTGGTAATAACAATTTTAGTCCCTAACCTGCTCCAAAAAATGAAGTGGCGTTGTCCGGCACTCCAACACAAAAAAATGAACATACCATCCAAAGTACTGACTTCCCTTATTAAGAAAGTATAATTCTGTGTAACTAGTGCTTTTGCCTCCAAAATGGGGTCACACAAGGTTGCCTTCTAAAAAAACGTTTGCATATATTTGTGGCGGACACCAGGACAACAAACTTATCTAGAGCTCTTAGAAAAATGACATCCTGATACTCATATATAAGCTTGTATTAGTTCAAAAATACCTCCTTTTAGATGAAGAAATAGAAATTATTTTTTCAAAGTGATGATATCACCACCATCATATAAAATGTATGTCATCTTGTATTTTAGAAACTGGTAGAGGCAGACTGTTTGTACCCCAATGGAATCGAATGCCAAACCGCAAGCGATGAGCCGTATTACAAACACAAGCAGACGTTTGAAAAGGGTTATGACTGCACTGTTATGCTTGGACTTATATGCTTGAACAAGAGAAATACAGGCATGTGTAAGGACTACAAAACAAGATATCGCTGCAATAAAGGCAAGACTTGTGTATATTTTTGTTCCTATGCTTACTTTTTACAGGGGAGGACCTTTATGAACAACCAAGAAATAATTTAGGAAACCCACTCCGCATTTGGCGTCAGATAGCAAATTCTTGATCTACGAGTTTTCAGTTTTCAATCTTTCTTCACACTCGGAGTGTGGTTTAGCCATAATATAGATGATCGTAATTTTTCCCCTAAAGTTAAAGCTATAGAAAACTTTTTTAAAATATGGGAATGGAGGAATCTTAGCCTAATAGGGAAAATGTGCTCATTAAAACTCTAGCCATTTCAAAACTTACTTACTTAGCATCGATAATACTTGTACTAAAGCAAATGATCAATAAAGTTCAATTTTCTGTGGAACAAAAAACCTCCACTTATCAGTAATTTAACAACCGTAGGCAAAATAGAAAAGGTTAGGGTCAAAAGTTTCGAGTTTCGAGTCGCAAATAAAAGATTTTTAAATCCAATGGGTAAAAAGGTTATTCCAAAGCAAACCTTGCAAATGGAAACAATATTTTTACAGTTTCTTTCCAAATCTACAGCCTGAGACAATCTTTCAATCTAAATTTCCAGTAGAAACCTTGGCTAGATTACCACCATTTTACTTCACAAATCATATACAGAGTTTTCAGAAATTCAAATCCGACTTAAGATTGAACTAATAATTATGATCAACTAGGTGGTGACATTTTTTCATGTTAATGCCTTGTTTGTATATGATACCATTGCTCTCCCCAATATCGATGTATCAGTAATTTTAACCAATACATGTATATCCCTTTTTCTGCTCACTTTCTGATTTTGCCATTAAATATCCTTTATTCTTATTGGTTATATATATATGTATTAACAGGAGGGATCGCTAACCCATGTACTCAGAACAATGGCTTGTGCACTCATCAATGTAATTACTGTACTAACTGCAAAGGTCGATGGTGTAGATGCTTCCCTGGGTACAGCCTAATGAGGGACTACAAAACCTGTAACGGTAGGATTTCATTCATTTGTTTTAAAACTCGAAATATTATTTATAATACAATAAACTCTGTCACATTTTGGTAATTCAAAGAAGCTATGGTATTGTCGCGTTCCAGACTTTTGCTGATAGTCTGGAAGCGATGAGTAACTTTTTCACCTTACACTTCTCTGTGGGCCCAGTCCTGGTTTGGTGGACTGGATAAAACGACAGTCACAAATGGCTTCCAATTTAATACATATATTTTTACACAACTATTAATACATGAAAATAACACAGTTCAATGTTCATAAACTAAAATGTCACTATAATTCTCTTTGTAGGATGGATGTCGGCGGTTGCTGCGTTATTAGCTCTTTGCTTGGCTCCCTGGGCTCTATAGCCTGGCTCCTCTGGCTCTTGAACTTGGTTCCTCTGGCTCCTGAACGTGGCTCCTCTGGCTCCTTAGCCTGCTCTTTGGCTCTTTAGCCTGGCTCCTCTGGCTCTTAAGCTTGGCTCCTCTGGCTCCTGAACGTGGCTCCTCTAGCTCTTCGTTGAGCTCTTTAGCCTGGCTCCTCTGGCTCTTGAACTTGGCTCCTCTTGCTCCTAGTTCAGCCCTTTGGCTCTTTAGCCTGGCTCCTCTAGCTCCTGGACTTGGCTCCTCTGGCTCCTCGTCCAGCTCTTTGGCTCTTTAGCCTGGCTCCTTTAGCTCCTGGACTTGGCTCCTCGTCCAGCTCTTTGGCTCCTTAGCCTGGCCCCTCTGGCTCTTGAGCTTGGCTCCTCTGGCTCCTGAACGTGGCTCCTCGTTCAGCTCTTTGGCTCTTTAGCCTGGCTCCTCTAGCCCTTAAGCTAGGCTCCTTTAGCTCCTGGACTTGGCTCCTCTGGCTCCTCGTCCAGCTCTTTGGCTCTTTAGCCTGGCCCCTCTGGCTCTTGAGCTTGGCTCCTCTTCTTACTGGGAAGGCTCCTAGCTGCTCGTTGCTCTAGAAGTCTTCCTGGAACTATTTCTGTCAGCGGTGAAACCAACCGACAAAATAGTTCACTGTGACTCTTGACTTGACTCTTTAGCCTTGCTCTGCCTCTATGGCTCTTGAGTTTTCCGGGGAAGGCTCCTCACTGCCCGATGCGATGGAAGTCCTCCTGGAACTATTTCTGTCAGCGGTGAAACCAACTGACAAAATTAGCTCACACTGTCTCTTGACTTGACTCTTCTGGCTCTTTAGCCTTGCTCTGCCTCTATGGCTCTTGAGTTTTCTGGGAAGGCTCCTCACTGCTCGATGCGATGGAAGTCTTCCTGGAACCATTTCTGTCGGCGGTGAAACCAACTGACAAAATAGTCCACTGTGACTCTTCTGGCTCTTTAGCCTTGCTCTACCTCTATGGCTCTTGAGTTTTCCGGGGAAGGCTCCTCACTGCCCGATGCGATGGAAGTCCTCCTGGAACTATTTCTGTCAGCGGTGAAACCAACTGACAAAATTAGTTCGCCAGGTTGGGAAGTTTCCCAATTACACCTAACGATAATGCAAGGCGGCTTGCAGGTTGTTCCTTGCTGCTTCCCCTAGGACAGCACTGAACTGTAAAAATCCTTGACAACACTTTAAATTGAAGCATGAAGCGATTCTATCACGCTCCGTCAGGGACCCGCTAGGCAATCAATGACACAGTGTTGCTTTACATTAAATCTGACAAATATCTCACTTTAGCAAATCTGGGACACAAAATGGCGACGCACGATAAATCTCAATACCCGTTGAATTATAACTACAGTCAGTCAGAGGCATCCAAGTAGCATGCTGGCCATAAAGTTACAAATTCTGGTACACATGAAATTAAAAATTATAGTCAGTCAGAGGCACCTAGTAGCATGCTGGCCATAAGATCAAATTACAAAAAGGAAAAACCTCACCCGAATAAATGCTTCTTTCTCTAAGTTGCCAAAAATTCAGGTTTCCTCTGTTGTTTCTCCTTCAAGAACCTCCTGGTGCGTCTTCCCGCTTTATCATTCGTTATTAATCCCGAATCCTTGGCAGATGGCTACTCTAAAGTGTGATAAATGTGGATTTTCTTCCAACCTTTGATTCACGCTGCTTCCTTCAAGATGGCGACCTTCCTTTTCTCTGTCATGTGATGGCATGAGTCATAGGCACAGGTGAACACAATTTGAAATCAGGGGCACTGCATTGCAGCAATTGAGGGGATTCCCCTTCCTGTCTTGGAATACCCACTTGTGAGCAGGGGTTTCCCCATCCCTTGCATAAATGGACCATTAAACACTGAATTAAACAATAATCTGCACCAGTGGGAAAATTAAAAAGGATAAACACAAAAAATGAAATTTTCCCACATACCCCCCTTCTAGCTTTTATGTGCCCTCACATAAAACAAAATTCCTGCAAATTATCAAAACAAATGTACTGTAACTGATAACTGTCTTCACTCTCTGACTCCTGGTGCCTTCTTTACAGGAAGAGCTCGTCAGCTCTCAGAGGCTCTTGGTCTTTCTGTGTTTTGCTCGCTGACTTGGGTATGCTCCATGGAGGAGCACCAATTGGACTTGTTTTCTGATGCATTGAGCTCTTTGGAGGATGCTCCTTGTACGATGAATTCTTAGAAGGATAGTTCCTCTTACAAGGGGAGCTCTTAGCTGGATAGTACCACTGGTGTGAGGAGCTCCTGAGATAACCCTCCCTGTGCAGAATCCTCTTTCTGGCATACTCGTTTGCAGGTTTGTTTCTCTCACAGGTCCTTGGCCTGAATTGTGACCTCGAATGCTTCCCCCTCCTTTTTCTGGGCTTAGTTGACAGGGCTGGATTTCTTTCCCCCTGTTCTTCTATCAGTGGACAATTTTTCAACTGTCCTGCCATCGGCTCTTTGTCCACTGGCCCTCTCTTCTCTGAGATTCGATTTACTGCTTCTGGGGGCTCTTCTAAATGAGACACTAGATTCTCCACTGAGCTAAACACACCAAGTATTGTGCCCATCTCCAATCTAACTGGATGCGCAGAACAATTCCTCAGCTTGATAAGAGCAATCCCATCTCGTGCCTCAGTCAGGGAAGTAACCACCTCCACTTCATCAGATTCTAGAGCATCTGGTAACACCGACTCGATGATCCCCATCTGACTTGCCTCCTCTGTAGGAGCAATGTGGACCTTTAACAGCTTACTTGAATAGGGTGGAATGTCCTCGTCTGCCATCAGTTGACAAACCCGAGGGGCAAATGGGTATGGTGGATCAGACCCAGTAGAATTCTCTTCCTTGTGTTGTTCCCTGGCCATAACTCTTGGTTTTTCGGCTTCCTCTTCTTCCAGGTCACTATCCTCAGCATCAACATTCTTATCAAAGGCTGCCTTCTTATTCTGCTTTAGAACCTCGGTAAATGTTACTCTCCTCTCGTTTTTCTTAGATCTTTGTATGGGTAGTGGTAATGATGCTCGGTCAGAGGATGGCTGTTTCTGCTTCCTCAGTGCATTTGATGATGTCGTATTCGTTCTTTGAATCTGCTCATCTTGCACATGGTGTCGCTCTGTCATCTCCCCGTCATCAAAAGACATCTCCAACTTATTGAAGTTTATTACAGCTCCACTGGTGGACATGTATTCTACTCCAAGAATACCAGCTTGAGCAATATCAGCTACCACTGCTGTAGTCAATGTTGTTCTCCCTTCTATCTTTATCTTTCCAGTAATCTCCCCATATGTGGAAAGGGGAGATCCATCGGCTTGTACAAATACTTGAGATGAAGGCTTCAAACTGGGTCGTCGACAAAGAGGTATCTTCTGGTAGCTTTCTATGCTGATCATGTTCTGCACAGACCCAGAATCAATGAGGAACTGCATGGAAATTCCACAAAACTTTGCATCTGCAAGGATCTTCCGCACCACTTGCTTACTACCAGGCTGCAGGTCAACATTGTTATTGAACAAAAACCTAATAGGGCTGGTATTGCTGAATCTTGAATCATTACGGTGTCGCCGAGGCTCAGGACAAGAGGATGCAATATGACCTAGACCATCACAGTTGTAACACCTGGTTTGTGAGCAAGAGGTCATTGAATGTCCTCGTTCCCCGCAGCTCTTGCAGGGATACCTCGTTCCCGCCTTTCCTTGAGGTCTGGAGCTCTCCTCCTTGTTTTGAAGATTCTTTATTTCCGTCAGCAACTCCCTCTTTAATCCATGTAAGAGCTTGGTAAATTCAGATGAGTCTTCTTCCACTGTCGAGATTCTTTGCTCCTTAGTCCTCCCTTTGAGCCCTTGTCTTATTCTCTCAGACTCTTGATAGCTCTCCTCGCTAAGAGCAATTTCAATGCTCTTGTCTAGTGTGGATGGCTCCTTACTGTGTATGGCCCGCCTTAGCTCCTCATCTGGGATCGCTTGTTCAAAGCTCCTGCGAGCGAGCCTATCTTGAACATCCCGGCTCATTTCCGGGTATGCCATGGAGGTCAGTCGTCGTATGTGTTGCCCTAGACTTTGCAAAGATTCTCGGGGCTTTCTTTTTCGACTGCACAGCTCAGCCTCATACACATCTGCCTTGCCGTCTGGGCCGAACCTCTTCTCCAAGGCTTCCAGTAGGTCTTCATAAGAGTAGCCCCTCTCTAATTCCAAGACAATCTGCTGGGCATCCCCTCTTAAGTTGGTGGCCAAATACTGAGCCTTCTCTTTGTCCGTCCAGTTATTATTTGCCACACACGTCTGAAAATATGCTTTGTAATCTGGCCAGGGATTCGACCCATCGAACGTTTGTGTAGGCTTTATCCTTGTATTTCTCCCTGTATTTGACGATTCGACTGCCTTTTCGCAAATTTCGATAGCTTTCTGAGCCATTTGCAGAACAGAATCTAGCGCCGAAGTATCAGAGGCATTTGAAGCTTCTTTATTCCGACTCTTCTTACCTGGAGACACATCAGGCTCACAGTCTTGTTCTTGCCCCGTGGCTCCCGTTGCTGTCTCTTCTGGAGTAACTCGGGCTGTCTCATTATGGGAACTGCGAGATTGTAGTTCCAGGTGTGGGTTCGCCGTCATTAAGTCGTGATCTACTCCCTCTTCTGGATGCCGCTTCTGTTTCAACTCAGGCCTGTAACTGGGCTGAGGACTTTCTTTCACGGCTGTTTTCTCTGCTCTTCTACTTGAAGAAGCAAGTTTCGGCACAGCACCACCTGACTCTTTGCTAACCTCAACGTATGACAACATGGGATCTGGATTTCTCTGCATTCCTTTTACAGAGCAATTACTCCCCCCTTCCAGATGCGACCTATCCTCCATCGGATGAGCTTGAAATCTCCTTCCAGGAGGAGGCAGTGGAGGCTCTCCATACGTGGTCCGTTTCTCCCAAGTGGAGCGCACTGGGTCATCTTGCTGACAGGCAGTTTCCTGTTCCTGCTTTACCCGTCTCTTGTGAACCGAATATGGAGGCAGCCAACCTCCCGCCTCCCCGGGGACTGGTTTAAACATCATTGGTGTGTCTTCTCTATGAAAGTTAGCTTCTAACTGTGCTTGCCCACACTCACGGGGACTTATTCCTCTGTAACTTGAATGTGACTTAAGTTGGTGCTCTGTGATGGGATCCTGGTAGATCTGCCACTCCTGTTCTATCGGGTTAAAACTGCTCCCCCGAATATGTTTCCTCTCTATCTCCTCTGGTGGGGATCTTGACTGCTCTATAGTCTGGGCAATGGATTGTAGGGCTCCATGAACTGAACTCAGCCCAAGGGAGAGATCCTTTTGAAACGTGTTAAGGCCTTGGCTCAAGTCTCCCCTTAACGTCTGTTGCTCCCTCCTCAGTTCATGTACACATTCTCCCTGCTCTTTAACACTGCTCGTCAGCAAAGTTGTTTGGAGCTGCTGTGACACCAGTTCCCTCTGCATGCAGTGTGAACAATTCTTCACTCATCCGGCTGACTGGAACCTCCTCAGTAGAAGTTCTTGGCTGATTAATACCATGGGCTTCTCTTGGTGGAGTCGCGTAGTTTGGTAGCACCTGCTGCTCTGTTCCTGACCAGTATCCGGTACTCTGCAGCGGAAATGCCCTCTTCGGCCTGTTTGGTGACGGCGTATCTTCCACAGGAATGGTGTCATCCAATACCATGTCATCACCTCCTGGTTGTCCTTTGAAGAACACCGTCTTTTCACCATCTAATTGGAGGTCCATCTCCATGTCTCTATCTGTTTGGAGCTTGCTCTCCATAGCTCGGCTTGTATCTGCGTCTGATGTTGCCATATTGTGCTCGGTACTATCGTTTTACTTATCCCACTTCTGACACCAATGTCGCGTTCCAGACTTTTGCTGATAGTCTGGAAGCGATGAGTAACTTTTTCACCTTACACTTCTCTGTGGGCCCAGTCCTGGTTTGGTGGACTGGATAAAACGACAGTCACAAATGGCTTCCAATTTAATACATATATTTTTACACAACTATTAATACATGAAAATAACACAGTTCAATGTTCATAAACTAAAATGTCACTATAATTCTCTTTGTAGGATGGATGTCGGCGGTTGCTGCGTTATTAGCTCTTTGCTTGGCTCCCTGGGCTCTATAGCCTGGCTCCTCTGGCTCTTGAACTTGGTTCCTCTGGCTCCTGAACGTGGCTCCTCTGGCTCCTTAGCCTGCTCTTTGGCTCTTTAGCCTGGCTCCTCTGGCTCTTAAGCTTGGCTCCTCTGGCTCCTGAACGTGGCTCCTCTAGCTCTTCGTTGAGCTCTTTAGCCTGGCTCCTCTGGCTCTTGAACTTGGCTCCTCTTGCTCCTAGTTCAGCCCTTTGGCTCTTTAGCCTGGCTCCTCTAGCTCCTGGACTTGGCTCCTCTGGCTCCTCGTCCAGCTCTTTGGCTCTTTAGCCTGGCTCCTTTAGCTCCTGGACTTGGCTCCTCGTCCAGCTCTTTGGCTCCTTAGCCTGGCCCCTCTGGCTCTTGAGCTTGGCTCCTCTGGCTCCTGAACGTGGCTCCTCGTTCAGCTCTTTGGCTCTTTAGCCTGGCTCCTCTAGCCCTTAAGCTAGGCTCCTTTAGCTCCTGGACTTGGCTCCTCTGGCTCCTCGTCCAGCTCTTTGGCTCTTTAGCCTGGCCCCTCTGGCTCTTGAGCTTGGCTCCTCTTCTTACTGGGAAGGCTCCTAGCTGCTCGTTGCTCTAGAAGTCTTCCTGGAACTATTTCTGTCAGCGGTGAAACCAACCGACAAAATAGTTCACTGTGACTCTTGACTTGACTCTTTAGCCTTGCTCTGCCTCTATGGCTCTTGAGTTTTCCGGGGAAGGCTCCTCACTGCCCGATGCGATGGAAGTCCTCCTGGAACTATTTCTGTCAGCGGTGAAACCAACTGACAAAATTAGCTCACACTGTCTCTTGACTTGACTCTTCTGGCTCTTTAGCCTTGCTCTGCCTCTATGGCTCTTGAGTTTTCTGGGAAGGCTCCTCACTGCTCGATGCGATGGAAGTCTTCCTGGAACTATTTCTGTCGGCGGTGAAACCAACTGACAAAATAGTCCACTGTGACTCTTCTGGCTCTTTAGCCTTGCTCTACCTCTATGGCTCTTGAGTTTTCCGGGGAAGGCTCCTCACTGCCCGATGCGATGGAAGTCCTCCTGGAACTATTTCTGTCAGCGGTGAAACCAACTGACAAAATTAGTTCGCCAGGTTGGGAAGTTTCCCAATTACACCTAACGATAATGCAAGGCGGCTTGCAGGTTGTTCCTTGCTGCTTCCCCTAGGACAGCACTGAACTGTAAAAATCCTTGACAACACTTTAAATTGAAGCATGAAGCGATTCTATCACGCTCCGTCAGGGACCCGCTAGGCAATCAATGACACAGTGTTGCTTTACATTAAATCTGACAAATATCTCACTTTAGCAAATCTGGGACACAAAATGGCGACGCACGATAAATCTCAATACCCGTTGAATTATAACTACAGTCAGTCAGAGGCATCCAAGTAGCATGCTGGCCATAAAGTTACAAATTCTGGTACACATGAAATTAAAAATTATAGTCAGTCAGAGGCACCTAGTAGCATGCTGGCCATAAGATCAAATTACAAAAAGGAAAAACCTCACCCGAATAAATGCTTCTTTCTCTAAGTTGCCAAAAATTCAGGTTTCCTCTGTTGTTTCTCCTTCAAGAACCTCCTGGTGCGTCTTCCCGCTTTATCATTCGTTATTAATCCCGAATCCTTGGCAGATGGCTACTCTAAAGTGTGATAAATGTGGATTTTCTTCCAACCTTTGATTCACGCTGCTTCCTTCAAGATGGCGACCTTCCTTTTCTCTGTCATGTGATGGCATGAGTCATAGGCACAGGTGAACACAATTTGAAATCAGGGGCACTGCATTGCAGCAATTGAGTGGATTCCCCTTCCTGTCTTGGAATACCCACTTGTGAGCAGGGGTTTCCCCATCCCTTGCATAAATGGACCATTAAACACTGAATTAAACAATAATCTGCACCAGTGGGAAAATTAAAAAGGATAAACACAAAAAATGAAATTTTCCCACAGTATATTGACTGAATTGATGATCTCATTGGTTGTATTTTTCAAATTAGCAATAAGCTTGTACTCGCGAATGCAAATAGCGGCTAGCGGCTACCGGATTAACCTATTAATTTTCATAGATTAAACCATCGTTTTGAAGTTCTAATTACGAACAACCCGTCAGTCGACGAACAGTGATCAGTGATCACATGACTTTTTATCCCAATGAAAGGATCGGTCAAATTGGCAAACAGAACATAGGTCATTGTTTATTCTGGTAAATAGGCAGATAAACCCGCTATTTAGGCCAGCGACAGGGTCTGAAGCTAACGGGAAGCACGACAGGTACTACTCATATTTAAATGAGTTTGCCATCAAATTGCAATCAACCCGCTAGCCGCTATTTGCACGAATTCAAATAGCGGCTAGCAGCTACCTGATTAACTTATTAATTTTCATAGATTAAACCGTCATTTTGAAGTTGTAATTACGAATAACCCGCCGGTCGACAACTTTTATGCCAATGAAAGGATCGATTATAATAACACTGTTCGGTCGAATTGGCAAACAGAACATCATGTCATTGTTACATGCTGCTAAATAGGCAGATTAACCCGTTATTTAGGCCAGCGACCGGGTGTGAAGCAAGAGATGGAAGCTAACGGGAAGCACGACAGGTACTATTTAAATGAGTTTTCCCTCAAATTGCAATCAACCCGATAGCCGGTAGCCGTTACTTGCATTCGCGAATACAAGCTAAGTTTATCCTATTTTTGCTTGGACAGATTGCTACCTACAGCCTACATTTTTTGGTATACCAGAAGGTGGCAGGGTTTATTGAAAGGTTTATGAGGGTGTGCAACCTCACTTTTTAACTTTGCCAATAGCATTAATACATGCTACATAGAATTCAAAATATCCTAAAAGGAACACGTAGTGTATTGCAAACAATTTTTGACGGCTTTATTTTTGACAGGGGGTATTGTTAGACCACACATTCCTCGTTTTACGTTAGAACGATATTTTATGCACAAAAAATGATAAAAATGTGATTTTGATTATACCGACAGAAAAGTTTTTCAAAAATATTTTCCTCATTTAAAAAGAAGATCCCAAGATGGGATTGAATCGATCGACCTACATTGTAATTTATCCGTTTTTACTTTTTAGAGCCTCTTAGATGTTTTGAGTGCAATAGTATTGATGATCCAACAAAATGTGGTCAAATAACCAATACGGATGACAAAGTATTGCAGTTACCATGTAATACTATGTGCTTCACAGCAAAAGACTGGGATGGAAGTAAGTAGTTTTACTTTATATTGAGAACATAATCCACGATGGTACCATCGGCGGTTTGATGAATTAGTTTACAACGTAAATTACGTATATTTTGACGGACCAAACCATTTACAAATCAATCGCAATCTGACGTTTGTATATATACATGTATATAGATTACTGGCGTGGTTGTGCTGATACCGAGCCCAGCCATCCTAATAGATGTTTCGGCAGCGACAGGGTGCATAACTACAGACCTCCATCGACACCAGGGAAAACTACGTGGCGTCATCCATGGACATCACCATCAAAACCAGATGTACAGCTCACTTTCTGCAAGGGTGACCTTTGTAATGGAAATGGTAAGCATTGCATAGAGAGGCAAATTTTGGAGGAAGACTGTTCAAAAACCATGCAAATGTTTTCCTTGCAATCCTCTTTTTATTTGCTGAAGGAAATCTGATTCAGTATAGAACACCCTATGCAGACAGAGCCTGTGGGAAATATTGGGTGCGGAGCAAATGAGCGGAGGGTGCGGAGCTAACGGTCATTTTTGAATTTAAATTTGGGATATTTCTGAAACTAAGCCGTTTTGGGACTTCAATATACCAAGATATGTGTATTTGACACCAAATATCAATACAATTGTGAAAATAGTAGCGCAATTCATTCTATAGCGACGCAGTGTGCCTTAAACCTTTCCCAGACCTATATATTTTGAAATTATCCTTTTAATATTGAGTCCCCAGCATTCATAAAAAATGGTGTTCAAGGTACACTATCTATACAAATTATTTTTGCATCTTGGAAGCCAGGCAGTATCTGTGTGATTTTATAAAAAATCGGAAATGTTTTTCAGATATGAGCCCCTCTAAATATTGGGTGCGGAGGAGCTCCATAAACGTACCTCCGCACCCAATATTTAGAGGGGGCTCATATCTGAAGAACATTTCCGAATTTTTATAAAATCACACAGATACTGCCTGGCTTCCAAGATGCAAAAATAATTTGCATGGGTAGTGTATCTTGAACACCATTTTTTATGAATGCTGGGGACGCAGAATTAAAAGGATAGTCTCAAAATATATGGGTCTGGGAAATGTTAAAGGCATACTGCGTCGCTATAAAATGAATTGCGCTACTGTTTTCACAATTTTATTGATATTTGGTGTCAAATACACATATCTTGGTATATTTGAAGTCCCAAAACGGCTTAGTTTCAGAAATATCCCAATTTTAAATTCAAAAATGACCGTTAGCTCCGCACCCTCCGCTCATTTGCGCCGCACCCAATATTTCCCACAGGCTCTGTCTGCATAGGGTGTAGAAGTTACTGATATATTCAAAATGGAGAATTGTAAATTCACATTTTTGCAGATGATATTAATTTTAAATAATCTTGAAATAGAGTCAGAATAGAATAATGAAGTTAAGAGTTTTGTAAACTTATATAAAAAAAATCGGAATTTATTCTCAACCTAGCTTTCATTCTGTCTTTAACCCTTTCTTGGCTATTTTACTGCATAGGTTTAAAATGGTATTGAATTGTATTTAGGGGGTTCGGCAAAGATCATCAAAGGATATGGCTCGCTCAGTTCACAAAATTTTGGCGGTGACCTGAAGTACGACAACAACATCCTGACCGAATACGTGATCCATTCAAATCACCGTATGAAAGTCACCTTCTCACATTTTAGTATAGAAGGTCACCCTGCCTGTGGATATGATAGCCTTACTGTAAGTAGTATGTACGAAAGAAGGGAATATTTATTTGTATGTATATTATATTATTTGGTACACCAAATAAGCTAAGATATAATGACAATTCATGTTGCTGACATACTGTATACAAATAAACATGTAAAGTCAGTAGAATTTTTCAAACAAAAAATGCAAAATAATGCAGCCATTGTTCTGGAATATTTGTAATTCGCAATGCAATGATTAATACGAAAGTGTGTATGAATAGATCAAAAGGTGAGAAGATGTACAAAAATGTAAAGATAAAAAAATTAACTTCAAAGGATGTAAGGAAAATGATTCTAAAGAGAGACAAAGTTGGGCCTATTTGCATTGAATGGTGGAAACATATTTATCCACATTTAAATTGGAAAAGAAATTGGCAGTTAATTCAAACTCTCAAAGACCCACGAATTAAGAGCATTTCGCCATTTAATATAAGATTTTACATAATATTTACCCAACTAATACTCACCTTTTCAAATGGAAAATTGAAGGAGTTGCCTCAAAGAATTGTACATATTGTAATGAGGAAGATTCATATGCACACTTTTTCATTTCTTGCAAAAGAGTAAAGTTTTTATGGAAAGAAGTAGAGTGCAAATTAAATGCTAGATTTGGGCACAGAATTACTCAGATGCGAGTAGGTAGTTACCAATTTCACCACCAGGTGGCTGATTCGGGGGAATTAACATGGCAGGGTATTACAAGATTCCCTTAAACTTGAATATGCATCAGTTTTAATGGTTCACTTTTCATATTACCTTCATGTATCTAATAGTAATACAAATTAAAATATGTCCAGTAAAAGAAAATATTATCTGCTCAACACAAGAAAAGATATTTCACTTTTTGTGGTTTTACAACATGGGCTCTATGGGGAATCTCCCCGACCTAGAAGTCACACTTTCAAAGAAAATTTAATTTTCAAAGTTGATAAACTCTTTTCAAAACCACATTTCTTAATGTAACTTTACATGTAGATTCCAAATATGACATCAGTTTGACTGAATTGTGAATTTTTAATGACGTAAATCAAGATCATTTCTACTCGCATCTGGGATATTAGACTAGGACAAAAACACATTTTATTCAAGTATGAATGTAAAGCAAAAAAGGAAGAAGACCATATCAATATATCAATTATATTATTGTTATTGCAAAGAATTGTATAAGTAAGTACAAATATGGGGATCATCATAATTTGTTGTGCTTGTTTGATCAAGAATGTAATATTAGAAATGTATTAAATAATGTAAAATGTTTTTAAGAAAAGTGTAAATACTCTAGGGGCGAGGAGGGAAATTCTCAATAAATGGAGTATAGTTGGTTTGGCAGCATTTTCAGTTAGGGGAGAGTCTTGGACGAAATTTCCACCTAGGTGATAGCTTCACAGAGTGGTAGGAAGTTCTTTTTTTTGAAGAGTTAGCCCCCTACCCCACAAAAACACCCCACCTCGGGAAAAAAATTGTTCACACTAAATAACCTTAGATATTTTGATGTTTGTAAGTGACCTACATAGATATTATATATATGAATCATTTTCAGTATAATTGATGCTGATTACTCCTAAAAAAATTGAATATTAGTACAAAGTGTGTATCCCAGGGGGCAAATTCGTGACCCATTTCCTTACTATTTTGATTTTAACTTTTCAACTAGACACTGTAAGAGGTTGAAAAAGATCATGTGAAGTGCCCAATAGCAGGGTTAGTAACCCTGAAAGATGCAAAGCCATGGAAGAAGTAGGAGCTGAGAAAAAAATTGTTGATTTTTCGAAAAATTTGACATTTTTGACAGCTGGATTTTGTGTATGACTATAGCTGACCCCTATAGTTCCTGGATCCATCCCTCTATGATGATATATATGGTTTAATAGTGTGGAACTAAGATGTAAAACATAATTAAGATGGGTTTTAAGGAAGTTTAAGGTTTTAAACAAGTCCAAAATTTGAAAAATTGTAAATATAAGGTTTCAAATTTACGAATTCCAGGTAGAGCCATGGCAGACCCCTATAGTTTCTAGATCCATCCCTCTATGGTGATACTTATGGTATTGCTGTATGGAACTAATATGTAAAACACAATTTAGATGGGTTTTAAGGTAGTTTAAGGTTTTAAACAAGTTCAAAATTTGAAAAATTGTAAATATAAGGTTTCAAATTTACGAATTTCAGGTATAGCCATGGCTGACCCTTATGGTTTTTACATCCATACCTCTATGATTAAATATACAGTTTTAGAGTGTGGGACTAAGATTTAACATACCCAAAATGAATTTTAAGAAAGTTTAAGGTTTTAAACAAGTCAAAAATTTGAAGAATTATAAATGTAAGTTTTCAAATTTATGAATTTCAAGTATAGCCAAAGATGACCCTTATGTTTTTTTTTACATCTATACCTCAGTGATGAGATATATATTTTTAGAGTATTTAACTAAAATGTAAAAGATGCATAAGATGAGTTTGAAGGAAGTTCAAGGTTTTAAACAAGTGCAAAATTTGAAAAATTGATCTCGAAAATTGGTCTCAAATTCACGTTATTCAGGTATAGCCTTGAATGAGCCCTGATAATCGAAGGTTATGAGCATAATAGTAACAACTGTGATATCATAGCTTAGAGACCAGGTGTAGAATATATACCTGTTGCAGCAGTTAGTCTGCTGCATATAGATGGAGTGAAGTCATGAACTACAGTAAAATCTTTCTAATCTGAATGCTACTAGATATAGTATTTGGACCAGCTAAAAGCGTTCAAATTAGAAGTGTTTGAATTTTGAGGTTTTTACATCTGCAATATTCTGGATTTTGAAGAAATATGAATGCATTCTCAATGAAAAATATTAATAAATATTAATAATATTTATACTGACCACCCAAAAAGCTTAATAGCATTCCAAAATCCAATTCAAAAGTTTTGATATCATAACAATTCAGTGTTAAACTGACAATATTTGAGCAATTTTGTAAGAAATATGTGATACTTGGTAAAAAAAAAAGTTCAAGTTAAACAGGTTGATTTTTCAAATATGAGTGTTCACTGTTCGAATTAAGAGGTGTTCAGATTTCAATTTTTAAACATAGGAGTCAATGGGAGAAAGGAAAAATTGAACTGGGGAAAAGTGTTCAGATTGGTTAGTTTTCAGATAAGTCAGGTGTTGGGACGTTTGGTAGGTGTTCACAATAGTCAGATGTTGTGATATACAGGTTTCACTGCTGATATATCATTTATACAAGATGATGAACTAGAACTACTGTACTAGGTGCCTTTGATAATTTTTACCACAATGTTATACTATGTCAGGAAAAGAAAGCACCCATGACACTCTGATTTTACAACTTGAAAATCAACAACACTTTAACATTTGATAAAGGTGTCTACTAAATGAGTAATCAACATAAATTCAAATACAAGCACTTGGCATGCTATTCCCTATGATCATTAGTTTCATTAGTTTCTCTAGAATCTAAAATTGACCTTGGGTTTATGAGAGTAGTAAATTGGAATGCAGTTATATGGAATATTGAATTGGCTGGAATTGGACACCCCTTGCCTAGAAATGTGTGAGTAAACTATGATCTTATATGGATACAAACAGTTCGTTTGACAATGATCATCTATCTTATCCTGTAAAATCAGAACTTAAAAAGGGGTTTGAAATGGAGATCGATGAAACCATACCACAAATTGATAAAACTTTCGTGATTGATGCAATGGCTATGACAAAGGGAAAATGAAGATTAACTTATATGTTGAAATTTGGAGAGTTTTGGAAAGCTATATTTGACTACTCCATCAAATCTAGTAAAGGAGCCCAAAGAATAGATTTCATATTAGACTCCTAGCTAGTTGTCTCCATCAGTAAAGGATTCTGAAAGAATGCGAAGAATGGATGCTTCCCCTATTGAACTTTAATCCATAGAAGAAATTACACCATTACCTAAAAATATGAATACCTTTGTCAAAGTAATATAAGACAAATTTTCAAAGATTACAAATAAATTCAATAAAGCAGCATTCTAAAAGTGTGCCAAATGTCAAGATTGTTTTAAGTGGAACTATTGGAGAGAACTCAAATATCTGTGAAAATGATAACTGAAATCTCCTGTTAAATTCCACTCCTGAAGAGGCTGATTTTAAAATTATTCACTCTGTTTTACATTCAGCAGAACATGTGGGACTGCAGTAATTTGCATCAAATGACACTGATATTATAATTTTATGACTATCATTTCAATAAATGAAAAAAAGTCTTCAACTATGCTAGAAAATGTCATCTGCAAAGTCAGTATGTAAAAATTTTAACAATGTCTGTTTGTTTCAAACATATTGATCATATCACCATATATACTTTTTTGATCTACACGAAGATTTTAATGTGACAAGACCCTTTTACCCTAGAGTTCCTTATATCATTGCACTAATGGAAGTTTCTAGGCCTGGGGGGGGGGGTATGATCCCTATAATCCCAAATAATTACTGTTGCCTGATGACAAATTGTTTTATTGGGAGTGTAGTGATTATAATTTGATAATTCATAACAACATTTTGTATTAGGAGATGATCATTGCTTAATTACAGAAGGGGCATAACAAAATATAGAGAAAACATGTTTCTTTTAATTAACCATGTCTTTATGTATTTTCATAATGCAGAACATTACATCGAACATGTTGATGTGAAAAAGTAAAAATGCTATATCACATAATAAATATCATCAAATAATAATTAATTAGTTATAATCCATTTAATCAATCCATTACTACACTGTATACGATATCCCTAGGAGCAGTTACACTTACTGGGGGATTTATTAACCTCTCACCACCTTAGGAACTCAAGGGTTAAGTCCTCAACTCTAATGATTTTTCTTTTAACAATACATGTAACATGGATCAAACCTGACCACAATATTTTCAACATCTAATTTCTAAGCTAAGTCATACATTCAAAAAGAGGGACATCCAGGCCTATACCTGAAATCGTAAAGGAGGACTGAAAGTATCGCAACAGATTTCAGCAATCATATGTTGGATTTTGGCTATTTTCTGAGGATTTGGGGAGGTGCATATGTTAGGCCAATGCATTTCCTCCAGGAAAAGCACCCATAGAGATGATAAAATAATTTCTATTTTGAGACAGGGAAGGTGCAAACAACCCACCCACATGCATAAATATATACGTGTATATGTATAAATATATGTGTTTTTACATACAGTTAACCCCTTTAAATGAAAAATACATTCCATCAGGGATTTTAAAGATATCAAATATGGGTGACCAAAATTAAGCTGAAAGCAATGGATCACATGAGTTTTCCCTATGGGAAAATAACAGGAAAATATTGTTTTCCGCTTTATCTAAAAGAAGATTATCCTTTTAATGCTTAACTATGTCTCAAAACGCAACATATTGATGCAACAAAAATTGAAAAACCAGGGGTGAACGGGGTTGAAAATCAGGACGACATTTCCCAAAAAACATGTGGGTGGATTGTTTTCACTTTCGCTGTCTCAAATTCCAAACTATTTTATCATCTCTAAGAGTTCTTTTCCCGTAGGTAATGCAATGGCCTATCATATGCACCTGCTTAAATCCTCAGAAAACAGACAAAATCCAACATATTACTGTCTAAAATCTGTTGCGATACTTTCCGTGCTCCTTTAAGACCTGATATTTCTCAATTTTTCAAATATTGCACTTGTTAAAATTCTTAAACTTCTTTAAAATTCATCTTCGGTATGTTTTACATCTTAGTTTCACACTCTAAAAGTATATGTTTCATCATAGAAGTATTGATGAAAAAGCCATAAGGGTCATCCATGGCTATACCTAAAATTCGTAAATTTGAAACCTTATATTTACAATTTTTCAAATTTTGGACTTGTTTTAAATCATTAACTTCCTTAAAACCCATCTAAATTATGTTTTACATCTTTAGTGCCATACTACAAAACCATAAATATCATCAAAGAGGGATGGATCTAGAAACTATAGGGGTCAGCCATGGCTATAGCTGGAATTCGTAAATTTGAAACCTTATATTTACAATTTTTCAAATTTTGGACTTGTTTTAAATCATTAACTTCCTTAAAACCCATCTAAATTATGTTTTACATCTTTAGTGCCATACTACAAAACCATAAATATCATCAAAGAGGGATGGATCTAGAAACTATACGGGTCAGCCATAGCTATAGCTGGAATTCGTAAATTTGAAACCTTACATTTACAATTTTTCGAATTATGGACTTGTTTAAAACCTATAACTTCCTTAAAACCCATCTAATTTATGTTTTACATCTTAGTTTCACACTATGAAATCATAAATATCATCAAAGATGGATGGATCTAGAAACTATAGGGGTCAGCCATGGCTATACCTGGAATTCGTAAATTTAAAACCTTATATTTACAATTTTTCAAATTTTGGACTTGTTTAAAACCTTTTACTTCCTTAAAACCCATCTAAATTATGTTTTACATCTTAGTTCCACACTATAAAACCATAAATATCATCATAGAGGGATGGATCTAGAAACTATAGGGGTCAGCTATAGTCATACACAAAATCCAGTTGTCAAAAATGTCAAATTTTTCGAAAAATCAACAATTTTTTTCTCAGCTCCTACTTCTTCCATGGCTTTGCATCTTTCAGGGTTACTAACCCTGCTATTGGGCACTTCACATGAATTTTTTCAACCTCTTACAGTGTTTAATTAAAAAGTTAGAATCAAAACAGTAAGAAAATGAGTCACGAATTTGCCCCCTGGGGTACACACTTTGTACTGATATTCAAATTCTTTAGGAGTAATCAGCATCAATAATACTGCAAATTATTCATATATATAATATCTATGTATGTCACTTACAAACATCAAAATATCTAAGGTTATTTAGTGTGAACAATTTTCTCCCAGGGTGGGGTGTTTTTGGGGGGTGGGGGGCTAACTCCTCAAAAAAAGAACTTCCTACCACTCTGCGAAGCTATCACCTAGGTGGAAATTTCATCCAAGACTCTCCCCTAACTGAAAATACTGCCAAACCAACTATACACCATTTATTGAGAATTTTCCTCCTCGCCCCTTGAGTAAAAGTGTTCTCCGACATTAACGAAAAGTCAATCCCATTTACACTTGTTGGTAATTTTTCATTTTAACGATACAAGATAATTTTTATTGTATTATTTAACTGCATAGTTCAATGCAGGTCATGTGACAAATGATATTTCCTTTGTTTTTTGCGTTCGGTTCTGAAAAGTGGATATTTTCTAATAAGTTGTAAATCAGAACTTATAAACTACTTAATCCACCAACTATATTCATGGCTGATTATATATATAACTTATCATCGGTAGGCTCTGATATAAGCCTCCTCCTCTGTGTTAAGATTCTTAATTGTTTCAGCTTCATGATGGTGGAACGAGCAGCGCCAGTCTCATTGGTAAATACTGTGACAGCAAAAAACCACCAAGCTATATCGTGACATCAGGAACAACACTTTATGTGCGTTTCAAAACGGATCATTCGGTTCAAAAATCTGGATTCAAAATGAGTTGGACCTCCAATTAAACGATCAACCCATTTTCTTCACCAAGAGGTCGAACTGACATAATTTGTTTTCAATTACATGTTTAAGACCCCTATAATCATTGTCTGTTTAGTATGATATCTATCCAGTCATTTCAAAACTTGTGAATGCCTTGTTTCATTCTGGAATTATTTTCTTTTTACAATAGACTTATCAAAACGAAATTTGAAAAAATGTATTGTTTGTTAAACAAAGTCATACAGTAATCTATAGGGGTCGTAACATAACTAATATAAATCACCCATGGAAATAATTATTTTGGAAATAACTTTAAAATAAATTGATTTAAAACAAGAAAATCACGGTGTTTTTGTTCGATCATGATGACTATCGCAAGACAGGAGAACAGGAGAAAGTCTACGTCAATATTTTGAAAAAACTTTCTTTGTTAGCATCTGCATTTTCTATTGGTAGAGCCCATGGTATAAGTATATGAGCTCTTCACATCACATCCATAGCAGCTAATCATGCTATGAGAGACCAAACTATATCTAGTTACAAGACAGACGATATGCTCTTTCCATATTTGGTCCATCCATGGTAGAATACTTTTGTATTAGTATGAAGTTCTTCGTTGAGATCTAGTCTAGCTACAAGCCTCTGTGACCCCCATCCCTCGACTCGACTAGACACCTTCTCATAGTAGTGGGGGGGGGGTACAAGGGTGTGTAGCTAGACAAATCGAGACCATTTATTGACACCTTCAGCATTCTTTATAGTAATATCGATGGTGTAACAACTGAACAAGTTTAGACTTCCCACCTTACTTGAGGATTTTATCAGCCCCTTTCTTATTCGGTAAAACCTGTGTACAGTGGACACCTAGGAAGCCACAAGAATGGTTCCGAAGGGGTGTTCATAAGACACGTGTATTTACTAGAGAGAGGTGTTCACTCAGACAGGTTTAAATGTAGTATTTAGTTTTCTTTCACTTCTTGTCGTCAGTGCAGAAATTACTCCTCTTTCTTCATTCAAATTAGTTACTCTGATTCTCCAGATACAGGGTGAGCCAAAAAAGGGAATATGTTTAAAGGTCTAATCCACATGGTCAAAATATTTTATTGTCAAATGTAATCATCCTTGGGTTGGAGGGCACATGTGATTATTGAGTAACATGATCATGAAAAATATGTTTCTGGTAGTACTGATCCTAACTAAGATGAGTATAACAGCTGATGTGCCTGGAAAAGACTTATTAAATATGTAGGTAAATGATTTGCCTCGCCCAAGTCTGTATGATCTTTTATATTTATCTTGATTTTCAATCATATACAGCCTGTGAAAAAATAAATAAATAAAGGACCGCGTTGCTAGTGAATTGCGTTCATTTGGGGTTTCGATAGGAACATGGCAACACGGGGGCAACACTCACCATCGAGGTTACTGCCCGGGGGTTACTGCATTCAACTACATTAGCAAACTGAATGGAAATATGAGAATGTAACTTATATTATCACCACAACGAGCCAAATACAAGAAATAGTTGGTGAAATGTGCCATGCCTTGTTTCAAAACTATATCGACATCCCTTTTACATCACAGAACCGTATGACCTAATGGTGCGAAGGGAAGAAATATTACAAATTGTTAAATCAAATATTAATGCAACTTTTAATCACAATTATTACAATACAATCCATCGATCTCAGAATGATAATTAGAGAAAGGTAGCTATAAGTCAGAGCTTATGTAATTAAAAGCATACTTGCAAATGCTAAATTCAACATGAAATTGATCCGTGGTATGACTATGTTAATTTCGTTGTCAAGTCCGATATTTCAAATGTATGCATAATAAATATGATGTATTTGAGACAGATGGAGATATGCATTTAACGAAACACGACGCGTGAAGTTAAAGTCTCGATGCAAAAGTCACAATTACGAAATTATTATATTTAGCTATATTTTATTTTATCAAATGTAAATAAAGTTGTGTGTTCAAAAGAATACTCATTTTTAGTTGATCGATCTATATTGCAATTTCACGATGATGAGGGTCAGATATGTCATATTCGTTTTGACAATCATTTGTCACATGATATCAGGAGGACCTATTCTTCCCGAAGAGAACGATGATGACGTCAGCGGTGTTGCAGACGACATTCCACAGTCGAATGACATATCAGTCAATGCAGATTCAAACGATGTAGAAACACTCGGCGGACAAGCTGACATCGAGAGTTATCGGTTTATTGCGTCTGCTGATATATTGAAACATTTTGAATCACGTCTATCGAAATATCTGCAAGTTGGTGCTGATGATGATACCAAAGATGCAGAGCTCATAGGGGAAGGAGAAATAAGTGAAATATCACATCTCGCTGTTCCACGCCTTCAAGATGAGACAACGGATCGCCGTAGAGCATCAGAGAAACAAAATAATGACGCCCAGACATCGAAACGGTCAAAATCCTTCTCCGAATACCAAGCAGAATTGTTTGGACACATGAACATGGCCGAAAACTAAGTTACTGGATTAACCAATAAAATACTTTTAACGACCAAGCTTATAGGTCTTTTTTGTTTTAAAATGCAATCATCTAAACTGAAATCAAAACTTTCCATGGAAATATATCAAACAGGCATCACTATATTGGCCAGTTATCACTTTATTGGCCAGTTAGATCCTAGAGTTCGCAAGTGTACTGTTCAAAATCAGACTTTAGATTTTGGACGATCATGCCGACATCGGTAAGTGGATACACATAGAATGGATCAGTTGCTATAGTTTCCCATTCCTTTTCTCCATTGTGACCGTATTTGTTCTTCAGTCCAATCACGTAGATATCTGTTGGAGAATCACTGGACTGACTACCTGAGAGGCTTGATTTTAATCTTTGTACCTGAAATTTTAACCAGTATTGAGTTTAACAAAATGAAAGGACAAAATCAATTTGTTTTCGTTGAATTTGAAAATAATCGTGTGAAATATGACAGCTTACCTCTAAAACTGTTTTGCTGTACTTATATTTTGGATAGGATATTCCATCGGTGAACAACAACAAAACATTCTTCACATTTGGCCTATCTCCATTTTCAACTGTAAAATAATTGAGTCGTGCTGTTCTCAGTGCCTTCCATGTTTTTGTTCTACATTTCTTTGCTTGCGTATTGACATTTCCTAATGCACTTAGATAGAGTATCTTCATCTTGAAATCATTAAGGTACATTTTATGGTAGATGTATTTATCATATGTAAACAGAGCAATCTGGTTGGTGGGAACGCCAAGATTGTTCACTAATTGTTGAACTAATGTTAGTGCCGTTTCTCTCTCGCCATCAGCCAAACTACACGATACGTCGAACGCTATGACAAGATCAACGCATGCTGCAATGAATAAGGCGTATGAAGTAATAAAGTCTTTAGGACAGCTCGCCCAAGCAAAGTATTTTTTGTTTTTAATTATGTCATATGTTGGTTGGGTACTTGCGATCTTTGATAAAAAAAATTAATCAAAATATATCTTCTATTAATTTGTTTTCATATTTATATTTATATTAATACCATTTTGTACAAATCATAAATGTATACTCACGTGATACTGTACTTTGTGCTTTCCCGTTATCGAATAATGCCAAAAGAATAACAGCAACGTTTATTGAAACAAAATGATTCATATCTCAAACTGAAAGAGAAAACCTCAAATGAATTTTTAAAATGGAAATTGACATTTTGACTTGGTAATCAGTATTGACAAGCGGAGGGTAATGTCCTCGAGAGATCGATAGTTTTAATAACTCCCACTAAATTCTATTCTTTGGACCTGAACAATAACTTTTTGTAGCAAACAGGAGTTTTGGTTATTATGTAAACAGTAGTGGTCCCAGGGCCTGTGTGATTGAGATACTATAGTGGTTCTGAAGAAATATTGGTCACACGGAAAATATCATGAAATGTAATTATAACTTGCATCTTACACAAAAAGTGCATTTATTCTACATATATGAATCAAATTGAAGGCGTTAGTTGTAATACAAAGATTCACATACCCGAAATGTACATACCCTATATAGTATAGATAAGCGAACTCGGTATCCAGCTTCCCTGATAAAGGTATCCTGTCAAAGAACTTTTAAATTAACAGAAAAGTACAAATGTTAACACTATTATTGCATGCGTATAACTATTTTTGAAATACTAATTTAGAGAATCGATATTGTTATAGAATCTCTACCAGGCCTAGACTTTCAACAACGCAAACATCAGTTCTGAGCTCGCGAACTACGATCATTGCGCTCGAACCACGATTCACACGTGGTGAACGTGAAATCTTTAGTCGTCACCACCATTTCCTCGCTCCCGAACACATTTCTCCACTCGCGAACAGAGATCCGTTGTTGGAAGTCTAGGAGGCCTGACTACCATAGACAAAAATAGTGTGGTCGCCATTAATTTAGAGAGTATAAGAAAACGAGACTAGAAACTAATAATGTAAGTTTTCTACAAAAGATCATTATGTTTTGAGCACTGGTAGTATTTTAGTTGCAAATCATACTTTTCCATGATATCTGTAACTATCGTCATGTGATTTTTTATTTTTATCTGTTAAATTCAATTCAATTTATATTTTGTTTTGAATTCTATGTTGGCCCAATACCTGCCCCATATAAATAATGCGTTGAAGGTGGGTTGACAAATTGACCATTTTCCATTAGAGAACAGATTAAATAAAAGAGGGGGGGGGGGGGGTTAAGCGGGGTTCTCAACGTATTTGTTGAGATTCCCCACAAACATCACAAAAAATCTTGACCATAAAATGAATATTATGACACCTGATTGTTTTGAATTCACGCAAAAAATAACAATACAAATATGACTATGAAAATATCAACGTATCGATTGCTGATTTAAAGCGTTGTTTGGGTTCAATCACGTATATGCAACAATTTAATTAAATTTGAGATTTAATTTCATGACATAAACCATGTTACTAAAAGTACATTACATGAAATTAAAAGCATTTAAGGTAATCTGTTTTTATGAAAATGAAATCCAAGTATTGTACGTGGGATTTAACTTCTAATGAGATCCATTGTAAATCAAAGTCCAAGTAGCAAGATGGCGTTTTTAAATTATCATCTGCGTTCCACTTAGAGGAAAGTAAACGGAGAAGATAACCTCCCTGTATGAGGCCTACTAAGGAGTAGTCGAGTGAAGTGTATGTAGATTACAACTATAATAAATGCTTCTATCAGTTTATAATAATGTTTATCTCTACTGTTTATTATATGAATACTCATGTTAACAATACAAGTCTCATGTCTCGTATGATTAATTACAGCCGCTGTTTACTAGTTTAGATAGTGTCAAACGCCTTGATGGAGTCACTAAGAGACGCCAGAGCTTGCCTGTATCTCAGTGTCGTCTCATCTCATCTTGAACAGTAAGAATAAAGTTGTGAAAAATACCTATGTGATTGCTGATTTGATATATTAGGCCTGGAGCAAATGGTTATACATTACTGGCAGAGTTGTATTACTTTTTGACAAACACTCCCTCTTTTAATAAAAAAGAATAAAACGATTAACACAACACCTTGTATCAATAATTTAGAAATGTAATTGAACCCGAGGAAAAGAATAAACTTAACAATACCCATGTGTAATAATAAAATATGTTTAACTACTTTGTTATAAATACAATTGTTTACAATTCATTAAAATAATCAATCTGGATGAATAACTTGTCCTTCATTTATCTGAAGTCAATGTTGACATTCAAAGTAAGTTATTAGAATTATAGGAATGTCTTTGCGTTATGTAAGTCAAGTACATGTACTTTATGTATTGGTAAATATCTAACTACAGTAAAACCTGTCTGAGTGGAATATCGTTGGTATCGCTAAAAAGTGTTCCACTAAGAGGGGTTCGTTTGGCGTCAATTGGTTACGGGACTCTGTCGGAGTTGTTCAAGGCTTCACTCATCCTTCTTCAAAGGACTTCATTCATGCTTAAATTCATATATACTTGTAAAATACTCTTGCAGCAAGGATGGACTTCACTTTACAGGTTTTAATGTATGGTATTAGTATCATACTTAGGTCCGTGCACTTGAATTTAGAAAAAAAGATCCTTTCTTGTTGAAAATCAGAAAGATGTGATGAGTATCAAAATGGCATATGCCAGCTTGTAAGTAAATAGTTTCTAATTTCATGGAAAATACAAATAAAAAGCGACAACGTTTAAGAAAAACTTATCCAATTCATTCTCTTTGTTTTCGTGTACTGTACCAGTATGAAATCATTCTTGGCCACAATAAGTCCACTGACAGTCGATACATCTAAACACTTATGTGTTGTCTGAATGAAATAATATAATTATCATAGTTTCATTCGTTTGTTAGATATTTCGGGGACAAAGACCAAACCAACAATCACAAAAATGATTAAAACACTCCCGACACAAAGCAACAAATGGCACAACAATTACAATTGATACATATTTCATTTAAAATCGCAATTGTATTTATATAATTTATTTACCTACATATCAACAATATCACACAATCTGATTGATTTATTATAAACATATGGATTCACAATGAGTAAAACAAACTAACAGACGAGATAAAAGTAATCTAAATGACATTTGTCCACAGGATACAGTTAGGCCTACTCCTGCTCTCATCAATAAACGTTTATTTTCGTTAGATGAAAGTTATCTTTAGTGCGGTAGTATAGATCATATAGATAGAAGTCGGTAGCTACGAGACTATAAAATGACATTTGCTATTATGCACTTTAAAACGCTTTGAATATTGTTTGAATTATCTCAAATCAATTCGATAAATTCCTAATTAATTATTTTGGAGTGGTTACACATGGGGTTAGAATGATGAGCTGATTTAAATCAAATAAACTGATGCTTGGTCCGGAAACATTTTAGAACATCATGTTTGATAAGCTCATGAGGATATTTAAAAAACTCAGTATCACTGTATCAAGTTTTGTAAAATCTTAATATTCATATTTTCATAGAGTCTTGATTCTTGAGTAAATATTTGAAGTAATGAATGTTTTCATCACCCACTTAGAGCTGTACCTGGACCCGTCCATATATCCAACAAGTCACTAAAATCCGGGGTTTCGGGTGACGGTAGCATACCATTTGTCTTTTTGTATCCGATGTCTTTATGCTTGGTTGCTGCGTTATCTTGTTGTTGAAGTTTAACTTTCTCCGCTATTGGTTTCTGATGATGTACATTCGAGTTAGCATCTTTCTGATAAATATACTCAACGTGCTCTTTCCAAAACGATTCTGGTAACTTCCTCTGTTTCATGGGTATATTGTCTATAGCAACAACTGCAGGTCGTTTCATTTTATTTTTATTTGATAAATGAGTAAATGGTCTAGTTCCGATTTCAAAAAGTTCTGTTAATGGCCCAAGGTCTGAACTATTGTTTCCTTTACTCTTTCTATCATTATGTTTTATATCAAAGTCAGAATCATACGAAGATGTTGATGACTTTGATGTTTTCGGAGATTTTCGTTCCTTTCCGTTGTCCCCTTGAGCGATGCGAAGTAAATCAGCGTAATACATTTCACGTCCAGATTTTCCGGAAGTCCATTTATCTTGATAAACGTCACAGGAATCTGGGTCATTTTTCTTTCGACCAAAATATTTTTTGATATCTCCGTTTATATTTTCTACAAAATTCAATAGTTTATTTGTTATATCTGGAATTTGTGGAGTAAACATTCTCATTTGTTCGTACATTTCTTCATCCTCTGATATATCGTCTTCATCAATGTCGTCTGCTTCTGTAATGGCGGCGTCTTCCAGCAGACGATCTTTTGTCCATCCATTCATTTTTACCTCAGACATTGTCAATTTAGTCGATCGTGTGCCAATCCTTATTACACCCAGTCCGTCTGAAAGTATTTTAATTTGAATCTATTAATTACATTAAACACTTAAACAGTAAAGCCATCATGAACTAATCCTGGGGAACTAATCGACTATCAGATATGAAATTCTACAAAATATATTTTATCCAAAAAATATTTTGTCATAATGACCTATTCTAAATATTTATGAACATTACTCGAGAGCAGAATGGACAACATGATTTATTTGATCAATTTATACTAAAGAGAGCCAATTGTAAAACTAACACGGTGCTTTAATCCCTAAGAACAAGAAGACATCCGAAATATGATGAATTACTTTGTCAGTCTCAAAAACCCTTTTGTTTGTATAAGATGATCGATTTATGAATATGATTTTGAACATATAAACCTGAACTAATTTTTGTGTAGTGAGTGTTTTGAATTTCTTTCTCGTTCAGTTACAGATTACTTCGAGATCCAACGATACTTACTGGGAAAGTGATGTCAATTTTACTCAACATAGAAACAAAGAAATCTCCATCATTATGCTACTAATTAAACAAAGTCTGAGTGTTTAATTGAGTGGTTTGATAAATGACTACCTGCTAAAACGTTTCTCGTGTTCTCAATGTTGAATTTGTCATACTTGGGATCAGAATGCTAATGCAGGTAATGGGGACATTCTCAATTCACAGTTTCGGAAAAATAAAAACTTGGAACTTCTAAATTGTACTTAGGGCAATATTGTAATATTTGACACGGAATTCTTTTTAATTTCTACGTGCATTTAAACCAACTATAATTACACTCAAATAAATTTACATCTAAAATCTCTTAAATTTGTTTAATTTGATCTTTAAGTTAGAAAACGATTGTGTGTGTTATGATTAGGTTGTGAATTGTCCCTTAGTTTATAAGCGGATCACAACAGTCGAACATCAAACTACAATATGTGCGCTCCCATGTTGAAGTGGTGTTACGTGTTGAAACGGTTTCAATTAATCAAGTAAACAATTGAATGCACAAACAATCAATCAAACCATTGATTCAAGCAATAACTAATTATTTCGATCAATTTATTTATCACAGAGATAAAATATTTCACCAGATTTTTAAATCCGATCCGTATCAACTGTTCATAAACCTGAAATGTTCGGTAGATGCCAAATAATTAGATTTTGAATCTCTTCATTCAGTTTTAATTCTATTTTCTATAAAATCACCAAGATACCGAAATCGAATGTATTCCTTCGTAATATCACATTATACAGTGTGATTACAGAATGACGAGATATTTGGCATTCCACAAACACATTATGTTGATTAAGGCACTTACCTCTATATACACCAGCTTTTAGAACTGTTTGCTGTCGGATTAGCCCTCTGTTAGTTATTACTGGGAGTTTATTGTTTCAACGCCTATTTCTACAATACGTCGATTAAACATGGTATAACGTCCTACTGGATCCCTAAATTTTGTCATTTTTTGATTTATTCATCTGAAGGCATCGTAGTTTTAATCATTTCTTGGTGTATTGGATAAAATGCAGTGCCATGTTTTTTACTCGCAGCGTTTAGTTTTTATTAATAGTGTCGTCACTTCCTTTATTTTGTGTCTAAATCGCAATTGAATTAATGGAAAGAATATTTAACTTTGTTATAAGTATTGTAGTGTCTATGTCCACTTGGATTCCTAAATTATAATCCGGGGTGTTACAGGTTACCGATGTGTACGAGCTCGTATTTGTCATTTTCTGTTATACTCAGTTCTGCTATATTCCCGAAGTGAAGGAGCGCCGTTGACACTTTTGTGGTTGAATTAGGAGTGGATGACTGGATGCTCTCGGTGAAAGTAATCCCTGAAGTAGTTGCAATATTCTGGGGACTACTTTTCTTTGCTGCTGTTCTAGCACTAATTCTGTGATCCAGTTAAGGCTCTCTCTGGGCTACCACATCATTTTCTTGCATTATGGTTCCCTAAACTGCTTTGGGTGCTTCTTTTCATCCAATCCATTATATTGACGAAGCAATTACTACTATTATTCCTTTGTTTTGAAAACGCCTTAGAAACACGAATTAAATATGTCCCTCTCTTTGACTTACCTAGCCCCTTTAAACTCATACACTTATGATTTAAAATGTAAGTAATTTAGTTTGGAGTAAGACTATATAGAGAGACTCGTCTAGTTGTATAGTAGCGCTTTGCTATTCTATCACAGGTAGATTATTGTGTCAACTGTGTGGACCCCTGTCTGATAAATCTATTTGGTAACTAATCAAAATGATAGAAATAAACTAATATAATATTAAAACAGCATTGATAATGTCACTGTATACAAATATGATATGATATCATTTTACTGTATACAATCGTTTCTACTTCTGTATATCATTGAATTGTTAGCTCCAATTTTTTCTGATTTATTGGCATAATGCAATAAAAGGTTTCATCCAAGCAGTCGTATTTTTATTTCCTGCTTATTACAGTCCTAACCTGTACTTTATTCTGCTATGTAAAACACCATCTCTATTTAACACCATGTCAATATGTACTTGAAACTATTATTTAAACATTATAACTTGACAATAAACTCATCAAAAGGTTTTGTTTATTATGTTATCTTATCTTAATTTCTAAAATAGCTGTACGACATCGCACTCATTGCAGTCTTTGATACAAAATCTTAGTCAAAATTCTCTCAAACCTAAATGGAAATTTGCGTTGGCATTAGTGATCGTACATACACCTACAGCTGTACGTCGAGGGAGAATAAAACGCGCCATAGAACGGCAACGTTGACACTGTCATGTCATAGAAAAGACGGTGGAAATGACTTCCTGTCATAGAAACTACTATGGTAACGCATCACTGTCATAGAAACTACTGTGGAAGTGTCTTCCTGTCATAGAAAATACTATGGTAACGTATTACTGTCATAGAAACTTCTTTTGAAACGTCTTACTGTCATAGAAACTACTATGGTAACGTATCACTGTCATAGAAACTACTGTGGAAATGTTTTGCTGTCATAGAAACTACTATGGAAATCATATTCACTTTCATATTATGACGTCGATATGGAAACCTTGTGTTGCTATACAGAACAAATATTCGATGAGCCCATACATACTTACAGAAGGCTATTATCATTATCAAGTATAGATACTACTGCATGAATGCGACCTCAAAACCGGAAAATATATTTTATTAAAAAAGAAGAAAACTATACATAACTTTTGTTTTTGAAGGAACGTATCAAGTATTCGTGAAATGAAGTTAAATTTGTATTTTTTGACAAAAACGTCCACTATGATCATTTCGATTCTAAACGTTGAAAGTCAACCCTGGACAGCAAATAGGTGGATCATTAAAGGAGGAGGGAAAGTATCGCAACAGATTTTGGACAGTCATATGGTGGATTGTGGCTATTTTCTGAGGATATAAACAGGTGCATATGTTAGATCAATGCATTACCTCCAGGAAAAGCACTCATAGAGATGATAAAATAATTTCGACTTTGAGACAGGGGAGGTGCAAACAACCCACCCACATGTTTTTCTGAAATGTTGTTCCGATTTTCGACACCTTCCACCCCTGCTTTTTCAATTTTTGTTGTATCAATATGTTGAGTTTTGACACTCAGTTAAGCACTTTAAAGGATTAAGCCAAAATCCAACATATGACAGTCCAAAATCTGTTGCGCTAATTTCCCTCCTCCTTTTGGGAGATTAACCTCCTTCTAAGTATCTTGGCCTCAAGTAAAGTAATGTTGTTTATTTAGTCGACAACATAGAAAATCAACAAAACTCCGTTTTATATTTTGTAATTATGCTAAAATAATGTATTATAATTTTAAAGAATGTCACAGCTTACAAAATATGCTGTTCTCCTTCATGTATATAATCAGGAGGATAGCTGCTAAAAAATTCTCTACAAAAAGATGCGTATTAAACGTCTCAACTCAGTTTCCGTCACGGTTATTCATAATATCATTGAATGAATACACTGGTTTAACGAATATATCTACATGACAATCCCATTGGTGTATGTCCTTTTCAGGACATGGGTTAGTCACAGGTAAATGGCATATTTATACCTGATCATACCGTAAACTGCTCGAGATATGATAATTTTGTGAGGGTCTTCTCCGCACGATACAATATTTTAAGTAATTCATAACAATTGATAGATATGATAAGGCCCCTCGCATATTCATGATACCGCGAGGAGCTCATGGTATGATCGGACGTTTTTGCTTCCAACGATGTTTGACGATGTATGCATAATACAATAGGCGGACATTTTCATATTTTATCGAGCAAGGCGACCAAGTGGTCATAATTGATTTCAACATCCATGCATGGAAAGCATGTGCGATTCTGAAATGTTTGGTGGTTGAGACATCTAAAAGCCTAGAACTCATTCACTATATAACTAATCTATAGGCCTATATCAGCTCTACATTTGAAAATATAATTAATTGATAATATAACAAATATACATCTACCAACTTTTTAAAAAATAGATAATATAACATGAAAATATTATGCATTATCACACAGATCCCCGGCCAGATATTTTCTCATAGCAGTTATGTCAGTTTAAAGATTGCAAAATTATTATAACGACAGAGACCAGAGGAAGAAAATCTGGCAGGGGTCCGAGGACTATTATACAGCAATGAGACTTTAAATAAATTACTAAAACGTATATATTAGTATTATGCATTTTGTTTGAACGTATGTAATCTACGAAATATCGTGCAGGTAATATTGAGTATTGGATTGTGTATATGTCAGAATAACATTTAATGCATTCTGTGATCCTATATTACAGTAATAAAATAAAGGCATTAACATGACAAAATGTCACCACTTTAAAAGTTATTGCAAATTGTTACAGACGCCAAACTCCGAACACTATCCACAAAAAAAGTTGGAGACTATATCAACAACTTCTGATGGTGACATAAAACTACAATAAAACTTAAAACTATTCGATAACCCCATCCTAATACGATACATTACTTCCGTCAAACGGGTATTTTTATTTAGAGCTCTGGACTAATTGTTCTTCCTTATAAGGATATCATATACGAGTGCAAATACCTTATAAGGAGCTACATTAACGTGTTAGCAATATATGGTTACTTGTGAACATAATTACATACTCACTTGAGTATAAACACAATATGAAGAATGAACCATTTTATAACCTCTTCACATACATGTAACATTATCAATAGGATTCAATTATGTTGACACTGTAATTAAAAATGTCTAAAATCAAAATGTCTTCACAGATGATAAGCAAGACAGCATCGTCGACTTCTAAAGTGGTAAGAACACAAGATGAGACAGAACTTTTGAGGTCATTATTATCTTCCTCAAAACAATTGTTAAGCCTCCTTCCCCAGACACATTCAACCTCCACAAAATGTGAAGTAGACAGGGTGGGTTAAAGACGGGGCTAGAAACATGATGCAATAGATGGACTTTCGAAATAACAACATTGCATATCTCGTTTACCTTATATCTCGTCATTCGTTATCATACAATGAAAGTTCCAAATAAAGATAAACTGTACAAATAATCATCACATTCACATTTGGAAATCGTTTACAATTACATTATGGATTGTATAATAAACTATACCAAAAGGCACAAATCAAATTAAGCCATGGTTTTCTTTAGATATCGGATATAAGACAGGCACCGATTAATCAGCGATAATAACAAAGTTTAGTTTACTAGTGTCCTATTTCTTTCCTTTTTTGCCATCCTTTTTGTCATCTTTTTTATCATCTTTGTCATCCTCTTCGTCATCTTCGTCGTCATCTTCATCCTCATCGTCGTCATCATCGTCCTCGTCTTCATCGTCGTCCTCGTCATCCTCATCATCCTCGTCGTCATCTTCGTCGTCGTCATCTTTTTTTGAATCTTTCTCGTCATCGTCCTCATCATCATCATCATCGTCCTCGTCTTCATCCTCACCTTCATCCTCATCCTCGTCTTCATCCTCGTCGTCATCCTCGTCTTTATCTTCGTCGTCTTCATCATCGTCCTCGTCGTCATCTTCATCCTCGTCATCCTCTTCTTTCTTCGATTCATTTTCATCGTCTTCGTCATCTTCTTCGTCGTCATCTTTCTCGTCTTCATCCTTCTTGGATTCGTCTTCATCACCATCTTCTGTACCGTCATCATCATCGTTCTTTGAATCTTTGTCATCGTCTTCATCTTCGTCCTCTTCTTCGTCGTCCTCTTTCTCATCTTCATCCTTCTTGGATTCGTCTTCATCACCATCTTCTGTACCGTCATCATCATCGTTCTTTGAATCTTTGTCATCGTCTTTGTCGACATCATCCTCATCTTTCTTGGATTCCTCTTCATCTCCATTCTGACTTTCATCATCTTTGAGAGTATTTTCATCATCTGAGCTTCCTCCATCGTCAGTTGGAATGGTTGGATCATCTGGTTCGATAGCTACAGCTGCTACTGCTGCAACAACTGGTGCATCTCCACCATCGGGAGTTGAAGGTGTTGACTCTGGGGTCTTCTTTAGTGACAAAATCTTCTCCTTCCAGAACAACCATCTACAAAAAGCAATCAATGTAAGCATATTACCACCATAATAATCAAGGGCTATCTGTCTTAATCCATTCTCATATTATAATCTAAAAAAAATTATGAGTGACTATATATTCTAGGATAACGAACAACGCTCGACATCACCATAAATGTTAATGATGGAGCATCATGGGTGTTATAAAATGTTTTAGGTGAATTGTAGTAGCATGAAGAGAAAGGTATAATTTTATTTTTTTAATTCAATGCAGGATCTCAGATCAAAATCAATATTTGAAATCATGTTCTGGTTATAAAAGGTCAAGGTAACATAAAGAGTGTCAAGGTCAACAAATTATGAAATATGCAATGAACTCGAATATGAAATATTCAAAAAGCAAACTGGCAGGTAAACCGACTTTCGTTACGTATTCATCACCGATAACCATATCTTGTTAAAGGGTTCGATCGTGTTCTCAATGAAGTTGAAATGTGTTCAAACGGAGATTCAACCATGTTCCAATTTACATATTTATAACTGTTCTCCATGACGTTTAAATAACTAAAGTCCACAAATCATCATGTCTTAAAAATCTCATTTTTAGCATTTCTTTTACTTTATTGACTGTGTTGCTGTTGAACGATCATACTTCCTGTAGAAACAGTTGTATTGGGTCTGGATAAAAAACATTCAATTTCACATTTAACAGATCCAGAACCACTGTATGGTACATTATCGGTGCAGCCGTAACAACTCAACTAATAATGTAATGGTCATAGTGGTAAGCCACGCCCTCTCCACCTCTATCCTTCTGGATGTAACAGAGAGAGATGCTATGAGTATCAGAATGTGTAATGGTTATCACACGAGAAGTGCAATAACTTTTATCAAAAATAATTTTTTTAGAGACATTTTATGAGAATTCATAGAAATTCCCTCGTATGTTCCAATGGAAATTAAAATGTATTTAAAATGTTGAAAAGTTTTAATAGTGTTCCAATTAAATGGGGGTCAATGGAGATTAAAATATGTTCCATAAAGTCAAAATGTGTTCCAATGGAAATTAAAATGTGTTCCATTAAAGTCAAAATGTGTTCCAGAGGAGATTAAAGTGTGTTCCATTAAAGTCAAAATGTGTCCCAATGGAGATTTAACAGTGACGTTGAAATGTATTCCAATGCATAATGATGATTAAACTGTATTCCATTAAAGTCCGAATGTGTTCCGAAGGTTATTTAATTGTGTTCCATTAAAGTCAAAATGTGTTCCAAAGGAGATTAAAATGTGTTCCATTAAAGTCAAAATGTGTTCCAATGGAGATTTAACAGTGACACTGAAATGTGCTATAATGGAGATTTAATTGTGTTAAACTCAGAATGTGTTCCAATGGAGATTAAAATGTGTTCCATTAATGTCAAAATGTTGTCAAAATGTGTTCCAATGGACATTTAACAGTGACGTTGAAATGTGCTATAATGGAGATTTAATTGTGTTCCATTAAAGTCAAAATGTGGTCCAATGGAGATCAAAATGGAAAATTAAGTTTGTTCCAATCGAAATTCAACTGTTATATGTACCCATTGAAGTTGAAATGTGGTGGAATGAAGATTTAATTCTGATTCCATTGATGTTTAATTTTATTTCAACCCTGGCTACCTAAGATTTGGGTTACCTGAAGTAAAGTTTTGGATGACAATCCATGGCATATTCACAAAATATAATTGATAAACTATATTTTTCATATTTTCATTTTTATTTTCTTATCGTCATATTCATTTTTCATAACAAATAATAGCAAAGCTAAACATATTTATACAAGTTATTGAAATATCACAGAATTTATACATGTATAGAAAAATATAATTATAATATTTACACAATAATTCTAACAAATACCACAAATGGACAATATAAAAACAAAATTACAAATGGTGACAATGTATCCCTCCTCTTACTTCTAGAAAATATTTTTTCATTTCTGAATAAAACAAATCACAAAATAACAGACAAATAAAATAAAAAGAACAAAGATGTAAAGTTGAGAGTTGTGCGAATAGAATAATCAGATCTAAATAATAAAATGTAAAAAATATGTTCACAACATTTTGCTGAATAAAATACATCATGTATTAATTCATATTCAAGTCACAATACATCCAAGTACAATTTACAAGCTCATTTTATAAACCTAAACCTTTTAAAATGTTTGGTTCAATTTGGAATCTCAATAGAGTCCATTGCAGAAAAGCAAAATACCAGGCACATTTAGCTTCCTTTTGAGATACCCTGTACATTAACACAGGTAGTTCTCTCCTCATCAATTTGTTAGCTGCACTCTTACTCACTTACAGTATCATGAATTTGCAAGTGGCCTTAAGTTACAATACATAAACACTAAGTCTTGTCATGCAGCATATGATTTGTTGGGATTATCATAAAAGGTTTTAGGCTGATATAAAGATGGCAGCAGAGGTAAAATTTAGTATTTTTGTAAAACAGATGGTTGTGACTGCCATCTTTATTCATGAGCTTACAGACAAGTCAACTCCAAGAAACGTCAACCCCGAGACAACTCAATGAACTCATCCCCTGGACAGCTATCATACAGAGAGATTCCTTGCAAAGTCATGATGCTGTGGCAGCTCAATGTAGGTTGATATGATTGAAGAGTGGAAAACATGTGATCTAAACTACATATACATGTGCATGTAAAGCAGACAGCAAAAATTCAGATCATTTGTTATCACAAGTAAGTACAGGGTGACAACAATAAATCAGATCATTTAATAAAACAGATACAGGGTGGCCCTGCATGAGGGATGATATTTATGTTCACTTTAACACTACAAAATGCTGTAAACAATGATATCACAGATCTTTTTTCCAATAATAATTAATTGAGATCTTGGTATAGTGTAAACCTAATAAGCACTAACAGAGAAAGAGACAAACATAGCCCCCAAAAATAATATGAATTAGATAACTGGCTATACCCCATGTAATAATGGAAATCGACAGCAAATCCTGTCTTTAAGAGTTGCTAGGTTAAATTAACCAGTTCCTAAAAATAAGTTTCAAAGTAGTTCAGAATCTGACATATTTTTGAAAGAAGGCAGATTAAAAATACTGAATCCTAAACAACTGAACTTTTTGAAGTTCTACAGGCTACACATAGGCTATATAAATAAAAATAAAAAATGAGAATTTAGTTTCATAGATGCTCAGTTTAACATGTTTTACTGTATGTCTTGCGCTCCTATGTAGCCCAACACCCATTCCCCTATGCTCCCTCAAACATAAAATGGTATTTGATACTAAAGCAGAGCAGAATCTTGATGCAAGACTCTGCTGAATTATTTTATAAAACATTCCCTACCATACAGGCTTATGTAATTCACTTTTAACTCTTTTGAAAGCTTTATCTGCTTGCTGAGATTCACTGTCAGAAGTATCAGGTTCAGATTTGTGTGAAATGTCATCAGAGGCTGGACTTGGAACTGAATTGTTTTCATTGTCCATATCATTATTTTCTGCAAAAGCTGGGGCTTTTATATTTGAGCGTGGGAGGTGGGGGTCATTTTGATTTTTGGATTCCAAATTCCATTTTAAGTACATCCACTTAGATTTCCAGTTGAGCCACCTGTAAGGTTACATACAATATGAAATACAAGAGTACAATACATAAAGCAAAATAACAATAATGTAATAGATCAGCCTACATTACAAAACAATATCAATATAATGAGTGAAACAAGGCATTGTTTCAACAAACAAATTATTTTGATACAAAAGCAGCTAATACAAAGTTTCATGCATGAGAAATTATAGTGCAGGTACACAAAATGCCACTCCAAGAAAATACATAAGACATCATATTTAAAATTACAACATTTATATGTTATCAAATCTGCTTCACTAACCTATATGCCGTGTAAATACTCCACTTGTTCACAGCCTCAGTATCATTTTCAGCCTCATCTCGGTCCAATACATCGGGATCTTTCACAAACAAGCGTGGATGGCGTACAACTTTCTGTATTTCTTCCACCTCATCTTGTAGTTTTTCTATGTCTTCGTTGATGTGTTTGAGCTCTTCATTATGCTAGAAGGAGGTTAGTGTTAGTGTTATGTTAGTTAGGTTGAGTGATAATAGATGGAGCTGTGGATTAAATAGATGGCAGCACTTAAATAGAGACATCTTGTGAAAGTAAACCCTTAATGTCCAGTGAAAATGAGATATCAAGCAGTTGAACTCCCTATATAATAATTTATCTAACATTCCTCGTCAAAGCAATTTCATTTAATTACATTTGATCGCAATGTTTAAAAATCTTATATAATCTATCAGCAAAAAGCATTCCGATTTTATATTTGGGAATCTTATATTTCTCCTTCATAGTATTTTGTTTTAAAAATCACTCAAATAATACTGTTGATAATAATCAAACCACACAAGAAAATGCAAAGTTATTGTACAGTGATCTACGTGTTATGTTTTTAAGAGAAGGAAAAAAGCATGCAATTTGTTTCCAAAGTTATTTTGCATCGAGTGTGCCTATAATAGAGGTGTAATGAAGTGCCTAAAATAGAAAACAGAAGTTAGCGTTAGACATATTAGCTTTTCTACAACCACCCCCCAAAAAGCATGCCTCTGTAGTTTTACACCTCATGGTTGGAATGTGAATATTTATTTTTCTATGTTAATTCAGTATATGCAAGAACTACTTGCAGATTGTCATCTATAAAGAAATGTTAGTCAAATAAAACATTATGCTAGTAATAGGTGCTATATGTAGGAGCTTGGATCTACAAGACTATAGACATACATTTGGATATTTACACCAAAGACTATTTTAAGGACAAGTTTTAGAAGGTTCCAGCAGGAAAGAAGATAGTTGAACGTAGATGGAGAAGCTACCACTCTGGTGATCTTGCATCCCCAGGACCACGATCATCCCCTTTATCAGTGTCTTTCTTATTGTTTTTGTCAGTGTCTTTCTTATTGTCTTTGTCAGTGTCTTTCTTATTGTCTTTATCATTGTCTTTTTCAGTGTCTTTATTATTGGCATCTTCGTCATTATTGCTATCTTTATCATTATTGTCTTTTGGATCATCCTTTTTATCATTGGTATCATCCTTTTTACTTGGTGATTTAGGGGGGTCTTCTTTTTTATCATTATCTTTAGCATCATCATCATCGTCGTCATCGTCATCATCCCAAGGATGGGGTGATTTTTTGTCATCTGATTTTGGATCATTTGGTTTATCCTTGTTCTTATCAGAATCATCATCAAGGGGTTTATCCGTTGACTTATTCTCATCAGGGGCATCATCAGTTTTACCAGGAGGCTCATCATTTTTATTAGGAAGCTCATCGTGTTTATTAGGAGGCTCATCATTTTTATTAGGGGTATCATTATGAGTCGGATCTTCATTTTTATCAGGTGGCTGATCATTATCATCTTGTACTTTAGAGGGTGGTGTCTTATGTCTTGGGGACTGATCACCTCCAAGTTTCTCTATCTCTTTGTTGAGATCATGAAGCTCCTCCTTCAGTTCCCAAATACTGGTGTCTCTCTGTTACAAAATAACCAATCAGTTGGGGGGTTGTCTCAAAAGATTAGCACTAAATTCTACAGATTATCCATTTTGTTAACCCATCCACCAAATCTTGTTACAGAAAAACGATACATTATCAATAGTTTATGTCCTTTTACAAAATTATATACACTAAATGGAAGGAAATGGATGTAGAATTTAGTGCTTAATATATGAGACGCCACATTTCAACAACAACAATCAATAAATGAAAAATTAAAAAAAAAACATGAATGAAAAGTATGATGAATTAATTAATGCTCCTAATGTAAACAAAATCATTATTTTGCAAAATGAATCAAGTCAACAGTTTTACAGCAAAAAATTAAATCAATAGGTTTTAACATAACTTAAACAAGAGAAAATTAATATAAAATAGAATAAACATATATGATTTACTGACAAAGACAATAGCCAAAATGTATTGTTAAGAAATGCGTCAAGGCATCACCATGATCGGGGAGTCTATTAAGATGAGCATGAGGTCAATAAAATGTATAAGATATAAGGACTCTAAAGATAAAGAAGGCGAAAATGATGAATATCTAATGACATCTCACTCTTTAGTCCTGCTCTCTTCCTCCATTTTCACTCAACCTCACTGAACAATTTATACAATTTTCAACGAAAGAGGGGCTTACCAGTTTCTGTTCTGACTGAATCTTCATTCCTAGGACTGTCTTGACTGTTTGGATTGACTCTGCCAACTTGCGTATACTGGTCTGACACTGTAATTATGAAGCATAGTATACGAGTAAGAACAATCACAAAATACATACACTAGTATGATACTTTATGTGGAGGTCCATGTAAAGGGTGGCCCAAAAATAAATTTCTCAATTTAGAATGAGATCTTAAAATGTATTCTCTTTGCCTGATGTTATTTCTAAAAGAAAAATGGTTTTGAGCAGATGTCTGAAATTATCCGTACCGTCATATAATAGAAAGGACCACTAGAGTTTTATTAAATCTATACCAAAACTAAATAAGAAATAAAGACTGTTAAGGACAGATAAGACAAAAATCATAAATATAAGGTTGTGTGGTTTAATTAAACAGGAATCTGAAAAGTTTTGGAGGTAAGCCATTGTCATTACCTGTAGATATGATATAGGATAACCCATAGATAAAGAATAACCCAAAGACATTGGATAACCCATAGATATAGGATAACCCATAGACATAGGATAACCCATACATACAAACCCTTAGATATAGGATGACCCATAGATATAGGGTATAAGATAACCCATGGATATAGGATAACCCATCGACATAGGATAACCCATAGATATAGGATAATCCATAAATATAGGATAACCCATAGATATAAGATACCCCATAGACAAAGGATAACCCATAGATATAGGATAACCCACAGACATAGGATTACCAATAGATATAGGATATAGGATAACTCATAGATATAGGATAACCCATAGATATAGGATAACCCATAGATATAGAATAACCCATAGACATAGGATAACCCATGCATAGATATAGGATAACCCATAGATTTAGAATAACCCATAGATATAGAATATAAGATAACCCATAGATATAGAATAACCCATAGATATAGGATAACCCATAGATATAGAATAACCCATAGATATAGAATAACCCATAGATATAGAATAACCCATACACATTACAATACATGTACTATAATGTGAGTAACAAACTAGCTGCATTTCATTCAGAGTGCATGCACCTACTTTCCTACATTTTCTCTACATTTTAACTCCACTTTAACAACATACAGTCAAACCTGGCTCATATTAAAAGGTGTTCGGATTACAGGTGTCCAGATGTGTAGGTTTTATTAAGTACCACTATTTATAGTATGAGAATTGATGAGTTTTCATGTATATTTGACAGAGCCATACTACATGACCAGTCCATGTTCAAATGGACAACATATCCCCATGTTTATGTGGGTACATCCCTTCTACCACTACGCCACACAAATGCATCAAAAAATATATTCCATACAATCCTGCCCCCCCCATGTGGAATGTTTTAAGGTCAATGTCATGTAATGATCTAAATTTTCTAATGCAATGAAGATACAACATTTATAAAATACACGATAAAACAATTCAACCAAGTTCTATATGTGAAATTACACACTCTGACCTCTTCCAACTTTTTCTTCAACTTATTAGACATAGCATCAGCCTAAGTACGAAACAAAATAATGAAAAGGGCAATATATAAAGTAAAGCTTCAAGTTTGCATGCATCCTTGTAGCAAAGTGTACAGCATTATATAGTATAAATTAGTGAAAAATTACAAATACATATACAGTACACTGCCAATCTCAAACAGCATCAAACAGCGCTGTTTACGAAACAGTGCTCGACAGCGCTGTAAAAACTGTTCTGTACAGTGCATCATTGTTTTGAAAAACAGTACTGTACAGCGCTGTAAAAACAGTACTGTACTCCGCTGTTGAAAACAGTTGATGCTAGAATAGCAGTGTACATCACTGTACAGCGCTGTGTTTGAACTACACTATTCAGTACTGTTTACAGCGCTGTGTGATGATGTCGCGGATTGGGGGTGTATATCACTACATTGTCCAATATCAATAAAGTAAAAAATAAAACATGCTTAAATGCCCAATGCACAGAATTTTTTCAAATGATTTGGTAAATTCTGCAGTCAATTTCCCCACCCTGAAAGCAATAATAGTCAAAAGTCCCTGCTACCGGGATGAAATATTATGTTAGAATTTCACCCACTAAAACAATACCACGTTTAGAATTCCCGACCCTCCCTGTAAAGGGGGTCTCATCTTTTACATTAGTCATGCATCAAGTCTATAAAAACAACCTCCCCTCCATGAGGCAGATGTGAGGTGTTTCCAGGTTTACAAGGGCTTGATGCAAGAATAACTGTACATAACTCTATTGAGAACATGCAACATGCAGAGTATAATGCAATCAAAAATGTATCAACCATCCTTACATATTGGCGCTGCAATGTGCAAGAAATATCATCTTATTTTACACTTTTTGATTAACAGATAAGGTATCATGCTCTAAAAATGGTGTCTCAAAAATCTATAATCATACAGAGTGAAAATATGTGATATGTGATATCATACTGTGTTAAAACTAATTATGTCATAATATCTATGATGTGGATTTTCAAATTAAACTGAAAATCAAACTGCCCAAATGCAAGTCTTACCATTTCAATATCTGACTTTGATGCACCATCGTTGTTCTGTAGACTCAGGACAGCTTTTTCAATCTCCAATTTCAAAAGTTCCACATCCTGATCACGGCATTTTGATTCAATACTTATGAGTTTGTTGATCTCATCTTTGAGTTTCTTCATGTCATCACTCATGGTGGTAACCTAAAGGAAACAGTAAGAGATCATTAGCTGGTTTGAAAAGTGGTATAAAGTGGTAATGCAGATTATATATTACATGAGTGTTTCATATTGATCATTGATTTGTCATCATGGTATACAACCAGGGCACGCCTTAAGCGTCGGACAGCTGGTCATTATCTGGTTACTTTTGATATTGACCAGTTGATTTTTTCACTAGGTATAGGAAAATAACATTGCAACTGGTCAGTAATGCCTTTTTGACCAGCAGCTCTGGAATCCTTAGGGCATACACTGTTACAACTCTATCATATACTTCTCTATCATAAACTTTACCTGAAGAAATTCCTCTAAATTCTTATTTTGTGCCAAAATTTTATTTTTTCTGAAATTTTTATTTTGTGAACAGAAACAATGTTGCCTCAGGACAATGATTGTCAATTCTTTTTACTTTTAAAAAATTGACTTTTACGTTTATCATTTATTTTATTGCACTCTGAGCTTTCTTATTTGTTTCCTAATCTCATACCTCTTTTGGCAGTTCTTTCATCTGCTCTTGGAGGTCTTTAATGGTTTGACTTGTGATCTCTTGCCACATTGACAGACTGTCAAACTTCTCTCTTGTTGTGTTGGCATGACCAGCTATTGCCTACAACAAATGCATGCACATGAAACCGATTATCTTGTAGTATATATGGTTAGCAAGAATAGAGACGACAAGAATTTCTAAAGAACTATTTTCTCGAACAAAAATATGTTACTCAAAATTACAATTTATATTACAATCATATATTTATATTACAATCATATAGGTAAAATTGAGTATAAAACATACAAAGCCTAAATAAACTTGAGACTCACAGTAGTTATTTTGAGGTCGACCCTGTCCTCCATATTAGTGAGTCTCTGATTGCACGCAGTGATGCGAGCATCCATATCTGCGAGATTTCTTGTCCCATTCTGTTTGTTATCTTCCAACAAATCTCCTAGCTCCTTCCTTATCTGAAATCATACAACTCTTACACTGAATTTCTCAATTTTTCCATTGCCATATTTCAAGATATGATAGTCGCGATGACTATGCATTTATCTCCTTCAAGAGAAATTTGGATATAGTGAATGTGCAGGCTGGGGGGGGGGTCGAGGGGTTCCAGTGAACCCCACTTGGCCAAATATTCTTTCAAAATCATGCAGTTTTTCAACATTCTGAGCTTTAAGTGATTTAGGCCATTTTTGGGCCAAAGTTGTCAAAAGTGAACCCCCAGAATATTTAAAAATGTGACCCCCCCCCTTCCTTGGCAAATCCTGTCTTCGGCCTGCTATGGCCTCATCTAAGCCAACCAATTATTTTGCTTCATTCTTGATTTGTGAATATTAATAATACATTGCATCATAACATTGTCATTGTCTCAAAATTGAATTGTGTATGAGGTATAAGCCTATAGCATATAAAGCATTAAGGAAGTATTTAGTTACACCTTCCAGTCAAGAATTAAAATACCATATCATGAAATCATATCATATCGTATCATGATATAAGGGGTCCCACTCTGATAATAAATTTGAGATGCAAGCAAATATTATTGAAATTTGGACTGAACATATTATTTTAATTCTACTCTGAAGTTGCTTTTTGAAGTCAGTAAAACAGAATATCATCAATGAAAAATGATGACCCATTTTGTTATGACTAGACTAACTAACTATCTGTCTGTCGTATATATGTATGTTAATTTTTGCTAGTAAAATATAAGAGATATCTAGGTGAAAATAAGCATGAATACAAACTATGTGTACTGCACTTCTATAAGCTATTGCAATACAATCATGTTCAATTAAACGTCTACAATTGTTAGTAATAAAATCATGTACAATGAATCATAATCATATACAGTGCAATATAATCATGTACAATACAACCAAAAACATGAAAAATGCAATACAATCACGTTCAATTAAACATCTACAATTGTATATAATAAATCATGTACAATGAATCATAATCATGCAAAATGCAATATAATCATGTACAATACAATTAAAACAAATGCAATATAATCATGTACAATACAATGCAATATACCAGCAAACGACAATGTTAATCAGCATGATAAAAAATCTTGACTTTTCCTTCATCTCACCTGTTATAATTTAAATGAGTCTGTACCATTTGGTCACTTGAAAACTGGTCAAGATGGTACAATTGATATGTTCGAGATGTAAAATCATACAATTTGGGTTAAAATCATTTTAATCAACAAGTTGATATTGATTGCAACAATGCAACAAGCTGATTTTTTAAAAAATCAGACTTTTGGATGCTGAATTAGTCAGTCATCAAATGGCACACAATGCACCCTGATGTGAGAAAAAAAGTCTTAAGACATAAGCTTGATATTTTCCTAAAAGCAGAAAATCTGCCCTACAATAAAGATTTAATGCACTCTTATACAAGCCCATGGTCTAGACATTAAGAAAATCCAAACAAACTTGTGATAAAGCATTAGTTTCACCTTCTTCAATTCTTCTTTTCCTTCATCATCCATATCTTTTAATTTCTTTTCAAGCTATAAATGTGAAATAATTTACAAGTCAGTTAAACCACTGTAGGTATCCTTTAGGGTTCACGTCGTTTGTAATGTAAAAGCTTTTCAATATTCACAACAAATGAAAAAATCCAAACGAGATGTTTCAACAGTTCGATAAATTCATGAACACTAATACAAATGAAAACCAACTGGTCTTCAAAATGACATTTATGGTCAGCTAATTTTGTAAATGGCGACATTTCTTATTACACAATTGAAACAAGAAATTATTTTTACTTTTTCTATTGCCTCCTCAGCCTGTTCATTAGCGTGTTTCTCTAAAGCAATAACATAGCTGTCGACCTAAAAACAAGACAATATGCTATTATTACATCAGTATCTACAGCTGGTAGAACATGCTCAATGTATGCTCACGAGGGGCATTCCAAAAGTTCATTGCTCTAAATTCAAAGAAATTCTATCATCATATTCATTCGATTCACATTGTTTTTACTGTGTATAGAATTAGAAAACAAACAAGGCATTTGCATGAAACATGTCACCACCTGCCATTTGTTACAGCCAAACACTGACTGTAAAACACCCACCATCGAACACCAGTCACACATAGTAAATAACAACAACAATCATGCAACTTTCTTGCAAACCATTGCGTATTTCAAATTATCTTTATGTTTCTATGATTATAAGCATGCATCTATTTAGCTATGTGTAATCAAAGTATCTGTCTGTGTGTTCATTTAAGCATGCATCTATTAGGTCTATGAAATCAAAGTATTTGTCTGTTTGTTCATCTAGGCAAAGTGTATCTCTAGACTAAAAGTTTCTGTTTTTCACACCAAAAATAAACCAGATCCACACATCAATCCAAAATATTTACATTTGAGCCAGATTTATAAGTGTTTCTGGTTCATTTTTGAACTAGTCATAATTTGGAGGCAAATCTGGTATACAAATAGGTGTCAGTGTTTTCTTTATTACTGATGTAAGGTTTGGGTGCAGATTGGTGCAAATTGCTGCAGGTTGAATTTAGAGCCATTTGCACCTCTTTTGACATCACAAAAATTAATAGGATTCTTTCGTTATAAAAAATGATGCAATAATAGAATTAAAAACTCAGAATTACAAACTTTAGAGTAGGTTTTATATGAATTTCTTTCTAAATAAATTATCACATTTGAAAGTTACAAAACACTGTATAGTACAGTGAACTGTTAGCTTGTTGTAGTAGTCAATTCCATTATGTCGTAGTTACTCTAGATATCAATCACATCAAAAGCAAATACAATTTTCATTCAACATTTACCATTCTCATATATCCAAGAAATGGATTGTTCTCAAGGCACTCAAGTACTTGTACAACATCTATGTGACATGGCCCTCAAAGCAACACACACATCTAGCATTTATACATGTACATGCAGAAAACAAATATTTTACAAACTTTTTCAATTTTTTCTTCAATTTTTTCTTTTGTTGATGTTTGTTCCTCTTTGTTCTCCTGTAAATGCTTCTTCAGCTGCCAAAATGAAATTATCATCATTAGTATCAAATCAGTCATCATAATCACCATTTTCATCAACATTATCATCTTCATTTCAATCAAAAATAATCTCAAATGTATGTAAATGTAATTTAATTCTGATTAACATATTCATAATGAATGTACAAACTTGTTCCACATCCTGGTTGACATTTTTCAGCTGCTGTTCCATCTTCTTATTATCCCCCACCTTCTCAATGTCATCTCTTAACTATAAACATAATGAAACAATGAGAAATGATGAATCAAATAAAGGGAGGGGAGGGGATTATTGGAATAATGTGTCATACTTGTATAAGACCTTATCAGACACAATGGGTATAATTATTGAGTTTACATCCTAATAAAGTAATGATTAGGAGTACATTTCAAAGAAATAAGATGCTCCAAATTTAGTGTCACTATTTCTTGTTTTTTTGATGCATTATTATACATTCCCCTCCATAAGTTTGGCAACCTTTGCTCCCCCATTGAACTACGTGTTAAAACCCCTTTACATTTGAATTTTTTCAGGTTCAGGTTTCTTCAGGTTTAACAAAGTTATAGGGCTTTAAAGTCAATTTTTATTTCAAAAAACCTCTCCCATTGAAATAACACAGGAGGCGAAAAATTATTTTCAAAAATGACTTTGAAGCGCTGTAACTTTAGTATTCATCAAATAAACTAAACACTCAGTGTACAAAAAAGTTAGACAATTCAATTTTCTATAGAAAAATATTTTTTGCTAGTTCTTTTACTGAAAAGATATCCTGATTTCTGATTTGCCCCGAAATGGGAATGGGAATGAAGATTTTCAAAGACCCATCAAAGGACGATTCTCGGTTTGGAGAACGAAGTTCATCAAACTAAATGAGCATTATCCCTGCTTCGGACAAATTTGATATTTTTACATAATATAGATTTGAATGTCTTCTTTTGAAAAGTCATAATTTAATTCGGGTAATATTTCTAGATTTTTTGCAAAAAAATATTAGCGCAGTACACTGATGAACTTCTTTCCCTAAATCGAGACATGTATTTTATTGAATCGGTCTATTTGAGCGTTATCCCTGCTTCAGACAAATTTGTTATTTTTACATCTTGTAGATTTAAATGTCCTCTTTTAAATATTCATAGTTTAAGTTGGGTAATATTTCTATATTTTTCATAAAAAAAAAATATTAGCCCAGGAGACTGTTCTCCAAACCGAGAATCGTCCTTTATCATCAATTTTCTACCTATTCTTATGGAAGAAAAAAATTTAGAAAATTTGTAGGTATTGGAAATAAAGTCAAGTTACGTTTCGGTCAATATTATACATTATTTCGTCGCCGGTTAAGCAAATAAAAATTCAAACGTAAAGAAGCTTTAACACGTAGTTCAATGGGGGAGCTAAGGTTGCCAAACTTATGGAGGGAGTGTAAATCAATGATGGCAGGAAAACACTCAAAGAATAATCATCTTTGGCAGGCACTCTTTTACATATAGTGAACCAATGGGCACTGGCCTTATCTATTCACTTTTGCATCTGGGCTGGATATACTATAAGTAAATCCCACGCCAAACTTGTGATTTTTCAAAACATTCCTGATACAGTGGGTTGTGTGTAATGTAAATCTCACCATATTAAAAATAAAATTGGCATTAGGTCTACAGACAGATTGCAGTAGTGGTAGGTCTATTCATAGAGAAGTTCCAATAATTAGACAGACCACTTAGGCGACCTTTTTGTCACCCAAGTCCTTAGGCAAACTGCTGTAAAAAAAGCTATTTTATTATCAACTCCTCTTTTGAGAATTCAGAAATGTTCTTTATATAAGAACAGTTTCTAAACAAAACAGCATCAAAACAAGATGTCTAAAACTAGTTCCACCAACTTCTAAAAATTCAAGAAAATTCTGTGTCTGAAAAGAAGTAAATGCACCAATGAAAACAAAATGTGCAACACTCCTTTAACTGAAACAATAAACAGCATACTCCTGAAACTAAATGTCTGACAATTGTTTTTGATGTGAGGTGTCACTACGGTAAATAACACTTCCAGGTAGGACAGTGCTCTTTATAATTCTTTAAAAATGAAGCCATCCTAAATCCAATGGTGTGTATAGTAATAGTGTCCAATAGAGGTACATGTATTTATGTAATGTTCAGGACAAGTACTTTATAAATGTACCATTCTTAGCTAGATAACAATCACATCAAAAGTGAATGCAATTTTCATTCAACATTTTTCATTTTCAAATATCCATAAAATGGACAGTTCTCAAGTCAGTCAAGTACTTGTACAACATCAATGTGATATGGCCGTCATAGCAACACTCACATCTAGCATTCGTGCTTGCAGAAAACAATTATTTTACAAACTTTTTCAATTTTTTCTTCAATTTTTTCTTTTGTTGATGTTTGTTCCTCTTTGTTCTCCTGTAAATTCTCCTTCAGCTGCCAAAATGAAATAATCATCATTAGTATCAACACAGTCATCATAATCACCATCTTCATTTCAACCAAAAATAATCTCAAATGTAAGAAATGTAATTTAATTCTGATTAACATATTCATAATGAATGTACAAACTTGTTCCACATCCTGGTTGACATTTTTCAGCTGCTGTTCCATCTTCTTATTATCCCCCACCTTCTCAATGTCATCTCTTAACTATAAACATAATGAAACAATGAGAAATTATGAAACACAAAAGGGAGGGTACTCGATCATTGGAATAATGTGACATACTTGTATAAGACCTTATCAGACACAATGGGTATAATTATTGCGTTTACATCCTAATAAAGTCATGATTAGGAGTACATTTCAAAGAAATAAGATGCTCCAAAGGATGCGTATCGATATGGCAAACTTTTTGAACACACAACACACATTTCTCTTAAACCAGTCATCAAAAAATTCTGAAAATCTTACACATTGTCAATGTAATGGTCATCTTTTGAATGGCAACAATATAATTTGAAATAAATATATGTTATGTTATGTTATGTTATATTTTATTTATGTCTCACGCCATTTAAAATACATACAATTATAAAACAATAATATTAAAATCGTCTGGCCTGGCCGGTGTCGACCTATGAGAGACTAGATTCAGTATGACTATATAAAAGGTTAAATTATCACAGTAGAGTACGTCTTTTTAAAAATCATTTTTATAAGTGTTTTGGATAGTGTCCTTTGTAGGCTCTGTGTTGACATAATATTGCAAAATTGTTGAATATGGTTAAGCTGGTGAAAGTCAGGAATTTCCTTAACACAATCTAAAAACAATGGAGTTCTCAGTTCTTCATAACTATTGCACTGTAAAAGAAAATGAAACTCGTCCTCAACAGTTAAATTATCACAGTGACATCGGCGATCCTGGAGTGGGGTATTGTTATATCGTCCAGTTTCGATCTTCAATGGGAGTGTTCCACTTCTAAGTTGGGCAATAGCTCTGCGTTCACTCCTTGACATGTTGATACAAGTATAATTGGCGGGCTGCGTGGAATGTGTTTTAAACAGTCGATATGTTCGTAATTTGTTGCCATTTGGGTTACGACTATCGTCCCAAAGACTGTTGTGCCATTCGACGTGATCTGCTCTGATACATGCTTCTTTGACCTCGTTAAGATGGCATTTAACTCGAGATATAGTATCATTGTTGATAAGCTGAGTAAAGTCAAGATCTTGTAACATTTTCCGGGTGAGATTTTCCCAAGATTTATATAATATATATACTTTTCTCTATATTGTTTCAGAAAACACACCGGACACTTCTTTTGTTCTTATCATATGTTATATATATCTGAACCGATCATTGGAACAAAATGACATAAACACAACATGTTTTGTTTTTTCAAAACATTCCTGATACAGTGGGTTGTGTGAAATGTAAATCTCACCATATTTAAAAATAAAATTGGCACTAGGTCTACAGAGAGCGAGATTGCAGTAGTGGTAGGTCTATTCAAAGAGAAGCTCCAATAATTAGACAGAGCACTTAGGCGACCTCTCTGTCAACCAAGTCTATGGGCAAATTGCTGTAAAAAAGCTATTTTATTATCAACTCCTCTTTTGAGGATTCAGAAATGTTCTTTATATAATATAAGAACAGTTTCTAAACAAAACAGCATCAAAACCAGATGTCTAAAACTAGTTCTACCAACTTCTAAAAATTCAAGAAAATTCTGTGTCTGAAAAGAAATAAATGCACCAACAAATACAAAATGCGCAACACTCCTTCAACTGAAACAGTATGCTCCTGAAAATAAATGTCTGACAATTGTTTTGGACGTGAGGTGTCAATATGGTAAATATCACTTCTGAGTAGTGTTTTTTAAGTACTTGTACAACTTCTATGTGATATGGCCGTCATAGTAACACTCACATCTAGCATTCATGCGTGCAAAAAACAAATATTTTACAAACTTTTTCAATTTTTTCTTCTATTTTTTCTTTTGTTGATGTTTGTTCCTCTTTGTTCTCCTGCAAATGCTTCTTCAGCTGCCAAAATGAAATTATCATCATTAGTATCAACACAGTCATCATAATCACCATTTTCATTATCATCTTCATTTCAATCAAGAATAATCTCAAATGAAATAAATGTAATTTAATTCTGATTAACATATTCATAATGAATGTACAAACTTGTTCCACATCCTGGTTGACATTTTTCAGCTGCTGTTCCATCTTCTTATTATCCCCCACCTTCTCAATGTCATCTCTTAACTATAAACATAATGAAACAATGAGAAATTATGAAACACAAAAGGGGAGGGTACTCGATCATTGGAATAATGTGACATACTTGTATAAGACCTTATCAGACACAATGGGTATAATTATTGAGTTTACATCTTAATAAAGTCATGATTAGGAGTGCTTTCAAAAAATAAGATGCTCCGAATTTAGTGTCACTACAGGGTGTCCCGAAAGTATGCCCCCCCAGGCAGACATATACCAGTGTCATCATAGTATGTGTCATATATCATTTTAAAGCTTATCCAAAGTTACATTGATTTGCCAAGTATCATGGTTCAACTCTCAAATGTGAAAAAATTACAGGCATTTCAAAATTTAGTGTTTGGTAAAAATTAAGTTCAATTTTACAACAAATCACTAGTCAATGTGTCCTCCCGGGCCATCTTAACAGCAGCGATTCTTTTCCGGTCGGAGGGATATTGAGTTGGAAAAAAGAGAACAGTGAGGGTAGAAACTCTAAGGAAACTCTTCTAAAGTCCCTTACCAGGTTTTAAGAGGGTTCTAAAATTCCACACCCCTATTTGAAGGGCTTTTAAGGTCATATCTGAAAATAATTGCTGCTGTTAACATGGCCAAGGGGGGACACATTGACTAGTAATGTGGTGTAAAATTGAACTTTATTTTGACAAAACACTAACTTTTAAAATGACTGTAACATTTCCCCATTTGGGAGTTAAACCATGATACTTGGCAAATCAATGTAACTTTGGATAATGCATAAAGCTTAACTATCCTATTTGATTCAGCAATTTTTGTTTGTATAATATAAGAACAGTTTCTACACAAAACAGCATCAAAACCAGATGCCTAAAACTAGTTCTACCAATTTCTAGAAAATTCTGTGTCTGAAAAGAAGTAAATGCACTCATGAAAACAAAATGTGCAACACTCCTCTAACTGAAACAGTAAACACCATGCTCCTGAAAATAAATGTCTGATAATTGTTTTTGACATGAGTAGAAAACAACAATAATCAGTGACAGACAGGGTAGAGACATTGCTCTCCAGCGGATCAATCTGAGGATGTGCAAAATACTGAACAAAAATAGCAAAGACACATATCATACACTGTATGCATATAATGTATGTGATGGTAAATATACTTTGTCGAGTTTCTGTTGTATTTTATTCTCCCGTTCTTTTAGCTTTATGTTAAACTCCTCTTCCACTTCTTCTTGAATCTATAGAATAAATATGTAAACATGAGGGTCATGCTTTATACAGTGCACCCATACTGTATGTATATGGGAAACTGCTCCCGGGTAAGAATTGCCTCCCCATGTTAAAGATATGTCTCATCTCCTAAGTTGTATTCTGGCAAAATCATGAAAGACACTTTACTTTAAGGAATCAATTCATGACTATATAAATATATGACCTACCTTTTCAGCTTGAGCGTTCATCTGAGCATTGACGCCACCCACAGCCTGCTGCAGTGTAGACATTGCGACTGCAAGTTTTTCTTCCAAGTTATCAATCTTCTCAAGAGCATCTTTCTGGCTATGTTTTCTAAATAAATTTTTTTTTAATTATACTTAATATTTACCCTTTGCATTCGTTTGACTTCACTTCTTAAAAGAGAGCTTCGTCTTCACTCTTTCAAACTAAAATAAACCTGTGAACTCACCGCGCCAATCAGTGTTCGTCGGCCAAATTTGACCGACGTTCTATATATGGTCATTCCTTCTGACGTCATCGTTGAGCCCGGAATTGACCAATGACATGCGCATATCTTAACACATTAGAACGCATTTGGCGTATGTTTGTTCAGGCTCGCTGAATGGTGGAAGAAAGGTCAGCGCATAGGTCAGAAGTGATTTATATTATTACCCAAACTGTCACCGGTACCTGTCGTGGGGGCGGGGCTACTAAACTGTAATATGGTCTCTACTAGGCAGAGTGTAGTTTAACTAGACTCTGCACGCAGGGTACTTAATATTAATGGTTCACAAAGTTTGAAAATCAAACTACACCTGAGATGTTCTGTGATAACACATGATTTTGGGAGGAAAATGAAGCAATATTTTGAGCAGTGTTATCTGCTCAAGTGGATTCACCTTAGATTTTATAAATTCCTTATTAACTTATTTCTTGTACATAAATGATTAAGGAGGAAAATGAACCGATGTTTGACTAGTCTATTATTTGCTTAACTCACCTTGATTTAATTTCAGCAGTAAGCACTTTTTCCACCTGTTTCCTATGTCCCTCTGTCTGTTGTTCCATCAAACTCAGTGACTCATCCAGCTTGTTCAGGGCATTATTCTGTTTCTGCTTCTCCAGCTATAATATCAAATGTACCAAAATAAATACCATAATGTATTATTACACTGGATGTTATTTATTGGATGGATTTATTGAGATAAAGCTTACCAATGATAAAAAAATGGATGTTAGATAGATACTGTTGGTTTTATACTTTTGATGTGTTATGCCATTGACATATCAGAGATAAAAGAAAAAGGTGAAAACTAATTTAAAAAAAGTCGAAGTTGATTTTTTGTAGTTTTATTTATGTGGAATAAAACTCAGGGTGATCTCAGATCAATTAACTTTTTAATTGACATAAAGCAGACTCATTTCAGTTACTCATATGCACAAAATAAGAAAATAAGATTACTGCTTTTAACATAGAACTCACAGAATATAATATTTACCTTATTAATATCTTTCATACTTTGCAGTTGATCATCTTGTAGTTTTTTCAGTCCATCCCATCGCTGCTCATTCTGCTCTCTGTGCTCTTTTTCATGACGCAACCGTTCTGCCTGTTCATTGGCTAATAACTAGAAACACGTCAAAACAATTATTATAAAGGTCATTATAAATTATAAAGTCAAAGATTGCATTAAAATTAGTGAAATATTAGTAAATAGGATATAATAGCTATCCCGGTATAAAAATACTGGAGCATATACACTGTATAAGTGTTCTCAAATAATTTCCGGCTTGTATGAAACTCAAAGTGCACTTTACCTTGGCTTTTTCTGATCATAACAAGTGAAAAATTTCATTTTGAGACATCTACAGAACTACAGTAGAATATGTGGAGTTGAACAAAACTCCAGTTTCCCATTTACTTAATATAAATGAACCTCTGTAAGTGGAACATCTCCACTTACACAGTTTTTTTGGATGTTCAAAGTTGTATTTCATCATATCAATCTTTAATTACCTTTTCCATAGTTGAGAATTTGTCCTGTGTTTCTTCTCTAAGTCTGATTTCCTTTGCAAGCAGCTTCTTGCTGACTTCTTCTGCAACCTCTGCAATCTTACCCTGGAGCTTCTGTCTCTCAATCTCTGCTGCATGCTCACGTTCCCGCTGCACTGCATCCAGGGCATGTATAGCCTCATCTCGTCTACGGTTCTGTTCTGCTAACTGACCAGCCATGTCACTCAACCTATAAATTGCATTAAACATTGGGAAAATATCATTAATTTGGAAAAAATGAGCATATAGGCCCATTGATTCAAATTATGGACCCATATTATTTTTGAAAAGGTTCCCAAACTAAATTAATAGGGCCACTATGTCAATTTCTAGGTCTAAATCTTACATCTGAAGGTCACTTATATCACTGTGAACAATGTATTCAGTGACATCAGTGAATGATTGAATATGTTCTTTATTTTGTCTACCTTGCTTGGACCTGGTTCTCCAACATACGCCTGTCTTGTATTTCCTTATCTTGTTTACCTCTCAGCTCAACCAAAACATCACGTAGCTCAGACAGCCTACAATCAACAAGTATATGTTGATTACTGATTGTGTATATACATGTAATTTGATTGGATAAGGTTAGATCAAATGATCATTTTGAAACTCAAAGTTCATTTTGAACTCTCAATAAAGGATGCAACAGGCAAAAACAGCATGTGTGACTTTTTGTCTACTACTTGTCTATAAACCCTTTGCATTTGTTTAACTTAGTTCTTCAGAGAGCTTTTCTACACTCTTACAGAGCTTGTCATCACGAAAAAAATGATTTTCCATATATCACGACCGGTGATTGTACAAAATGGATGGAGGGGGAGTAGGCGATTTCTGCAAGAAAACTCAACAAATTTGGAAGATTTATTTTTTCAAGAGAAAATTTACAACTGAATTGCCAAATAAACAGGCACAGTGCATGGCAAAATATTCGCCTATTCATTTGGCAATTCAGTTCTAAATTTTCTCTTGAAAAAATAAATCTTTCAAATTTGTTGAGTTTTCTTACAGAATCCGCCTACTCCCCCCTCCATCCATTTTGTACGATCACCGGGCTTGTATATGGCCATTTCTTCTGATGTTATTGTAAGTTGATCCTGTATTATTGACCAACATTTCAACATTATTAGAATGTGTTTCACTCTGCTTGCTGATTGGTTGATAAAATTTGTATGCAATGGGTTCAAATCAATTCATGACCAGGAATGTGATGGCCGATGACAGTGGGGCAGGGCTGTTAAACTGTAAAACTGCCAATACACTGAATGTAGGATTGCCCTATTAGGAGATATACACGTTTCTCTGGTTTAATACAAGGGAAATTGATAACAAGGAATTTGTACGTTTTCATAATTCAATCTTGAAACATAAAATTAAAAAACAGTCCTTGTTTGATAAAACATGCAAAACACAAGTAGAGTACTAAAAACAAGCAAATTGCAGCCATAAATATTATGAATGTAGGAAAAATACATTATAAAACAGTGCTATGGTAATACAGAAGCTATTGTTTTTGCATTGTAAGTTCTTGCATGCAATATATTCGTTCAATGACACTCATAAATGATTCATAATTACAAATAATCAAAAATCCAATATCAATTTAGGTGTTCTAGTCTAAAAATAATAGATTTTTCAATTGATAGTCTTAGAGATTTTAGGACAATGCAACAATTATGATAAATATTTAAGTTCACTTATACAGGCATATTAGGAAAGGGCTTGTTTCATTAGCATCAAACTTGGAAGAAAGTGGAGAATGAGTTGAACTTGTAAAATGGAACACCTCTGTAAAGTGGAAAACAAAATACTGTTATTCATTAACTGAACCTGTATGATTAGAACACCTCCAATGTACAACACTTCTCTGAGGTTCTTAAGATTACAAGTTTGGTATCTTTATTTGACAAAAATGTTACACATTTTGGACCACCCTGTACGTACCTAGTTTCTACTTGGTTCCTAAGTTGGGAGTTAGATGTCTCTGCCTGTTGTTGGGTCTCGCCATGTTTTCTCACAGAATGTAGCTGCAATGGAGAATATATTCAATTATTATTTTGACATATAACTGTTTTTTTTTTTCAAAATACTGTTTTTTAAAAAACACTGTTTTTTCAAAATATTCTAAAATCGATTGAATCATATAATATAATCAAAGTTGAATTTTGAATGTGTAATACAAGTGAAAATCAAGAATTGCAATTCAGGTTTTCGAGAAATGACATCCAAATGATTCACTGCCATTTTAAATTTGTCATTCTCATCTTATGTTAGTATAAATACTCCTTCTTGAAAAGCGATATTATTGATCAATAAATCTGTGTGAATAATCAGATCTAAAACACATGACATGGCCTACATAATATTTGCAAACAAGAAAGCCCATATTAGCAATATTTAGGTATATGCTAACCCAACGCAAACAAGAAAGCATATCTTAGTAGCCTGGCCAGAACAAGTCATGCCTCTCTATTTTCTCATTAACTTTCTCAATTTTTAATATTTTTTCATGAAATTTTCACAGAATAAACTTTAAAGAATTCCTAACATACAAATTTTTTTATATGGTAAATACCTCATTAATTTCATTGTTACAACCTTTTAAAAAATAATGTCATATTCTGTTGATGAGTAATTTTTGTCGCCATTTTTTCTAAAAAGATACGAAAAATCTAAATTATGTTTTGTCCTAATATGGTCTTCAAATTTGATTGCAGTTTTGATAGGGGATCATTTATCTTTTTTAGTGTTCTAAATCCACCCTACTATTTCAAGATCTCATGATCTCAAGCCTCTATACTGCTCGTCCCATAAAAGGCAATACTACTCGCCTATTGTCATACTTGATGGAGATAAAAGATGCTTTCAAATGGCGACAAAAATGACCCATCAACAGAATATGACATTATTTTTTAAAAGGTTGTAACAATGAAATTAATGAGGCATTTACCATATAAAAAATTTGTATGTTAGGAATTCCTTAAAGTTTATTCTGTGAAAATTTCATGAAAAAATATTCAAAATTGAGAAAGTTATTGAGAAAATAGAGAGGCATGACTTGTTCTGGCCAGGCTACTAGAGATCAATTTTGGGGGAATCTTTACTTTTGATGTATGCAGGTATTTAGATAATAAAGGTGTTTTACTTACATAGTGTTAAACTTATGGAGGTGTTTATAGCACTATTAATGCATGTAGTTGTTTGGATTATATAGGTGTTTGACTTATAGAGTGTTAAACTTATGGAGGTGTTTATAGTACTATTAATGCATGTAGTTGTTTGGATTATATAGGTGTTTGACTTAAACAGTATTTAACTTGTGGAGGTGTTCATAGTAATTTTAGTACTGTTTATAGTAATGCAGGTGTTTGAATCATACAGGTGTTTCACTTTTAGAGTATTTCACTGTGGAGGTCTTTATAGAACTATAATGCATGTAGATGTAAATAGGTGTTTGATTATTGTGGTTTTTGACTCATTGTGTTGTTTGATTTATTTATGTTTTTATGTTTTTAGGTGTTCTACTTAACAAATGGGTGTTTCACTCATCAAAAATGATTGTACTCAGTATATTCAACAGTCTGACTAATGAAGAGGCTCGTCACCGTTCACCTAAAGCACATTTCCATTGAAAGAATTACTACATACTGATGCATGATGGTTTCTCCTTTATCATTGTAATACACTGATTATAGCAACAATAATCACTATGGAATAATCGATACACATTCACAATGGAAATAACACAAACACATAGAGACCAATAAACAAATAAGGAAAATACAATGTGCCACTTTGTTCATTGAAACAATGTAAATAGGCACTAAAAGATACGAATGGGTAAATCTTATATCATCTAATATCGGTTAAATCATTGTCTGATCCATGAATGGAACAAACAAAGGTATTGTCTGGAAATCATAATATATCATAGATGCATATTGATGCATAGGTATGACCTAACTAATATGAACCAAACTTTTATGCCAGAGCCCCTCTTATCTGCCATTTGCGAGAGGAAACTTTGGAAGGATAAAGACAAAGGGGGCGTGGCTATATCGCGATGCACTCCCATACTTTGCAATGTAAAATTAATTATTGAGAATGAAATGAGGTCATGTTATGACATCCTCCATTGTATAGTTATCAAAACATGAAACTATATCCATATCCAATCCACATTTATGTATTAAGCCTCATTCGAATTTGCTCTACGGCGGCTGTAGCTTCACAAAATTAATATAAAATTGCCATTTTATATCGAATGTGACTGAGGCATTGTTAGTACATTACCCAATCCACATTTATGTATAAGTTGCTCATTTTGCAAGAAATCTGCTCCAATTGGAGATAAATCTGGAAACCATGGTAACAGGTCTAAAATACTTTATAACTGTAATATAACCAAGGTAAAACATCAAATAAACATTACATTTTATGAGACATTCTGATTCATGAGATCTGTTTAGTAATCAATATCATGCAATCTTTAAGGGGTAGAGTCAAAACACTACTTTCAATTAAACAATGTAATTGTTTACTTTTGTGAGGTTGGGGTCAAATCCAGTTTAGCTTTATGACAGCATAGAAATAATCACCTGGTTTTACCAACAAATTAAAGAGAATGTTAGATTTTAGAAAAGGAGGATGAAGCACAAATCAAAAACAAAATAAACATTTATTTTTGATGGTGGTTGATCATCTCTGCCTTAAAGGCCCCATGTAGACATTTTGATAACATTGGGTAGGACTAAATGAAAAGCCAAAAGTGGTTTAAACTTTCTATAGGGCCTTTAATATTCTACAATTCTTACAGTGAAGGTTTGATTTAGGAGAGATTGATAACTGATTACACAAAAACAAAATAAATTATATTTTTGATGTTGATTTAATGATCCATCTGACTTATTTCCATTAAGGTTGAGCAAAATGATAATTATTGAAAACGATCCATGTACTCTTGACAACACAAAAGCAAGGTTACCAGGTAGACTAGGAACCTATTTACTGATTCTATAAAACATAAGTTAAGAGATGATATGTTGCTTAATAATAGGCAGAGTAATCGATAGTGTGGTTGTTAATCGTATCATCATATATCTCTGGTGAAACTGTGAATTGAAGCATTAATGTAAAGGAAATAGCGGAACAAAGCACCATTGTAAAGTACAACTATAAAACATATTGTATGGGAAATTGAATGGTAAAGTGCATTATGTAAAAGCAAACACCTTTCGATCAAGTTCTTTGGATCTTAATGATCACGCATGTATATTATATTGCATTTTATGAATAATAGTATGAAAATAAAATATTAGCTATATGGTTCTGTAATGGAAACTACTAATACCCAGGAAAAGTAATGTCATAATTTCTAACTACATAGTGTATGTGAAGTGCTCTTTCCCTCATCTGGTTTGTAATTTGAGATACAAAGTGGCGATGTGCATCCATTAAAACAATAGAATATCACAATAGTCTGATAAGATATAGGAAATTGAAGAGTGTATAGACAAAGTTTGTTTTTAGATAAAGTCAAGTTATCCCAAAGGGTAAATATGTCTATATAAGTCTCTAAATGCATACCATACAACTGTAGATCTTAGAGTCGAGTATTATGTAAATAAGGTACAATTTGCAAACACATCCAAATAAACATAACATAAGTAAGTTTTATATTTGTCAACATAGCGAAATTGCATTATACTGAGCATAAGCAGAATGCAGTTATCAAAAATAAAGAGATAATTCCAAATACTGTAAAAAATAAACATATTTGGTAAAAAGTATGACTCGACAAACAAACACCTCTATAGCAGCCAACCACCCAAACATCTATCAGGATAGCTTTCAAACATCTCCATGGCAATCAGACACTAAAGTAGCTACCAGACACATCTAAGGCAACCAAAAAAAGTATATATTGCAGCAAACAAACATATAAATCAACAAAAAGGATGGTCATGGCAATCAGATATAAATAATCATGGCAAACATACAATATGCATGATAATGATGTATAATCACTATGGCAACCAAAAACATTCATGGTAACCATACAATATGCTAATCAAAAGCATTGGAGAAGCAATCTAGCTAGAATTTTCTCTAGTAAAACATTCAATACTTACTCTCTGTTAACATAGATTTCATGACAAAAAAATTAAATCAAAATCATATACAGATATATTTAATTAAACTTCATATTAAAGATTTATTTGCTATACTTTATATGGAAGTCAAGATGTCCCTTAAACAATCTTTCCCATTTCAACAATAAGAGATAAACAGTTATTACATAGGAATCCATCGTTCTTGTTTCTAGTAGGTAGTAAGCTAGCACCCAAAAATGTATTAGTTCGTGAACAAATTGAAATTACTTGTTTCTTATGTATTTTTATGTGATACTTCAGAAAATGTTTGTCTGACGCGCCGTATCCGGGGCGAAAGTTGTCAATTTGACGTTTTCGACCCTAAAATGGAAAATTACAGGGGGTACTTTATCATCACTCGATAAATCATTCTGTTAGTCTTCAATCATCATAATAATTTTATGGGGAGTTGATTGGATCATGCTGAGGTAGTATGTAAAATTCCAATGCTCTGTCACTCATGGTTGTCATGGAAACCACAATTTTCGTTCAAAATATCCTTAATTTTGCAAAACCTGAACATGTACATCATGTAGAATATGGATTATTTTTCGAATCAATACATATCAGCACATTTTAGCACACTCAAAATAACCAGTACAGTTCAAACATTTGTTTAAATATGAAGGATATTGCAATTTACATGATTGTTCAGTGTCAAAGAACATACAATTACATGAGTGATCAAAAGTGGGCGTCACCCCCATAATAGTAGATGATTGCTATACTCTATAAAAACAGAGTTTAACTTGACTTTTGAGATACATTTACACTAGACTTATTTGATTATATTTTATATCAAGCATTTCTGGTAAATAATGTACATCTAAGTGTCATAGTTATTGCATGGGGGGGGGGGGTACAGAGGGGGGGGG